TATATTGGTGATACTCCTTTATTGTAATTGCGGGTGGTGAAAAGCTCGACTTGAAGCTTCGATGAGGCATTCAAATATTTTGCGTGCTCTTCTAAAACAATGAAATCGAGAAAAAATCTTGAAAATAAGAAAGGCTATTTTCGAATAGCTCTAAAGCCAGATCAACAATTTTTCACAAATCTATGGGGGTGGGACAAATGCCTTTTCCCCTGACATTTCCCCTTTTTCGGAAAGGCCTTAGGAAAGGTCGTAGAGCTTCAAAAATGTTTTCATAGAAGGGATGTATGGTAGATTCTGAATTTCGACAAATCAGACCTCGCTGACTCAAATTTGGGCTAAAGGCAAAAACTACGGAAAAGCGTTAGTCGTAGTTTTGCCTTTTGCCCAAAGTTGGTGTCGCGGGTTGATTTGTCGAAATTCGGATCTACGCTCCCCTTATATGGATATTTTCGATATTCTCGAGCTCTCGGCCTTCCTGGCCTTTCCACAAGGTCGCTTGTCCCCCCCCATCTATGGACAAACCTACCATAAATACTGTAATTGAACGGCACCCCCTCGTTCAGTCGCGTAGTCTAACTTCTTTTTAGTTTTTCTCAGCCCTTAGATTTTCCCCAACTATACTTTTGGTACCAAAAAATACTAGATTTCAAGGGCTATCATTTGACATCCAAGCGTACACTGTAGCATAAAGCAGCGCAGAGAACGGAACGTTAAAGTTAGACTACGCGGCAATACCCCGTCATTATGGGGGTGCCGTTCTATTAAAGTATTTACGGTAGTGCTAAATGATTTCACTCCAATAGCAAAGATTCAGAGAATTTTAGAAAAAAGTAAATCTTGCTGGCTTACGTGGAACTCCAAATTTAACCCAATCTGTCTGTCCATTGATAAAATATAATAATTGAATGAATTCGAACAAATACAGCAAACTTGACATCATTCTAGCATTTGTTAAAACGAACAAGAATCTTTTTTCGTTTCTCGATCTCTCTCAACTTTTTTTCCACTCGAATTTCATTCGAAACCCTTCACAATTTTGAGAAAAGAACTTATATTGACTTTTGAAAAGAGAAAAAAATTACATTTTAGTTGCTAGATTTGATTTTATGTATGATTTTTGGACTCAATTTGAAAAGAAAAGAAAATTGACAAGTAAATTTATTTCCAAAATGACATCAACACGATAAAGTTGGCAAGATTTAGCAATTGAAAGATTAGAAAATAGGCGAAATTTGTTGTGTACAAGTAGCTCCATACTCGACCGCAAAAGGTTAAACTAAATCAAATTTAGAGAGAAGAATATCGGAATTATTTTCAATTAGATCTGACTCTATAGTTCATAAACCTAACTAGTCAAATAAGGCCTGGACATGATCCTGGCTGGCGAAATTTTCAAGGGTAAGTCCAAGCCAGGTCAAAAATCATGAGTATGATCTGGCGTTGACCTGATTTATAAAATTTCTATGATCAGCCCTGATGTTTATTGTTGAACCCACTTCTCTCCCTTTCTCTTCTCCTTTTGTTTTGCCTTGTGAACGACGACGATCACACAGGAAATTGCGATGATCACAATTGAGATCACGACGTAGATACCTAAAAGTAGACCTGGGCTTTTTGTAGAAAATGATTCACTTCCACGTCTTAGCAAACAGCTCTGCTTTTCTAAAGCGTCAATACAATGCTATTTCGAGCTTTAGAAAATAGGCTTTCTTTAGCATATTACAACTTATGCAGATTTTATTACCAATTATGGGAAATTTGGTTGTCTTCGGAATCGAGCTCTGAACCATGTCTATCAAAACGGTCATCGAGACGAGGCTCGTCAAACCGATGCTCAACTGAAAAGAGAAAGTGAAAGCTAGGTAAAGTTAAACTGTACTGAAATTGCACTGATTAAAAGCAAAACTTTAAACTTGTTTGGTAAACTTTGAAGAATTAAAGGCTATTTAAAGAGTGGGTTAATTTTTTTGAACAAATAATGTTCTACTAACTAAGTTGTTTTGTTCTACTTTTTAGATCAATAATGTTCTGTTCTAGCCTAAGCGCCTGTTAAAAATAATATTTTAGCTAATTTCTATTAAATTTTACCTTCACTAACTGTTCCTCTTCATAATTCGGTGTCCAAAACATTCCGCAAACTGATAGAAATGTTAAAATAAAACATGGAATCACGATCACGTAAATGTAGAAATTGGGGACTCGACGAAGGGAAAATTTGAAAGAAAACTGGAAACATTTATGCTAAAATTTCTAATCCTTGCAGCTCACCACATCAAAAGCGAAATCATTACTTCCCCAAACTTGTGTCGTTGTCGTTATATTTTTCACATCCCATTCACCGTTACTCGAAAAGTTTTGCAAGTTTTAGCTTCTTTTTCGAATGTTACCGAATTCAAGGATAAACCATGGTTGCCATTGATTTCTCCGCTCATTGACACGAACTCTTGATCGTATGAGAAAACCATGAGTGGGATTAGGCACTCTTGTTGATCAAACGGGAAATCACCGACCTAAAGTTGTACTTGAATCTCAGAACCAGCCGAAAATCCGCTTAACATCGGGTTTCTGTGTCGCTGTGGCGTAGCGGGAAGCGCGCTTGTCTATCGTCCCATACAGCGCGGTTCGACCCGCCGTAGCGGCACTTAACTTAGAATTTCAAAGTTTTTGATTATACAGTAATTCTTTGCAAATGGGACATTACTTTTGTGGAGCTATTTCTTAAGTAACTTATTGTTTTTGTTTTATACTTTAATTTTTCTGCAATGTATACGGATAAATCTTATAATCCTGAAAAGTAGAGTATTATGGGTCAGCAAAATACCCTACACTTTTTGAGAATATCGTTATTTTGCAAGATTTTCGTACGAAAGAAACTTTTGGATGACAATGGGACAATACATTTGTGGACCACTGTAAGAGAATTCCATATAAGGGGGGATGATTTACCATAATTTACGTTATCTTCCGTCGGGAACAAAAATTTCATTCCATATAAGGGGACGACGACTGTAAATGCCATAACTACTAAGGTTTTCTAAAGAACTTTGAACTTTATTGGTCAAGAAAAGAGAAAAGCGAGAAGCGTTGGCCGAGAAAAGACACTGCTCTGTATATATTGTAGAACTCTAAAGCTTGTTGCACTTACAAAAACCGAACAAGAAATCTCTGCATAGTACACATTTGCCAACATGATCGTCCCATTTGCGTAGATTTTCGCCGCACGAGTTGTATCAGGGTAAACGAGATCGATTTGTTTGCTAAATGACACTATGCTTGACCCAGCTGCCATAATCCGAAACTAGATATAATATTTGATCAATGATCGGCTACGGTAGCTAGGTCACGCTTTAGAGTACAGTTCAGAAAAGTGTTACGGATATCCAATTCCATTCTCGGGTTGCCAGATCAAATCCTGATTCACCCAAATGAGCGGAATCGCGTCGAACTCAGTAGGATCCCATGCTAGCCGTAAATCTCGATAAATCTAAATCACAAAGTCTATTCTAGTGTTATACCCGATTTAGACGCAACAATTTCAACAATTCTTGCATTTGTAAATCATGTTTTTATCGTTTTTGACAGTTCTTGATGCACTTTTTGCACTAAATCGTTTTTTATATTTTATATTTATATTAAAAACAAGGTTAAAAGCAATAGCCGCACCAAAACTTTTGCCAAATTTGGCTACTTTCTAAGTGAAGGTCTATAAGGTTTTCGTTTTATTATTGATTGCATCAAAAACTGTCAAAAGCATGACAAAAACATGATACCAATCAGACTTGTAAGCGGAAGAAAGCAGAAAATTTTAAATCTTTTGTTTTTCAAAGCAAAACCAAATAGGGCAGCTACGCACTGTGACGGAAAAAGCGGGAAAACGTAGCTGCCCCATTTGTTGAGTTTTTCTTTAAAAATTCAGATATTTTCCACTTTTTTCCGCCTGCAAGCCTGTTACCAACACAGGAATTGTTAAAAATTTGTTGAAAAATTTGATTTGTCTAAATCGGATAAAAATCAAAATAGAACCTAACAAATAGTTTAATTGCTGTTCTTACCATAATCAATTCAAAGGAGACTTTAAAGAGTTGACTTTGCGCATCCTAAAGATCTTCCTTTCAATCATCATTACCCTTTTTTTTAACTCACCAAATCGATCACTTTTGAATACATCAACAAAATGTGTACATTTAATCGACGTACATCACTTTCTACAAAGTAGAATTGAATGAATTGAATGAATTGAATGAATTGAATTCATGAATTCTTGAATTCTTCTTGAATCTTGAAGATTTTACCTTTATAATTCTTTGGCATCAGCGCGTTTACCGGTGAAACTCCTTTATTGTAATTTCGAGTGGAGAAAAGCTCGACTTGAAGCTTCGATGAAGCATTCAAATATTTTGCGTAATCTTCTTAAAAAGATATTGTTAAAAGACAATCTTTGTTAAAAGACAATGTTCTTAAAAAGACGTAATGCTTGTTTTTGTTTTATTTTTTTTAAACTATCTTGCAAAGAACTATCCATTTATTCATTTTATTGCACTCACTTCAAATATTTTGCGTAATCTTCTTAAAAAGATATTGTTTATGTAATGCTTGTTTTTGTTTTTGCTATTTTTTAAAACTATCTTGCAAAGAACTATCCATTTATTCATTTTATTGCACTCACTTGTTGCTCCAAGTCTCGTCCAGTCCGTTTGCCCATTGATAAAATAAAATAAAAAGATTGATATAAATAAATGTAAATTCTTCATCATTTCAAAATATTATTGAACAAACAAGAATCTCGTTTTGACAGCAAAATTCTCTGAACTTTTTACTCAAATTTCATCTCCGAAGCCCTTGACAATTTGTGAGAGAAAAAAAAACTGAATATTGACTTTTTATGAAATAAGAACAAATAAAATTTGATTGATGCTAAGTCCGTTAATATTTTTTTTGTTTAATTCTTAATATTCTTGAACTTTAATTTGAACTACTGTCATAAATAGAAGCCTTTCTTATCCATCAGCTTTATTCTCACTGAATATTGACTTTTTATGAAATAAGATCAAATAAAATTTGATTGATACGTCCGTTACTAAGTCCGTTAATATTTTTTTTTTGTTTAATTCTTAATATTCTTGAACTTTAATTTGAACTACTGTCATAAATAGAAGCCTTTCTTATCCATCAGCTCTATTCTTCGTCTAGTCTAGTTATCAATTGTTTTTATGCAAAATCTAATCAATATTTATTTTCCATCATTCAATATTAGTTTGGTTTTCTCCAAAATGACATTAAAACGATAAAATTCACAAAATGTAGGGCTTGGAAGAGAAGATGGAGAAGAATGTGAGGAGCGAGATAGGACTTGAACAATGTGACACCAAATGAACACCTGGAATTGAAGATTACAAGGGTTTATAATGTGAAAGTCTAGAATGAAAGTTTATAATAAAAGTCTAGTTTAGATAATATGACTATTTTGAAGGTATAAAACCCAAAAAAAAACCTCTTTTCTTTCTCCGTTTTCTTCGTTTTCCCCGACGCTTTCTTTGAGTGTTTCATGGTGAAAGCGACCACGAAAACACAACCGACTGAGATGATCATCACGTCAATAACCACAAAAATGCCTAAATCTTGAAATTTATTCTTATCGAACTCCATTCTATCATAATATAAGGAGATCTTAATCGTAAACGACTAGTAAAAGATCTTAAAAAGTTTGTGAGCTTGCATTCATTTGATATACGAGGTTACTAGATACGTTGGGTTACGAGTAATATACCGTATTTCTTCGAATAGAAGACCGGGTAAAGAGTATGATCGCGTACTCCTGCGTAGCAGCCCTTTTTAAAATTTCTTTTCTGCATAAAAGCTTTCAATCAAGTGCTATAGAGCTGGAAAATGGCTCAAAAATCTGTTAGCTCATGTCGTATTTTTGAGCCATTTTCCAGCCCTATAGCACTTCATTGAAAGCTTTTATGCAGAAAAGAAATTTTAAAAAGGGCTGCTACGCAGGAGTACGCGATCATACTTTTACCCGGTCTTCTATTCGAAGAAATACGGTAACTGTCTATTGTTTTCATTTCTTTCATTCTTGAGCTTTCATTGTACTTACCCTTATTCTTTCTCTTTCTTTCTTCCTCTTTCTTTCTTTTTTTCTTCCTTTCTCTTCCCCATTGTATTCCCTCTTTCTTCTTTGCAAAACAGATAGCTCAATGGTTAGAGCATCTACCCCGAAAAGTAAAAAAGCGAAAAGGTCGAGGAAAAGCTTGACGGTTCAATCCACTCCTCGAAAATCCTTTTTTTTTCCATTCCTTACCCAATAGCGGAAACTTTGTTGTCTTCGGAATCGACTCAGACACCATTTGCAACAAAACGGTCATCGAGACGAGACTCGTCAAACCGATACTCAACTAAAATTTTTGATCTTCAATCTCTAACGTTTTCTCACTTTTGGTATTTGTTCTTCTCTTTCATTCGCACTCCAAAACATTCCTGTTATCGAGAGCAATGTCAAAATGAAACACGGTAAAGCAATCACATAAATATAGAAATTTGGTACACGACGTAGTTCAAAAGTGAAATATAACTAAAAGTTTTGGGGAAATTCTTTTTTAGATTTATAAACAAACCATATCAAAAAGCATATTTTGACCGCCGACTTGAATAATTGAGGGAACAATGCTGTGAACGTCCCACTCGCCGTTACTCTGAATTTTGGCGAATTTACCGAATTGTTGTGTTTGAAAAAGAATAGCATTCAATTTCTCTTTTCTCATTTCTCAATTTCACAGTCATAATCCTGCATTTTCTCTTAGATTTTGTAATTTAATTTGATAATTACCGTTTGATTGGCTGGGAAATCGTCATTTATCGCTCCAACCATCATCACTTGATTCTGATTATACGAGCCAGCTTTGGCGCCGATTTGACAGAACTGACGATCGAAGGGAAAAACGGCAACCTTGTCCAATCCTTTCATTAGACTTTCTCTTGAGAACTTACATCAATCGCGCATTCCACTTCAGCGTAATAGGCTCGAATTTGGGTGATCGATCCGTTAAACCAGAGTTTCGTTGTCTGCTCATCCTCGTCGTACATCCGATCGAGGGTCTTGCTGAAAACAAACAAAAAAAAGAATCATAAAACGAACTGGGTATTGTGATTGTTGCGTCATTGTTGAGCTTTTTAAACAACTCTATCACTCACGCATTTCCGAAATCGTGTTCGGGCATCCAAACGACTTGTGGGTTCACCCAGATGTACTCTAATCCACCGAAATCTTTTGGATTCCATGACAACCGAACGTCTTGCCATTGCTAGAATGACAATAGACTTTTAATGTTTTAGATTTTAATCTTTAACTTTACCATCCACATTTCAAAGCTCAGTGAGAAGGTTTGCGCTTGAGCATCCTAAAGATCGTTGAAGCTTTCAAAATATTTCAAATATTTCTTGTTATTCTCCTTTTCAACTTACCACTCCCAATAATTTCGAGTATGCTAAAATGAAAACGACCATGAAACGGGGAAATTTCGAGTCTAAACTTTGTCTCTTATCGTTGGCTTGAAAATCAGCAAAACCTGTCCAATTCTTTGGCATATTTTCGTAAATTGGTGAAAGATATCGCTGATAGCTTCGATTTTCGAAAAGCTCTTTATACAATTTATTCGTTTCATTGAGATAAGTGGCATAGAAATCTAAAAATGATATTTTACATTGTGAACAGAGGCATCAACTTTATGGCTCTGTTCATGGCTCTATTCAAGGCTCTGCTCATGGCTCTGTTCATGGCTCTGTTCATGGCTTTGCTCATGGCTCTGCTCATGGCTCTGTTCATGGCTTTGCTCATGGCTCTGCTCATGGCTTTGCTCAGCTTCAATATTCAGCCTTGTTCAGGCGCAAATGGCATGAAGCCCTTCAAAGTTGATAAGGCCAAAGTTGATAAGGCCAAATTAGACCAGAGCTCTAATAGAAAATTTCGGCTCGTATTTCTAGGGAATCTATGGGGTTTTGTCAGTGCAATAAAGTCAAGCCCGGTAAAAATACTCTCTGAACAATCACTCTTTACCTGGCACACCATACAATTGCCAATCTCGTTGAGCGAATACATCAGGAATAGAAAAAGAGTAGAGTAAGCAGAATAAAAGGAAAATCTGATGTGTGGGTGACATTTTTATGTCAATTTTATGTAAATTTGAAGTCAAAAACAATCAATAAGTAATCAATTCAATGAATTTGCCTCGAAAAATAGCTTCAAATTTTCATAATGTCAAGAAGGTCGGTCAAAATTCACAAATCATAGACAAATAATGAATTTTGGTGGTGAAGTGAAGTGGTTTATGATGGAGAAAAAAATTTCCATCTATTTCCTATAAGTATCAAATAACTATTGCTTTCTTTTTGAGGGGTTGTTCAATGAAAAAGATTTGTTCAACGAATCACATTGCTCGGGTTTACAATACAACAATACAATACAATTTATTGGCGTATTAGAGCTTGTACTTAAACAATTTTAGAGATTGTACGATGAGGAAAGTGAAAATGGCGCCGAATTTCTCGAGAGTAAATGTCTTGACTCACTTTGTGATGTAGGTATTTTTCTTAACGTTTAGGAAATATTTAAGCGGATCCATCTGATTTTATTAGTTCCTTTTGTCTACGAATTTGGTTCCCTTTGTCTAAAAATTTGGTTCCTTTTTCTAGACAAATTTGGTTCCTTTTGTCTACAGATTTGGTTCCTTTTTCTAGACAAATTTGGTTCCTTTTTCTAGACAAATTTGGTTCCTTTTTCTAGACAAATTTGGTTCCTTTTTCTAGACAAATTTGGTTCCTTTTTCTAGACAAATTTGGTTCCTTTTGCCTACAGATTTGGTTCCTTTTGTCTACAAATTAGGTTCTTTTTGTCTACAGATTTGGTTCCTTTTCCCTTTTGTCTAACAAATCTGGTTCCTTTTGTCTACAAATTTGGTTCGTTTTTCATAAAATTGTAATAATAAAGTTTTTAATAAACTTTATTTCTAAGAGTCTATTATTACTATTTTAGGAAACTCAAGCAAAAGATCACAAGCCGCAGACTTTATTGACACTTGCTGAATTGTTCGCTCGAATTCGAGATTATCGACTCGCCAGTGAGCTTATTTGGTGTAGTGCCTTGTTTTCTATTCAAGGCAAATTCAAGGTAAATCTAAAGTAAAATCTTAAGACATAAATTATTCATTTTTTTAAGAATTCATCTCTGATCGTGGATTAAATGTCCATCTTCATACACACGATGGTCAGAGACAATTCGCACGAGCACTCTCAAAGGAAATGGAAGGAAAATGTTGCCTTCTTAAAAGGTAAGTCTTTGATCACATTTTAAACTTAAAATTGTATTAAAAACTTAAATACAATATCCCTTCTTTAACTCAATCAATAACAACTTTAACACAATTAATTACAACTTTAACTCAATCAATTACAACTTTAACTCAATCAACTACAACTTTAACTCAATCAACTACAACTTTAACTCAATCAACTACAACTTTAACTCAATCAACTACAACTTTACCTCAATCAATTACAACTTTAACTCAATCAATTACAACTTTAACTCAATCAACTACAACTTTAACTCAATCAATTACAACTTTAACTTTAACTCAATCAATTACAACTTTAACTCAATCAATTACAACTTTAACTCAATCAACTACAACTTTAACTCAATCAATTACAACTTTAACTCAATCAACTACAACTTTAAACGTTTCAAAGAAATCGAAAGATACGATAGATTTTGTTTTTTTAAAAAATATTTTTATTCTTACTTCCAAAAAGACATTAACACAATGAAATTGGCGATATTCAATGTTTGAAAGAACACATGTAAAAGGAGATGTGGAGCGAGGAGATGTTGAACGAGTTTTGCAACAAGCAACCTAAATAAATAATGTTTTCAAGTAGTTAAACTAAACAAGTTGCTTTTAGGTAGTTAAACTAATGCTCACTTTTCTTCTTTCTCCATTTTCTTTGCTTTATTCAACGCTTTCTTTGAGTGTTTTAACGGAAAAGCGACAACGATGACACAACAAATTGCGATTAGAAACACATCAATCACCACGTAAATACCTAAAAAAATTTAATTCAAATATCAAATATATTCAAGTTCAAATATATTCAAGTTATTAAACCTAATAAAGGAAACTTTTTCATCTTTGGTATTGATTCGGAAACCATTTGCAATAAAACGGTCATCGAGACGAGAGTTGTCAAACCGATACTCAACTCAAATCGAATTCTTCTTTTCATTTTGCAAATTTCAAACACTCACTTTTGGTAATTGCTCTTCTTTCTCATTTGGACTCCAAAACATTCCTGTTATCGAGAGAAGTGTCAAAATGAAACACGGTAAAGCGATCACATAAATATAGAAATTTGGCACTCGATGCAACTCGAAGACGAAAGCTATCTGCAATTCGAATATTATTTGAATACTGTATCCGAGTTGATGCCTATTTTACGGTTTTCAAGTTTTCCCAGAAGCTCAACACTCAAATCCCCCCACAAGATCTTATCGTCAGCTACATTTTTCGACCCCACATCGATAGGTTCTGATAAGCGCTTTTCGAGATTTCGAGCAATTTAGGCGAAGCTTTGGGTACACTACTATTAGAGAAAATACGGTAGTATATTAGTATTATAGGTATTATTATAAGTACCGATTTTTGAGCTTTCGAGGAATTTAAACAAAGCTTACTAATAGGGTATACGGTCGTTGATTTAACGGAGATTGATCTAGCATTTAGAAATTCAACCCAAATGGAATACGATTGATTAAATTAACCCCACCACATCAAATACATAATTTGTTGATCCCCACGTCTGCATTCGGGTGCTGATCTTGACAACATTCCACTCTCCATTACTCTGAAAAGAACCGGATTCAGAATTAATAGCTTTAGTGCTAGTTTGGCTTTCGGATTTGCCTGAGCTGCCAAAAACTGAACCCATAGAAACCAGGGTGGATCTGGCTAAAGTTGGCTAAAGTGGCTAAGGTTCCGATCCGATTTACCGATCCAAACCGGCATCAACAAATGATTCGGAAAACTTTGAGTAACTTGGTTATTGAAACCGTGGAATGTTTTTCTTGATTAGTCAATCTTTTCATTCACATGTCAAGTCAATCTTTTCATTTCACTCACCGTTGATTCAGGAGGAAAATCGGTATTCAGCGAGGCGACCGAAGCCACCTGGTTTTGATCATACGATGCATATTTAAGCGCAACCACACAGAACTGACGATCGAACGGGAATATGCCCACCTAGAAATCCTCATTGTTCTGAATCCTCGTTGTTCTACAAGCTAATAAGCCGAGAAAATGCTCACATCAATCGGGCATTCCAATTCAGCATAATACTGTCGGATCTGTGTCACCGATCCATTGTACCAGAGTTTCGTCGTCTGCTCATCTTCATCGTAAATCCGGTCGAGGACACGGCTGAAAAAAAAGGTTTAAGAAAACTCTTATGGCTTTGAAATTTCGAAATCAACCTTAAATACTCTTACGATTCTTGAAACGAACACATTTCCAACATCGTGCTCGGGAGTCCAAATCGCTTGCGGATTTACCCAAATGTACTCCAATCCACCGTAATCTTTCGGATTCCACGACAATCGAACGTCTTGCCATTGCTAAAGTAGCACAAAGTTTTTTCAAAAACAATCATTTTGATTCAAACCAAAAGCTAGGTTTTGGCTTAGCTTCTGGCCCTATTTTCTGGGTGATATGACTTGACTTGGATCCACCTCAGATACGATCTAATACCATGCACACCTCAAACTCACCATGTACAGCCCTAGACTCAGCGACCAGGTTTGTGCTTGTGCATCCTAAAAATCTTTTTTCAACTCAAAATTTTTGTGTTCTTACCAAGCCCAAAAGCTTTGAGTATGCCAGAATAAAAACGACAGTGAACCGGGGAATTGGTGAGTCTAAATCTGGAGTGTGACTCGGATAAAAATCAATAAGTTTATTTGCAATTTATCTACAACCTTAGGCTAAAAATTCGAATTTCCAATTGGTAGACTCAATAAATAGCTGAATCGATTCGCCGACCTCGAAAACCCTGGAGAAATCTAGAGCTCAATATCTTCTTTTTATACAATCTACAAAGCAAAACAAAAATCCCCGGGGGTGGGACAAATGCGACCTTGTTTTGCTGGAAAAGGCCTTAGGAAAGGTCTTAAAGCTTCAAAAATGTTTTCATAGAAGGGAATCGTATGCGTAGATTCCGAATTTCGACAAATCAGACCTCGCTGACGCGTCAAATTTGGGCTAAAAGGCAAAAACTACGCAACTTAACGCTTTTCCGCAGTTTTTGCCTTTTAGCCCAAATTTGACGCGTCAGCGAGGTCTGATTTATCGAAATTCGGAATCTACGCATACGATTCCCCCATATGGAAATATTTTTGAAGCTCTACGACCTTTCCTAAGGCCTTTTCCAGCAAAAAAAAGGTGCGCAAATGTCCGCAAAAAAAAAGGTCGCATTTGTCCCACCCCCAAATCCCCTAAAAAATTTTTGGTTCTTTGTTCACGCGCGGAATCGCTCGTCGTCTGGCACACGTTCCCGATAAATAGGGGAAGGATCGACCTGTTTTCACTATGCCCCTGGACCGATTTTTGCCTTAAATTATAGTTACGAAACTCGAACAAGAGCCAAAATTTTTAGTTTCAAGCTAGTCAGCTTGTAAACGCTCGTAAATAAAAGTAATTTTAAATTTCCACTTTTCCTGGTTTGTACAATCAATAGCAAAGTCAAAAAAACGATAAACGATTCGAATCAAAAAAGAATGATCAAATTGATCAAAACTATTCATACCTGTCCAATTCTTGGGCATATTCTGATAGATGGGCGCCAAATAGCGTTCATAGTCACGATTTTGAAAGAGTTCCTTGTACAATTTTGAGGACTGATTGAGATATTGAGCGTAGAAGTCTAAATATTCAAAGTTTTAAATTATACTAGTTTTTTTTTTCACCTGGCACTCCATAAGCCTCCCAATCTCGTTGAGCAAAAGCGAAAAAAGGCAAAAACAGGAATATTAAGTTTAATTTAGAGATAGATAACATAATTCGATGTAAATCTAATAAATTTATAGTCAAGAGTCAGGAAAGAAGTACAGAAATCTGTAAAAGTTAGACTCTGAAATTTTTCGGAATTAAAAAGAAACAACACAAATCATATGTAAATATCAAATTTCGAGGCTGTTCAATATTTCTGAAAGGGTTCAAGGGTCATTGAATAAGAAAAAAAAAACTCGAATTCTCTCAAATAACCAACCTTTTTTCAAGTAAATATGAAAATTTTATAGTTTAGCATAAAAAGTTGCCTTGTTTGAGTTCGTTTAAAGTTCAGAGAATGTAAAAAAAAGTCTAGAGATGATTATTTGATCATAATTAGTTTCAGTTTTGATCTACTTACAGTACTGGACAATGAAATATCATATTTGAAAAACGATCGTCACTTTTGCGTTAATAAAAATTTTCACTTTGCGAGCATCTCATAAAAGCAAGGTGCGTGCCTTTTTTCAAATTACGATTTACATCATAATGAGCAATGATTAGGTAAAAACCTGTAAAGTAATAGATTTAAAGAAAAGAAAAAAACCAAAAGCCAGGGGTGGGACCAAACCCCGACCTTACGACTGGGAGGCCGTTCCACTAAGCCACCGGGGGCCGTACTAAAGCGATTGAAAAGCGCACTTTAAAGCTTATCTTCAAAATTTCAATTTAATTTTGACGGGTTTGCAAGCTTATTTGACAGATTTTGATTTTAGTTTATGAATCTCCATACTCGATTTAGTAAGATGTATGCGGTCCGGAAACGAAAGCTCACGGGAAGTTCGTGCCTTTCCCTAGTTAGAAATTTGTACCCAGAGCTTTCTGCGGTGAGGAATCCAAGTCCAGCTTTAGTTTTTAATTATGAAGCCCTAAAAACAGCCACCAGATCCGTCAAAAACTTGGAACTTTTGCACAATTCATATTTCTCAATCTAATAAAATGTCTCGAAAAGAGAATTTTCTGTCTGTTTCTAGAAAGCTAAAATTATATTCTGGTGGAGGCCAACAAGTTGCATATCCTTAAAAATTTCTAGAATTTTTGATCGATCCATTAGCGAGAAACAGCCGTGACATGACATCATGTTACGTGGTCCAAGACCTCCATTCACTTGTGATATCACATTCAGATCATCACTTGTGACATCACATTCAGATCATCACTTGTGACATCACATCACACATTAATTCAAATCTGTAGAAAGGTTCAGCCAACAATTCACTTGTGACATTTGTGACATCTGTGACATTCACTTGTGACATTTCACGCGGTCGTCAATATTTTAATAGTCACATTATATTTTGTAACTGATAAGTTTATTAAAAGAAAAATTGATTCACGCAGCGACCGTTTTCAATGTCGAGCCCTTGAAGGGTTGGCAGCTAAAATTTGGTGTTTAAAGCCATGATTCGAAATTATGAAATTTTAAATTTTAAGATGCTCTACCTGCTTGACAAATGAAAAAGTATTTCTCGGCGCAGTCGACGGCCGTCCAAACGCCATTTTTCGATGTATCCAGAACGGCACAAGCCTGGAATGCTTAGAGCTTAGATGCTTAGATTGCAATATGATTGCGTAGAGGTTAATTCAAATCTGTAGAAAGGTTTAGTCAACAGTTTGCTCACCTTAGTTGGATCAGTTGGCTCCACTTGATTCTCCCAGTTGGTGAATGTTGGCTGAAACTTTTTTTGGTGAGTCTATCATTTTCTTTTTATGCAAACCTTTGTGATGGCACCGTCGTCATCCCAATACCATTTGCCATTGTCAAAACGGAGTCCAAGCCAAACGGTTGCGCCCATAGCGTTGACTAAATTTGGGAATTGGAAGTGATTTGTAGTGTTGCCTGTGTTGGCTTACTGGCATTACTTTTTGGGTACAAAAAAATGATCTCTTCTTGATGTTCCGAATTAAGTTGAGATCATTACCGTAAATACAGTAATAGTACTCCACCCCCCTCGTACAGTCGCGTGGTCGCAAAAGTTTTTTAGTATTTCATTTTTTTCAAACCGCCCCTACTTTCAAAAAATGTGTCTTTGGTATCAAAAATAGCCCTGAATTTCAGCTATTTTTTGATACCTAAGCGCGCATTTTAGCATAAACCAGTGTCGAGAAAAACTAGTTCAAAGCTAGACTACGCAACACTTCGCACCGTTTTTATGGGGGTGGGGTACTATTACAGTATTTACGGTAGGTTTATTTTCTAATAAACACTTCACTTACAATTGATATAGTTCTGATCTTTTTGCCCGAGAATTTGCACGAGTTTGTGATTGAGCGATTTACATTTGGCGCTCGATGACTAAAGTTTGAAATACAATGATTTCCGAAAACGCCTACCGCGTAATCGATCACTTGAAGCTGGAAATTGTAGCATTTTCCGTTGTAATATTGCTCAGTGATATCACAAGCTGAAAACAAAATCATTTTTTGACAATTTTACATGAACTTACAATCCTGTTTCGTCGGCAGAGCCAGGGAAAAGCCGAAAACGAAGCCAACCAAGCCCAACAAAGCCACCAATTTGAGCATTTTCTGTGAAGTGTTTAGCTGATGATTTTCCCAAAGGCTTTTAAAGGGCTCAAAATTTGTGATAAGAGCATTCGTTTATAGTCGTTGTGCCAAAGAACAGGATTACCTTATCTGATTTTGAAGATCAAGCTATGCAGAAAGAGAAACTTTTGGGCTCTTTGATGGCGTCACTGATAAACGAGGAAAAGTGACGAGCAAATGGGATTTTACAGCTGACCTATTCGTATTTGTGAATCCTAAGTTGATTGATAGTGTAGAATCGTCCCCCAAAAATACATCAGTGGGGGGCTATAGTAAAATAAATGGGAGGGGGTGATAGTAAAATTACCCGGAAATTCTTTACTATCGCCCCCCCCCCCCTAACTATTTTACTATGTCCCCCCTCCCCAGGATGAACTATATTATCGCCCCCGCCCGCCTCCACTTTACTATTTAAGAAATGAATTTTGAACAATTTTTCCAATATCGTATTTCAAAAAGTCCATTATTTTAAAAAAAACAGGTGGTGGGGTAATAGTAAACTACACTACTGGACAATGAAATATCATATTCGAAAAAAGATCGTCACTTTCGCGCGTCTGTAACTCCCTTGTCTTTACCGTATTTCTAAATATTAATATTACCATTGTGTAGTCCTTGAAAAGAGCTTTCAGAAAATGTATAACACTAATAGTTTAAGCTCAAAGACAAGGGAGTTACAGAAGCGCGAAAGTGACGATCGTTTTTTAAATATGATATTTCATTGTCCAGTACTGTAGGTGGGGGGGGGGGGGGGTGATATTACACAATATAAATAGTGTATTATCACCGCCCAAACAATAAGTGGGAAGATAATAGTAAATTATAGGGGTAATAGTCGTAATGGGGGGTGATAATACAGTTTATCCTGGGGGCGGTGATAGTAAAGTATGTGGGGGGTAATAGTAAAATACTCCCAACGTGTAATTTGACGATGGTTTCTCCAAAAGAAGACTATTACGTAAAGTAAATATACGGTACCTATTTGACAAATGAACCAATAAGGCTCTGAATAGTCAACGGCTCTCCACACACCGTTCATTTTCCCATCCAAAATAGCGCAAGCCTTGCTGGGATCAATTCGATTAACGACGCGAACGGAAAATGAACAATGAACGGAAAAATTGTAGTTTTGTACTTTTTGCCCTAAAATCGTGATCGAGCGATTTGCACACCGCGTTCGCATCCTGAAGTAACTTTCAACAAAATTTCAAACTAGATTTACATCAATTGAAAGTTCGCATCAAAATAGTAAAAACGCCGTTGTTCTATACATCGGAAAAGGGGCAATCTGAAGATCGAAATGTCACAATGTTACTGAAGCTGGCTGTCAATTAACAATTGTTTTTCTACACCTCAATCATACCTGGTCTAGTCAATTCGGTTAACGATGCACCGAAAAACATAGAGAGTAAGAAAACGTTAAGCATATTGATCGATTTCTTCTTTTAAAAGAATTCTTTTGAAAGAATAAACTAAAAGAAATGTCAAAATTTAAGATAAGAAAAGTTATTTTAATTCTTGAAGTTCAGTGAAAAGAAAAGTTTCCCCAGAACTATTAACTGAACGGGAATCGGTGATAAGACAAACACGAAAACTCTCGTAATTTCAGATCATATCTTTCAAAAAAAAACATTGTGTTATCTTTTTTTAAAATAAAAATTATCTTTTACTTGTAGCTGTGTGTTTTAAATAAGTTCTATGCACAGATTTATGCAAATTGTAAATCTCAAAATGTGATGCGAAAATTTATTAGCTTCAGAGAGTTTTTGATTGATGTTTCGATGGGGAAGCTATTGAGGAGCCGCTAAATTTTGATTTATAAGTCTTTTCAGATTTTTGTGATTATTTATTGTTAGATAATCAGGGCCACGGTTTTAGAGCAAAGAAAGAACCCAGATCTAGGCAACCGTAGCTTTAAATGAATCCTTTCCAAGATTGGCCTAGCTTCTGCCTAGATTGGCTATTCAATTGAACCAAAAGAAAGTTTTCAGACTCTAGAACCCACTTCGACATTGCTGCTAATGTTTTCTTCGTTGCCTCAACAACTTACCCATTTGACAAATCGACATCTTGATGTCAGTGCACGAGACAGCTCTCCACACTCCATTCTTCGATGCATCAATGATCGCACAAGCCTAAAATCTTGTGCATAAACAAAGCAAGGAAATTTTCGAGAACACTCTCACCTTAGCTGGATCAGTCGGCACTTTTTGATTCTCCCAATTGGTGAAAGTTGGCTAAAAAGTGGCTTTTACCTTTAATGAATTCTTTTCAAACCTTAACAATCTCTCCATTGCTATTCCATTGCCAATTTCCGTTTACAAGACGAATGCCGATCCACGATTCAACACCGTACGCTTGCCCTAGAAAAAAAACGATAGTTGAACGTTTTCTTAAATGTTTTAAAACTACAATAGTGTTATGATGTGTTTCATTTTTTGAATTTTCAGCTCGCTTTTTGACTCAAACTTTTCTCAAATCCTTACAGTTGATGTAGTTCTGAACTTTTTGCCCCAAAATCGTGACAAACTCATGGTTAAGCGCTTTGCACTTTGTGTTCGCATCCTGAAAACAAAAAAAATTATAATAGTTTCTATGAGTTTGTGTTTCATGAGGTTTTGTTTCAATGTGGACTTTACAAATGTTACCTCAAAGTTCATCGAGTTTGCGTTAAAGTAGTAACACTGACCATTGAAACCCCAATCATTAAGAGGACAATCTGGAAATGGTAGTAATCGGTTGAAAACTACTAGATCTTTAAAGATCAATTGAATTTCTTCAGAGAAACTCACTCTCTTCATCAACTCGGCTCTTCGCTGGTGAGGCAAATGAAATCCCGACAACAACCGCGATAGACGACCAATTTGAGCATATCGATGCAATTCAATTGGACTTTTCGACTCTGCAATTTTCGTGTATCCTTATAAACAGAAAGCTTTTGATAAGAAAACAGAGTTTATGAAAAAGTGAAACGATTTCCCCTCTTATTTTGTGTTAAATTTTGCGATAAGACAGCAGAAAATGGTTTTTTTTGGTTACATTGATGTCATGAAATGATTAGTAAGCCGGAAAGAGAACAAAGCTCAAATTTCGGAGTGGAATAATAAACGTGGGGTTTTATCTGGTTTTGACGTGAAAAAACTCAAAAGTCTGCTTGCATAGCCGTTTAAAACTCGTACAAATTGCTTATAACTTACAATAATAAAAAACAAGGCTGGAAGTGTCTATTTTAGAATATTTAAAAAGTAAGCAAATTGGTGAAAGGCCAAAGATTTGATGGCCGCTTTACGAACTTTAGTTTTGGCTTTATTGCGTTTTTTTGAAAAAGCCCATTTTTTAAAAAATGTCGATGGAATTTAAAAATGATGATAACGATGATATCGAGATTCGAATTTAGCACACCTTTTTCCTATCGAATGGTAGGTATAACATCAATTTTCATCAGAAAACGCACTTTCGCGCGGATGTGCGCTGGTTAAAACAGCGCCTCGGCAAAAATACCCCCCTTGGCGGTTAAATTTCTAAGTGTTTCTTATTCTTATTGAACGTAGCACAAATCTAACAAATCTAAAATCTACATTTTGCATTCTTTAAGAACACTTAAAACAGAGTTAGTGTCGAGAAAAGCTGAGTAAACCTCTTTTTGAGCGCTTCTTTTTCGTTTTTTTTTGGCATTTTCTCTTTTCAAATTTGTTCTAAACGGCTAATTTTTTTTTCTACATTCAATAAAAATAAGAAACACAAATAAACTGAATCGCAAAAGCATTCTTTTTGTTGGCGCTCTTTTGATCAGCTTCCTACAAATCTAGTCTTTACTAAAGTCTTTTTTTTTATCTGTCTTCGCACTTAGGGGTTTCTATTTGCGCAGCTCACAACCTGCTTCCACATTTCTCTATCCCTTGCTATTGTCATCCAGTGTTTCCTATCTTGGTTGTTCCTGGTTCGAAGTCTTCGACTTGCTTGTGCTGGTGCGACTCTAGTCATCCTTTCTCTGATCGCCGCTCTTGTGCTCCACCTCGTTGCTGGTCTTCCGATGGGCCTCTTCTGGTCTCGTGGTAGTCACTCTGTGATCCGTATCGTCCATCTGTCGTCTGTTCTTCTGGCTACGTGGCCGGCGCGTAGCCTGAGTCTGAGTCTTTTTCTCTCGATCACTTCCACTGGATCTCTGAGTCCCGAGAGCTGGCGCATATCCGTACTTCTTAGGTCTTGGTCGAGCTGCGTCTTCCTATTGTGCCCGAGGAGGTTCCTTTCAAGGGCTCGATGCGTCGTTCTCAGGGCTCGTTCAGTGGGCTGTGTCGTGGCCCAGGTCTCTGTCCCGTAGCAGAGTGCCGGGCGGACGGTGCTGTCGAAGAGGTGTGCCCGAGTCTTCTGGTGATTCTTGAGTATCTTTGTGACTTCTTTGATGCTTCCTAGTGCTGTCCAGGCCACTCGTCTTCTTCTGGCGATTTCTGGTCTCCCTCCATGTTGATGCTTCTTCCGAGGTAGATGTAGGAGGTGACTTCTTCTAGTGGTTGCCTTCCAGCTTGACCTCTCCAAGTGGGCACCATGCGTTCCTCATGCGGCCCATCTGAGTCTTTCTCTTTCGATCACTTCCACTGCCAAGTTTTTACTAAAGTCTTTACAAAGTAAACAAATAAACAAAATTTTTCGCTAACTTTAATGAATATTTACAATAAAGCTAGGTAAAAGTTATAAGATTTAACTGAAAATTTTCAGATACTCAATACTTTCATCAAAAAAAACGCATAAATTTGAAATCTTTTGAATATATTTTAAACGAGAATACTTCAAAGGCTTTCAAATGATATTTCACTTACAATAATATAAATAAATAAATAAATAAATATCTAAGAATAGATAAATGTAGACCTATGCTTATTAAATATCATTTGAAAATTGCAAATCTTCTCTCCAACATAGGCTAATACATTTCCGAGTTCCTCTAAAAGTTTAACGATCAAACTCGAGTTGGTAAACTTAATCCCATTCGATTCTTATTCACTCCCATTCTGTTCTCATTCGGTTCCCATTCGGTTCCTATTCGGCTGCCATTCGGTTCCTTTTCGATTCCTATTCGATTCTTATTCACTCCCATTCTGTTCCCATTCGGTTCCTATTCTTTATATAAAGACTTGGAACTTTTGGGGCACCCTGTATTTTGAGCTTCTACAACCCGGCTAAACAGCCACATCCGACCTCCAAAAACAGCAAAATGGTCGGGTCAATGAAGCTCTCATTCGTCAAGGAGTAGACACATCAAAGATAAAGTTCATCCATGACAACGCTAGACCTCACGTTGCAAAAATGACTCAGCAAAAACTGAAGAATATAGGATGAGAGCTTCTACCACATCCGCCGTATTCTCCCGATTTGGCTCCCTCAGATTACCATTTATACGGTTGATGCAAAACCATTTTGGCTAATGAGAAATTCAAAACCCGTGAAGATGTCCAAAATTGGGTCGTCAAATTTTTCGAGTCAAAGCTGGCTGAGTTTTCTCAGCTAAGCTGGCTGAGAAAGCATCAATTCTTTCCGCAAAAGATGGCAAGAGATAAACACATCAAAGATGAAGTTCATCCATAACAACGCTAGACCTCACGTTGCAAAAATGGCTCAGCAAAAACTAGAGAATCTAGGATGGGAGGTTTTACCACATTTGCCGTATGCTCCCGATTTGGCTCCCTCAGATTACCTTTGATTCCGGTCGATTCAAAAACCGTGAAGATGACCAAAATTGAGTCGCCAAGCTTTTCGAGTCACAGCCGGCTGAGTTTTTCAAGAGCGGCATCAATTCTTTGCGCAAAAGATGGCAAGAGATAAACAATAATAATGGTGAATATGTTTTTGGATTAAATTGTGTTGTTTCTGTTTTTAAGATAAATTTTTTTCAACGACTAAAACGCTCGTTTATAATCCGAACAACCTAATAGTTAAACCAGGGTTTTAACCAAAAACAAAAACAAATATTTATACGATTTTCCTTGTAGCATAGCTTTCAAATAGACAAGAATTATATATTATTTCTCAAAGTTCATATGCCATTTCTCTTGCATAATGAAATCAAATGAATACTTCAGCATTCGATTCGTCCAAAAGCGATAACTATCCGAGAAAAGGCCTGAAAATTATACGATAAACATTCTAAAGATTAGTATAAACTTAAAAAAAATTATTTATGTTTATAAAAGCAGCGAAAAACGCTCACTTAACACTCACGTACGCGTTTTTCACGCAATCTAAGCCCCGCCCCGCCAACGACTGCGCACAGACAGACAGTCAGACAGACAGACAGACAGACAGACAGACAGACAGACAGACAGACAGACAGACAGACAGGCAGATAGACAGACAGACAGTCTCTTCTGCTTTATATATAGTAGACATGAGTTCAACCGGTCGTTCTTTGCGCTCCGACGTAAACTAAATCGATCTGGCACACCTTATTCCTCATTTTTCTCCCAGCAGAAGTTTGGTATCGCGAGAAAAATTGAGATTTACGTGTGCCGGATCGTTTTAGTTTACGTCGGAGCGCAAAGAACGACCAACGCGAGCCCATGTCTAATTATAGATTAGCTTTTAAAAACAACCAACCAGACTCCATTTCGGGATTCGGTTTAACGTTTAAATAGGAGAAATACTCATCAAACTCTAGCCATTCCATCATTTCTGTGCTTGGATTTCTAAATTTTAAGCTCTTAGCAATGTTTTTTTTGCTAAGAGCTTTGCTTTTTTTCGAACCCAGTTTTCACAAATAGAATCCAAGCCTCTTGCAGCAGCCATTTAACCGTTAAATCGTCTTGTGTATAATTGAAATTACCATTTCCCATTAGGAAAGGATATTGATCGGAGTGGGTTGAACCTGCGAATGAAATATGTAAAGATTAATATACTAATGAAAGATGAGAGATAGACATTTTTGAAAGAAATTATGCTTTTACTAAAGCACAGCGTAGAAACTATTCCTTTTTGGCATTATCTATGGGTGTACAATGGAAATTCACATCTTAACTCCTTTTAAAATCGATCTTATCAAACGTTTTTGACTATTGAATCACTTTTTATTATAAGAATTACTATTTTTACTGTTACTATTGAACTGTTAATACTTTTACTGTTACTATTAGGTTTTACAAGCTCTATCTAATGAATGATGAGATTTTGTTCAGATGATAAAGTGAAACCCAATGCACAGCGGATTATAGATTTAGAGAGAAAAGGTATGAAGATACAAGATAGAGTGAAAATGCAAAGAATCTGATTACCTACGAGATAGGGCCGTTAGATCTAGAGCTTTTATTTGTTTCTTGAAAATGGAAAGTGACTGAATTTCTCGTATGTAATTTGGGAGCAAGCTTCATAAGCGCCTCTAAAGGGAAATGAGTTTGATAAAGAAGCGCTAAACGCTAAAGAAGCAAAACGCAAAGAGAATCTGCAAAAAGAATGAACCACTTCTGGACTCTGACCTTGGGTTAAAGTCAACAAAAAAAAGGGCTAATCTGTTTGCAAAGCTGGATTTTGAATGATCATCGATTAGATCAATGACAAGGCGACGATATGGTAAACATCTAATGGTAAAAGCGTTCGAAAAAAGGCTTTAAAGGGCTCAAGATGTGAATTTTCGTTGTAAACCTATTGAAAAACGGCCGAAAATGCAAATTACAGTCGTTTCACCTTGTACTGGATATGTTTTTGACCAAGAGTTGTGATTGTGCTCTAGCAAGAAAACATAAATCGGATAGCCGACTTGCTGCTTCAAAAAAGCTTCTCGCATTCCCGGAATATTGAACATGAAATCAGAGAAGATCTAGAAACTTAAGAAATTTACATTTTACCAATTGACAATTGACAAATGACAATTGACAAATGACGATTGATAAATGAACATTGACAAATGACAATTGAGGAATGACAAATGACCATTGACCAATGACAATTGACAAATGACAAATGACCATTGACCAATGACCATTGACAAATGACGATTGATAAATGAACATTGACAAATGACAATTGACAAATGACAAATGACCATTGACCAATGACCATTGACAAATGACGATTGATAAATGACAATTGACCAATGACAATTGAGAAATGACAAATGACCATTGACCAATGACCATTGACAAATGACCATTGACAAATGACGATTGATAAATGACAATTGACCATTGACAAATGACCATTGACAATGATCATGACAAGTGACAATTGACAGTTGATAAATGAAAATTGATAAATGACAATTGACAAAAGACCATTGACAATTGACAAAAGACCATTAACAATTTACCCGAACAAATTGCTCAATGAAATAAAAATGATCTTCAACTCCTTTCGCTTTTGAAGAAAAGAAATCAAAAATCTCTCTTGTCGCGTTTTGTTTCTCTGATTCGTTGAAACCCTGAAAAGTGGATATTCAGTTAATGATCGTACTTAAAGGATTACTGTATTGGTCACCCATTTCTCAATGAATTCATAAAGGGATTCATTCGTGTACGAGTCTTTGATCTTCTCAATGTCCTTGGAAAACGGAGCCCAATTGCTCAATACTAAAAAACGAATGGCTAGATTGTTTTTATGTACTTTGTAAAATGAAAACATATCGTTTCTGGTACACTTATTTCGTTTGATCTTAGAAAAAAATGAATTGATTATGCTAGAAAGAGTTTATTTGAGCATAAAGTACGGTAAAGAAAGCGCTCACCAAATGATCGTCCTTCTTTTTGAGTGAAACCAATGATTGATGGTTTTATCAATGAAAGGGCTACAGTTTCCTAAAATAGATAACTTTTAATGTATTCTATTTTAATTAATTAATTAATTGAAACCTACAAAAGCCTCGTTTTCGTCGTGCAAAAAGTCGCCATCATATATTGGCGCGAATTTCGTGTAGGCGAGACGATTCGTCCAGCACATCTTAAAACTTATATCACTTAAATATTATTTTTAAAGGATTTATTAGCCGTCTAAAGTTCATTGTTAGCAAGTTCATTTTGTCATTTTCTTTAATTACTTGCAATTCGGTTCCGTTCAACGAATAGAAATCGTCGACTTGTTTTGATTGGAGGCATCTGTAAACTTTGAGTTAAACTCGAGGCTTTTGGCGTCTAGGCGTTTTATCTTGCATCCCGTTTTATCGTTTTATCTTTTATCTTGCATCCCGAAGCTGCTTTCTCTAAATCCTCTAGAGCTTTTTTTTTGTAAATCGTGTGATTAAAGGGAACCCTTTGGAATGCCCTTCCCGAAAAGTTGCGTTTAATCTCCACCGTGTCTGATTTTAAAAGGACTACATCGTTGCATTTTAAGTGACTTTGTGATATCTTTTATCTGGTACATTTTTCATGTCGTTTTCGCACTTTATTTCTTTCTAAATAAAGTATTTATATAGAGTTACATTCGTTGATCGTTACATCGAATAGCTTACCAGGGAACCCTTTGAATTTACATTCACTTTCACCCATTTCATTCATTTACATTCAGAAGCGATCTGATTCCGAGAATACCCCTGGTTAAGGGGATTCTGAAACTGCTTTCGAATTCTACTTATCATAAGCCATTTTCGAGATATAAGCCTTCAAAGTTTAAATAGCCTTTAACCTTGCCTGTTTGATAAAGAAGCACTAAATGCCTTGCCTACCTTGCTAAACAGCAAGCTAACCTACTTAAAGTGTTGCCGCGGGCCAATTCCTGTGCTTTGGTAACCTGGTGGATAGTGTGCTAGCGCCTCACTACCTCGATACTGTGCTGGTTGTCCCTGGTTTGAATCCTCTCGCTGCCAAAACCTTTTTCCTTTTTGTTTAAGCCATAACAATTGATTTCTAAGTGTTCTAAAGTCTTTACAAAGATTAATTTGCTACTTTGTGCCTTTAAGAATGTTAAATGAAGAGGTTTTTATCTACCATGAAAGCCGGTGACTGGCCTGGTTTCTAAACAGTTGCAAATTATTTTGTTATATTTATTGTTATATTGCGAATTGTTAAACTTTGTTCATAATCTAAATCAGATCGGAATCAGATAGCTTCTGAAATCTAAAGGTTTTCTAGTTCAACAATTTTGATTGATTTTGATTTGTCCTTTGCAAACGAATATTTGAATCCGTTCAAACCCTTTCACATCAAATCGATTTGCGCATCCGACTCTTTCAATGAATTCTTTCGTTGAAGCGATTGTGTTCGTGCCGCGAGCGAACGCCGCATACGTTGAGCCGCTCATTTGAATTGTTTGATGGAAAAGATCTAAAGAAGACTATTGCATAAATGAGATTTCTGAAATTCAAACTACATTTAGACTACATTTAAACTGCACTTTAGATCTCGTGCCAAAATTGAGCAACTCAAGCCTAGACTATGAGCGACAAAGCTTTCAGTGGTTGCTTATAAAGCAATTGTATCCAGCTAGTGGAGAAATAACCTCAAATATTCAAATCACATCTATAAAAGCCTATATTCTTTATTTTCTTTATAAACAAACCCCGTGAATATCTCGACATCGAGTGCTGACTGACTGAAGACGCTCCCGCTGAGTCGCCCCACAAAGTGATATGACTTTTGTTTCCTGAAAATATCAAGAAATAGAATTAAAATGTTAGCTTTTGGATAGAGTAATGAATAATCGAAAGTTTAGATACAAAAATTAACAATTTCTCTAGAATTTTACCCCCAAACGCCTCGATATTCTCGTGCACCCAACGAAGCGCTAAATTTTGATCCCATAGCCCGAGATTCGGGGCAATCTGCGAATCGTTTAACGTTAGAAATCCTGAAAATATCTTTCAACTGAACTGTACTGTACTGTACTTTCTGTACTGAACTGTACTTTCAAGCAGTATATTCTAGTTTTCAATAAAAATCAACCCCATTGCCCGAGTCGATAGTTGATCGAAACGACCACCATTCCGTGACTTGCGTACTGAAAATTTTTTGATAACTTACCTAGAATAGAAAAGTAGAATAGAAAAGGTAATGGTTTGAAAAGAATTCAAAATCAAGCTAAGCTTTTTAAAAAAGTAACTTCAAAGAACTGAAAGCACATACCGTAAATACAGTAATAGTACCCCACCACCCTCGTACAGCCGCGTAGTCGCAAAAGTTTTTTAGTATTTCATTCTTTTCAAAGCGCCTCACTTTCACTTTCAAAAAATGCGTCTTTGGTATCAAAAAATAGCCCTGAATTTCAGCTATTTTTTGATACCTAAGCGCGCATTGTAGCATAAATCAGTGTCGAGAAAAGCTCGTTCAAAGCTAGACTACGCGACACTCTGCACCGTCTTTATGGGGCTGGGGTACTATTATTTACGGTAGGTTTACACGATGCTGTTATTACTGTGGCTTTCCTGGAACTCCTGGAGTGCGGTGAAATGCAAATTTTGGGTCTTACTGTATTATCAAGGACTGTAAGGGTACGGCCTACGGTAAAACTCGTTCAAAGCTAGACTACGCAACACTCCGCACCGTCATTATTGGGGTGGGGTACTATTACAGTATTTACGGTAAATGGTTTTTTTTAGAATAATTTATGTATACTAGATTATCTATTTATTAATATTTATTATTTATTATTTCCATTTATAGTAGATTTTTGCCTAAAAAGAACCCCTCTAGCCGCGTCTTGAGGGAAATTTTGTGATGATCCCGCATAGTACGAGCCACCATGAATATAGAAGAGAACTGGAAAGCGATCACTGCAATTCTAAACAGATCAGTTTATAGTTTTGATCCGATTTGTCTAAGATTTACATTTATTGATGGAGTCCAAATATTTAATGTTAAACAATCCTCGCTCATCGTCGCCACGTAGCGCGCTTTGAAGAATGTTCTAAAGAGATGTACAATAGACATGTTCATTTTCGATTTTTGGCGGCATGGTCAGGTCAGCGGGTTACTTTTGATCCGACCCGACCCGACCTGATGCCCATGTCTACTGTACAAGTGTTTTATGTTGTACAAGTACTGTTTTCCGTTGTAGAAGTACTGTTTTCCGTTGTACAAGTACTGTTTATGTTGTACAAGTACTCTTTAATGTTGTACAAGTACTGTTTATGTTGTACAAGTACTGCTTATGTTGTACAAGTACTCTTTAATGTTGTACAAGTACTTTTTATGTTGTACAAGTACTGTTTATGTTGTACAAGTACTGTTTATGTTGTACAAGTACTGTTTTCCGTTGTACAAGAACAATTTGAGAACCGATCACACACATAAGCTCACATTTTTATCATAAACATATTCGAAGCTCTATTAGAAGCTCAATTTCGACTTTTCTTTGTCTTTCTTGTACAAGACAGAGCGAAATTATTAACACCGAATCAGCTTTATAGTTAGCCGATTCTATAAGTTTCTTCTAATAGTCAAGTCGAAATTGAGTCCCAAATCAATTCTCAATTTTAAGCTGTAACCTTTCTTGATGCTAAATTTGTCCTATTAAGACTAAGGAAAATTATTCTTTTCTGAAAATAAACCTGCTGCATGCGAGACAAATATCAGAATACTTCTTTGTCGCTTTTACCTCTTGCCAAGAGTCTGGGAATTCTGGTTTCTAGAAAAACGAGGAAAATTTTAGGTTTAAGACTAAATATCAGTGTCAAAAATGATCTTGAAAATAATATTTCTCTATTTAATCGACATATTTACCTCAAATCTCCGTTTCCCAACTGCCGCCTTTGCATAGGGAACGCCGAGAAATTCGAAAATTTCCGTTCCATTTGTTCCTTTCGTTGAGCTGCCAGAAATCTTTCCGAATTTCGTCTGCACAATTGGATCCAATGATTCAGTGATTACGAAAAGATTAAGGAGAAATAAGCAGAGTAGCATAACAAAATTTTTGAAATTCTTTTGATCAATTTGATCATTCTCGTTTGATTCGAATTGTTTATCGTTTTTTTTTGACACCTCTTTTCACTTTGCTGATTATTGTACAAACAAAGAAAAGTGGAAACTTTGAAATTACTTTAATTTGAGAGCGTTTAAAAGTTTACTAGCTTGGAAATGACAATTTTGGCTCTTGTCCATGTTTTGTAACTATAGAGAATCTAAGGCGAAAATCGGTCCCGGGGATTTGGGCATAGTGATGCGGTGAAAACAGGTGGATCCTTTCGTATTACCGATAAAAAAATTTAGGTATCTATCGGGAACGTGTGCCAGACGATGAACGATTACGCGCCCGCACAAAGAACAAAGAAGTCTTTTAGGGGATTTTTGTTTTGCTTTGTAGATTGTATAAAAAGAAGATATTGAGCTCTAGATTTCTCCAGGGTTTTCGAGGTCGGCGAATCGATTCAGCTATTTATTGAGTCTACCAATTGGAAACTCGAATTTTTGCAGGAGATCAAGCAAATAAACTTATGATTTTATCCGAGTCACACCCAGATTTAGACCACCACCCCGGTTCACTGTCGTTTTATTCTTGCCTACCAAGCTTTTGGGCTTGGTAAGAGCACAAAAATTTTGAGTTGAAAAGATCTTTCAGGATGCACAAGCACAAACCTAGTTGCTGGGTCTAGGGCTATCAGAGCTATTTATTGAGTCTACCAATTGGAAACTCGAATTTTTAGTCTAAACTTTCCTCTTCCTCAAGTTAGACTTCAAGTTTTGTAGAAAACTCGAGCCAAATTTTAGAGGCAAAAATTGATCTCAAAGATTTGAGCATAATGACGCTCAAAAGCTATTGATTTCATTCATTACGGACTTGTTTTACTATTTAATTCAACAATTAAGTGCACCAGAATTGATTGTTTTTCGACTTTTTGAAGATTTTTGAAGAAGCAAAATCTTTGATATACCCTAGAGCTTCATTTCTCTTTTCATTTTAGCGATTTTCTCAATTAGATGAACAACTTTTTGTAGAAATGACCTGGAAAAGAAGAACGAAAAAAAAAGACAAAAAAGGAAACAGGTTTTTCTTTTCTTCTTTTCTCAGTCCATTTCATAGCCTCAAGGATTTTTCCGAGAGTGAGACTGAATGGAAAGAAAGAAAAGAAGCAATTCCCTAGCCTCTCTATCGCCTCCACATCAACCATTCATCGATTTTCCTTTGCTTAAACAAAATTTAATTGATTTTGCAACAAGATTACTTTAAACTACTATAGATTTTCATTAGATAAAGGATATATGCTCATGATGATAATGATCGGTGACCTTCATTTATTCTCTTTCCCCAAATTTATTGATCTTTTTTGAGCATAGAGCTTTTTTTCTCTTTCTTTCTTTTTTTATATCAAAGTTACCGTAACCCGTCTTTTTTTTAGCCAATCTAATTTCGTTTGATTTTGGATGGATTTGTTTAAGATTAAGAGTGATTTGAAAAGTGCATAAAAGCTAGAGGAAAGATTACGATAGTTTACTTTGATATGTTTTAGAAAAGTCACACTAAAGTATCGATTAATGTTCGTCAATAGTAGTCAATAGTAGTTCTTAACGATTCACTTAACGGTTATCATTTAACGGTTCTTAAAAGTACCCACACAACGAGGGTTCGATTCCGGTCACAGGCGAACTGTTTTGTTTTTTAAAAAAATTAATCAAACTTTTGCATTAAAGCTAAAGATGCTAGCAAAGTAATTGATTATTTTAAAATATTGCATGCAAAGGCTTAGCTCAAGCCAGTTTAAGACTGTTAAGAAAGTCTAGTCAAAGCTAGGTTCTCTGTTTCCTTTTCACCAACTTCTTTGTGCATTTCATAAAAAGCACTTCAAATTTTGTTTATCAAAGTTACTATTTTTGCCTTTTCCACCTTCACAGATCAAATTCTAGAATGCGGATATTGATAACATTGACATTTCTCTTTACCCTTTCTCTGGCCGATGATCGACAATGGATAACCGAAGAGGGAATTCAAATTGAGATCATTAAAAAGATTGGAGGTTGATGAAAGAAATTTACAACATAGAAATATTCAAATCACTTTAGAAAGTAAATGCAAATTGAAATCCGAGCACGGGGACACGTTGGAGCAATTCTTCAAGCTCACTGATAAAACGGGCAAAGTTGTCGGAAGCAATTTTGGGAAGAAGCCGTTGGTTTTTCATTTTAGAATCGTGAAGTTTACAGAATTCAAATCTTCAAATGTTAGATTTCAGTTTCGAGTTCACATTGGGTCGGGGTGAAGTGATTCCAGGAATGGAGATTGCAATGGAGGGAATGTGTGTCGGAGAGCAGAGAAAGGTATCAAAGCATCCATTCATTTATTCAAATATTTCACTTTTGGATTATATTTCTTAATCTATAGATAAAGATTTCATTTGTACTTGAATTACCATTTGTACTTGAATTACCATTTAAATCTCTATTTAAATCTCTATTTAAATCTCTATTTAAATCTCTATTTAAATTTCCATTTAAATTTCCATTTAAATTTCCATTTAAATTTCCATTTAAATTTCCATTTAAATTACCATTTAAATTTGTATTTAAATTTGTATTTAAATTTGTATTTAAATTTGTATTTAAATTTGTATTTAAATTCAAGATTTTTAGGTGGTGATCCCACCTGAACACGCTTTCGGTGATGAGGGACGAACTGACGATGGAATTAAGGTTTAAAAAATCATATAAAACTTCAATCATTGTTTTAATTGTAAAGCTTGAATTGTATTCTAAAGATTCGAAAGCCTGAGCCAGACAAATTTATTCTAAAGATCGTAATGATTTCAGAGTGGCGATTCGTTGTACTATTTCGTTGAGTTGAAGTCGATTTTTCGACCAAACCCTGGTGATGCTTGGTATGATGAGGATGGAATGAGAATTGAGGTAAAGAACCGAAAAGCTCTTCAAGTTTAGTACCCAATCACGACATTTATACAGGGTAACCAGACAAATAACCCAAACCAAAACCCAAAAAAAACCTTTTTCACTGTAGATAAACAAAAAAAATAAACCATTTGATGAGATTGATTCATCAAATGAACTTGAAAAGCCTTTACATCCAGATGAACTAAATAAAAAGACTTTTAAAATACTTTTGAATCAACAAAGTAAATCAAATTCAAAAGATTTTAATCCTAGATCGTTTCTGTAAGTTGAAAAGGAGTCGAAAGAAACAAAAAAGTGATCCTAAAGGGTTTATATAGAGTTTATATAGAGGTTTGTATAGGTTTATATATGTTGTGTCCGATTTAGATTTCGGCGCCAAACTTTAAAGGGACTTTTTGCACACATAAAGCCTTCTTTAAACTCTTGTTTCATCAAAAGGATCCACTTTTCCTACAAAATGCTTTTGGGTTCCACAAGCTTTTCTTCGTGGGTTTTGACTTCCAAACGCAGCTGGTTAATGGCAGGTCCGACTCATCTTTGAACGTTTCTTTCCTCCTCTTTGTGTTTATATAGTGGCTTCATTCTTGTTGCCAAATTTGCAGGAGTCCCACCAATGGTTTTCTGTCCAGTTTGTAGTTTTGTGAAAATGGCTTTTCTTGAGCGGGGCGCTGTTTGAATTTTCATTTAAATGTCATTTTGTAGAGAATTAGTTAACCATTCTACTGATATCAAACGCATATTATTTGACGAAGTCGAATAGAAGTTTTAGGCATTTTTTTGATTTTCGGCGCCGACTCATTCTCCCCAACCCAATACTTTATTCAGGACCTGAGATAAAGTGCGTTAGATTTAAGATTAAAACACATGAATTCATACAAATAACACGAAATGGGCCGATAAAAAGAAACACAATATAATATATGTAAAATGTGGGTAGCACAGATAACGTCAAGGATCCACTAGAGTGGATCTAGATCCACTAGATCCACTTCAGGTTTGACCAAGCTTCTTTTCTTCTTTCAACTCCTAGAACTTCCAGAAATAAAAAAAGAAATGAAAATCTTTAAAATTTCATTTACTGAGAGTTAATTAACGATTTTTTAGAACTACTTTTATTTAGTCTATTTAAAGATCGAGTCAAAAAGATTTATCCGAATTATTTCTAGTCACCTCTTTTTCTCAATCTCAATCTCTTTCAGGTGTCTCATCAAATCCCTGACGAGGAATGCATTCGATCTGAAGTCGGTGACACAATCCATCAACATTATGTGCTTCATCTCGAAGATGGAACTTTTATTGATTCATCAATTTCTCGGGGAAAACCATTCATCTTTACTTTAGGGAAAGGAATGGTCAGTGAACAAGAGAACAAGTTTATGCGCAAACCTTTATACCTTTCATGTATTAGATTATTTTTAGGTGATTAAAGGTATGGAGAAAGCGATGACAGGAATGTGTCAAGGGGAAAGAAGGAAACTCATCATTCCACCAGATCTTGGTAGGTTATGATTTTGATTTGTGTATATTTGTATGTGTACTAAAGAAAACGCTTAAGAACATATATTAAGCATGTTTATATTATTGTTCAATCTACATAAGACGTATTATTGTTCAATCTATATAAGATTTAGATTGAATCTAAATCGGACGGAAATCTAAATCGGACACACAACATATATATAAAGATTCTAGTCTTTTGACAACAAGCAATCTAACTGAAGATCTTCAGTTAGATCGCTTGTTGTCAAAAGACTAGGATCTTTGACTTCTTAACTTCTTAACTGAAGCTAGACTTTATTTAATAGTACAGCTGTAAAATTGTGGCTTAAAGTTGCGACAAGGGATGATACTCTTAAAAATTGGTAGACTTAGATCAAGCATCCGCCCCTCTTTCGGTTCCATATTAATTAAATTCTATATTGAGATTGAGAAACATGATCAAAGTCCAGCCATGTTTCGGTTCATTTGCTGTTGACCATCTACGTATTTTGCTCGTATCTTAGCTGGGTTTGTTTGAAAAAACGTTGAATTTATTTTTGTTTGACTTTGGAATCAAATTTTCAATAGAATGAAAGCAAATTCAACGTTTTTCAAACAAGTCCGGTCAAAGTAAAAGCAAAATTCGTAGATTGCCAACAGCAAATGAACCGAAACATGGCTGGACTTTGATCATGTTTCTCAATCTCAATATAGAACTTAATTAGTATTAGTTGTGGTATTCCAACTAAAGTTCTAACTCCAACTGAAGCTCTTTTTTCAACTGAAATTCTAACTTCAACTGAAGTTCCAACTCCAACCGAAGCTCTTTTTCAGGCTACGGTGAAGCAGGACGACCACCAGCAATTCCCGGAAATGCTAATCTCCACTTTGCGATTATTCTTCAAAAATTGATCAAAAACAAAGCGGAACTTTAGATTTTTTAGCTAATGTTTGCTAAACTGTTTTAGCAACCTCGATCATTTCTGGAATATTTAAAATTTGAAACTTCTAAATTCTCGTTTCCCCTTTTTTTTTTGCCATTTTTCGGGTCATTTCTGTGATTGTTATGTTATAGAGAAAAATAAATGGAAGTTTTTAAACAGTAAAAAAATTGATTCTTGACAATTAGATTTTTTGGCGAAAGAAAGCAGGTATCCCCAAATTCCCCGAACACAAAAAACCCTCACTCGTGGTAAGAGATCAAAAATTCGCGAAAAAATGTACAAGACGAATCCCCAATTTGCCGAACAATGCTTCATACTTTAGATTTGATTTTGAAAATATCAAATTGTGTGATGTGAATTACGTGAGAATTTTTTTTTACTTGATTTGAGAGTGAAAAGTATTCGGCAAACGTTTCTCTTTGATTCCTCTTTGACAGAAAAATCTTTTTTTATAAGAATTTGATTGTTTTTGAAGTATTTAAGGCCAATAGGCAAGTAAAAATTTTTAAAAATTTGCTTTAATTAAATGAAAATGAGAATTTTAATGTTTATTTGCTTTCTCATTGCTCACGTGAATGCTTGGGGAATGTTGGGTGAGTTCTTTTTGGAATTGGAAACGAAAGGCGCTTGGTGTACAACCAAAAAAAAAAGCCTTGATTCATAAGGAACTCTTGTGAAAAGCGCCTACTGTGGCACGGAGATCGGATAAATGAGTTTATCACAAATTTATGTTAAGTTTTCTTATAAGAAGCATAAGGAATAGTCAGGGTTAAAGAATTCCGAGCCAAACTGAATCTAGATTGACTCTGGACTGGTTTATTTTATTGCGACTACAACAAGCTGGTTATTGGGTTTCAATCAGTGCAAACTTTCATGCACAAACACTTTCAGGACGGCTTCTCTTTGGTCGAGGGTACGGCGGTTATGGTAATTATGGATATGGCGGATATGGCGGTGGTTATGGGTGAGTTGTCGAAATTCTTTAACCCTGACTATTCCATATCTTATAAGGAAACCATAAATTTGTGATAAACTCAATTTATCCGATCTCCGTGCCACAGTAGGCGCTTTTCACAAGAGTTTCTAAACAAACATCAACACAAAATGCCATCAATACGATAAGCCATCAATACACCCAACGTTAACAACTTTAAGTTACTTTTTTTATCAAAAGTATTGCATTTTGTGTTGATGTTTGTCTAGAAACTCTTGTGAAAAGCGCCTACTGTGGCACGGAGATCGGATAAATTGAGTTTATCACAAATTTCTATTAAGTTTTTAGTCTTAGTCTTATAAGAAGCAAAAATTGAAATGGTGATTCTAACATTTTGAATGTCTCATAGATTTGAAAACTGTTAAATAGTGAAGAGTTTCTCATCGTTAAACAAGTACAACTGGGGCTTGGCTCCTTTTGGTGATCGAGTTCCAATGAATCGATTTTTGGAATATTAAATTTAGTAAACTGTAAATATAAACTAAAAAGTCGAGTTTATTCTTTGTTCCAACTCCTATGCGGTGCTTTCTTGACGATTTTTTTTCTCATAAATCAATTTTGAGAGCACTAAACCACCTGTGAGCTCAAAAGTATATACCTTATTTTCCCTAATAGTAGCGCACCCTAAGCGTCGCCTAAATTGCTCGAAATCTCGAGAGCCGCTTATCAGAACCTATCGATGTGGGGTCGGAAAATGTAGCTGACGATGAGATCTTGTGGGGGATTATAGTGTTGAGCTTCTGGGAAAAATTGGAAACCGAAAAATAGTCACCAACTCGGCTCACCGGGAAATATTCGGGAAATAGATCAGTCCAATCTACTAGCCTAACCTGGAATAATATACCGTCTTCTCTCTAATAGTAGTGCACCCAGAGCTTCGTCTAAATTACTCGAAATCTCGAAAAGCGCTTGTCAGAACCTATCGATGTCGGGTCGGAAAATGTAGCTGACGATGAGATCTAGTGGGGGATTAGAGTGTTGAGCTTCTGGGAAAAATTGGAAACCGAAAAATAGGCATCAACTCGGCTCGCCCACCCATCCACTCCCCCTCCCTCCCCTAGTGCCTCAATCCCGAAAAAGCTTCTCACTTCAAAAGAGACTTCAGATCTCAGATCAGTCCGATCTACTAGCCTAACCTGGAATAATATACCGTCTTCTCTCTAATAGTAGTGCACCCAAAGCTTTGCCTAAATCCCTCGAAGCACTACTATTAGAGAAAATACGGTATAAAGTATAAATATTGAACACCCTGTAGGTTTTTTTTGAGAAAATGGCTATTGGATAGCAGTTTTTTCTTGAATGACAGAAAGAATTCAGCTATCCGTATGGTGGTTATGGTGGTGGATATGGTGGTGGATATGGTGGTGGATATGGTGGAGGATATGGAGGAGGATATGGATATGATAGTGGATGCGGGTGTGGATAATCAGATTCTGTTTGATGATGGCTTTATAAAAATAAATACAAACTTTGTACAAACTCATACTGCCCAAAATAAATTGTTTACAACAAGTTGAATTGTTTCAAAATGACACACTATTTGAAGATTTAAGACCTAAAAATTGGCCACACTATGAGTTCTAGACTTTGCATTCAACCTTTGATTTGTTTCCCTGTCTGATTTCATTTTCTTGCTGATTCCTCTCTTTTCCAGTCTTTTCTCGTCTGTTTTCTTGTTCGTTCTCTGCGCTCGCTTCTTGAGTGCGCTTTGCTGTTGTTTGCTATAAAAAGGATTCGATTTGCTAGAGTCTGGCTACTTTCTCGGTTCTCTATTACTCAAAAAGTCTTTATTTTTATACTTTTACTTTACACAGCACTGTTATGAGCTGAATCTTTGAAAAATTACTAAAACTTTTGGAAAACTACAGCTTAAACTGTGCTTCCGGGTCGGGTTAGGTCAATCCGACCCAAAAAGTGCGATTTTTCGGCGCAACTTACCATAAACTTATTACCCAACTTATCATTGATGAAAGCGGGATAAATCGTCGCTCATCGTGTGTCGCAAGTCGCTCATCGTGTGTCGCAAGTCGCTCATCGTGTGTCGCAAGTCGCTCATCGTGTGTCGCAAGTCGCTCATCGTGTGTCGCAAGTCGCTCATCGTGTGTCGCAAGTCGCTCATCGTGTGTCGCAAGTCGCTCATCGTGTGTCGCAAGTCGCTCATCGTGTGTCGCAAGTCGCTCATCGTGCAACCCTGAAAGTTTTAAACTTATTTCAGTTTATTACAAGAAATATTTCTCTGCTAGACTTGGTAATGTTAACTATAGTCGTAACTACCGTAAATATCCTAATAGAAGCCCCTATAGGAGAGTCGTGTAGACTAAGTTTACTCTCAAACAAACGCTCATATCTCGACACCAGTACGTTTATTTTTGTGCGCTTAGGTATCAAATTAAAGTAGAGAGGATGAGTGATTTTTTTAAGATATAACACAGATTTTTAGCATTAGCCAGCGCTTAGAAAAAATGATTGAAAATCGGCAAAAAAACACCGATTTTTCATCATTTTTCAATCATTTTTTTCTAATGTTTCCATAAAAAAATGCAAATTACGTTTTCTAAAATGTGCTCTTTTATTTTTCAAGATCTTCCGGCAATCAATTGAGTAATTTTTGAGTTTTAAGTTTTAAGCTTTAAGCGTCAATTTTGCAACAAAATCTTCATTTTTGGGAGTGGGACAAATGCTACCTTTTTTTTGCGCACCCGGACATTTGCGCACCTTTTTTTCCGCATCTTGCCCATTAGCGCACCTTTTTTCGCGTTTTTCGTTTTAAAAAAGCTCTAAAAAGCTAATATTAACCAATTTCTATTCCAAAAGTTGTTTTTCTAGGTAATTTTAGGGCGTAGAATCGAAATTTTGACATATCAGAGCTTGTGGAAACAAACGGACGGAGTTATACAAAGAGAAAAATCGACAATTTTTCTGTAATTTGATCTAGCCGTTTTGTCTTTCAAATTGGTTCCACACGCTCTGTTATATCAAAATTTCGATTCTACGCCCTAAAATTACCTAGAAAAACAACTTTTGGAATAGAAATTGGTTAATATTAGCTTTTTAGAGCTTTTTTAAAACGTGAAAAAAGGTGCGCTAATGGGCAAGGTGCGGAAAAAAAGGTGCGCAAATGTCCGGGTGCGCAAAAAAAAGGTCGCATTTGTCCCACTCCCTCATTTTTCATTATTTTTAGCCTGTCAGTAGCCTTTTTATAACTTGTTTTTAACTTTGTTAATTTAGTTTCAATATTTAATATATTTCTTTAGGATCATCGGGGTTCATCTTCAATTCATCCATCTGGAACACACGGAATCATCACTTAGCTTCTTCAATATAAAGTAAGTTGTGTCTAAAAGCTCCTACTTACTTTCTGCTCAGATTAATTTATTGGCTTTAAAGTATACTTTTGAAGTACCGCCCCCAAGTGCCCTCAAAAAGTGTTCCCATATGGTGACACTTTTTGATATTAAAATGCATCGTCTTCTTTTTACTCTCGAGCTCCTTTCAAATTCCCTTATAGATAAATTTTTTAAACTCTTCATATTAAATTTCCTCTATCACAGAATTTTAAAAAGCTCGAGAGAAAAATGAAGACGAAGCATTTCCATATCAAAAAGTGTCAACGTATGGGGACACTTTTTGAGGGCACTTGGGGGCGGTACTTCAAAAGTATACTTTAAAGTTGCAAAATAGTGAATCGATAAGTTGAGTTGGCTGCTAAGCTTAGAAAGTTGCAAGCTACTTTATTGAATTATACATTTTCTAATTTAGCCATTGGACGAAGACAATCGTGTGGCTTCACCCGTCACCTCATCCGAATTAGCCGCCGCTCTTGAAAAGGTAAAGAGTCTATGCACTTTAAGTTCAAATTTGTTTGTTTTAGCCATCGACTATCGATAATCGAGTGGCCCAGGTCGTCACATCAGCCGAGGTAGCTGCAGTGCTCAATAGGGTTGGTTTGGCTTATGCGTCATCACTTCATTACTTTCATAATCAATACTTAGGTCTTAATTTTTCTAACAACATTTTTTGTTTATTTTGCTCTCTTCAAACACGTGACCAAAAATGATATTTATAATATACGGACCAAAACAAAACCATTGTCAATATTCGAACTTAGTTGAGCACAATTCTCAGCAAATGTTTGAACAATAGCTAGTAGATGTTGAGCATATGCTGCAGTCCAGTTATTGTTTGGTGTTTCTATAAAGTTTAGCACTTTAACATCTTTCATTCGAACCGTATTTCGGGATTAGGCTTTAGAATCAGTAGAAGTGGTCAATTTTGAATTACCCCTCCAAAAATAATTTTCTGGAACTAATTGCTCAGATACAACTTTCATCTGTAGACAAGTTGTTAGATGGTTAGATGTTAGATGTAAATTCTTCTCTTTAACAGATAATTTTCAAGATAATTGAAGTATTTTAGTGGTATCTACATTTCAATTCATAAAATCCGACTCGTTTCCCCTTTTCCTATTTAAAATCCAAAATTCCGTTCTTCCTTGTTTTGTTTATTTTTATCCTTTGACCTTCCTTCAAACCAGACAGACATTTTTGCAGAAAAGGAAAAAAATCAATACGAGACATGCAAAGAAGCGAAAACTTCTTCCTGTTTTACCTAAATTTCCCTAAAAATTTCTCCTTGAATCTTCAATTTTCTATCAAAATTTTTGAAAAATCCATAAAATTTAGATTCTACTCATTTTCCCATTCGAATCGATGAATCGTTTCCCGCTGCAGCGATATTTTTCCACTACAGCTGCTTTGGCCAGGTTTCTTGAAAATAAAATTCATCAGATAATATTATCCCATACAATTTGAAGGATTTTCATATCTTTTAAAATTTAATTCATTTTTCAAGGCTTAGAGTCCCAAATATTGGAGTGTAAGTGTACTCAAAAAGTACAAAGAAGAACTCTTTTCTGTCGCTCAATTACCGAAAGTTTTCTTAAACCTGGCTATATTTTCGAATTATGATATTCCTAGAGTTATTTTTTTTATTTTCATTCAGATCTTCTCGTTGGGTGGATCGGCAAGAAATCTCGTATCCAATCTTTGGGAGAGAACCGAAATGGGCGAAGCTGGACAAAGCTTTCGATGGACTCAAATCGGGTGAGGGGAAAGTGGTAGAACAAGAAAATTTTTGTAGGATTACATCTGTTCTTAAATTCTTCAATAATAGCTCACTATTAGACCTTTCAATTGTAGTAAAGCTGATCGAATCATCCTTGTTTTCATTCTAGGCTCCAACATCTTTGTCCACGGAATCGCCGCCACACCGACCCCACTTTTGAAGGTTTTTGCATATGAAGAGCATTTCACAGACAATAACAATTTTAAAAAACCAAACTTTTATATTAGCTTTCAGGCTTTGTGTGAATATGTGGTGGCAAACGATTTGCGAAACATTAAACTCCACCATCTCCATTTGGAAGGAGAGACACCGTGGTTAGGAGAAAAAGTTAGAGGTAAAGTACTCACATAATCTCAATTATCTATTTAAATTTGCATTTAAAGAGTTCAATTAAGGTTTCTAAAATTTTGAAGCCTAATATTTTATGTTTTCAGAGAGAATTCGCTCGAACTCGCTCTTCACCGGCTCTAACCTCCGATCGGCTGTGAATGAAGGTTTGTGTAGAGAAATTTTTCTATGAAGTGATTCTAAAATTGTTTAAAATTTTAAAATCATGCCTGAAATTTCCAGGATTCGCCGATTTCAACTCGACTTTCCTCCACGAGGTGCCGATGCTTTTCCGGAAAGGAGCCATCAATTTGGATGTGGCTTTGATACAAGTATGATAATCATTTCCATTAAAACCCCCATTCTTTAGTAAATCTAGTATTCAGTGAATTGAGAACGGATCAGATCTAGATAGTACTTAATCCAAGGCAAAAGTCTCAATACAGTCAATTGTTTTTTGAAACACTGTATTTAAAAGATTGAATACTAAATTTGGTTTCTAAATACGTTTTAAAGCTTATACTCAGTACTTTAGTACAATCATATTAAATGCAAATTTAAGCTCATTTTCTCATTGTCAGGTATCCCCACCAGATGCAAACGGTTATTGCTCTCTCGGCACATCGGTCGACACAGCTCGTGCTGCCATCACAAATGCCAACCATATTATAGGTAAATCACTAATACCAATATCTGCAATTTTAATCAAGCAATAAATATATTTAATTCAAATTCTCCTTTCAGCTCTCTCGAATAAGAACATGCCTCGAACGTTTGGTGACGGTCTCATTCACGCCTCGCAAATCGATGTCCTCGTCGAAGATAACAATCACAAATTACATGAGAGACATTTCGAGAAAAACACTAGTGAACAGGTAATGATTCTAAAATTTTCAATACCAATGAAAATTCTTTCTATGCTCTTTTTTTTAGGCGACGAAAATCGGACGAATCATCGCCGAGAATCTCGTCGACAATGGCGCCACTTTGCAAATGGGTAAGGAAATTTTGGAATTGATTGAATAGCTATACAAGATTTACATTTATTTTCGAATGTTCTTACAATTCCGAATTTTTAGGTATTGGTGGAATCCCCGACGCAGCTCTAGCAGCCCTCACCGAACACAAAGATCTCGGCATTCACACCGAAATGTTCTCCGATGGAGTGCTGCCGTTGATCAAAAAAAATGTGATCACGAATGGGAACAAAGTAGGCACATTAGACTCTAAAGCAATTTCTTGAGAACTAAATTCTCAAAGATTGCCCAAATATGACTTTTGTTCAGACAATCCACCCCGGGAAACTCGTTGTCTCGTTCGTTTACGGCTCCACTGAGCTTTACGATTTCCTCCACGACAATCCGCTTGTCGAATTCGGTGATGTACAATGGGTTGGTCTAAAATTCAATTATCTAAGTCTTCCATACTCTTTCAACAACTTTTAGGTAAACGATCCGGCAATCATCCGGCAAAACCCAAAAGTCACGGCCATCAATTCGGCTGTCGAGATTGATCTGACGGGACAAGGTTTGTATTTTGAACAGAACTTTGAACTTTGAAAACTTTCAAAAACTAATTTGAACTCGAAAATCGTAGTCATTTACAAAACTTCAGTTGTCTCCGATTCGGTGGGCAAACGCTTTTTGTCGGGTTTCGGTGGACAAGTCGATTTCATCCGCGGAGCCGCTGTCTCTGATGATGGATTAGGACGACCGGTAAGGAGTATATAGAAGTTAGATACGATAGAAATTAACACTTAAGAAAATATTTCAATTCTTTTGCCAGATAATCGCCCTACCGTCGATCACCGCTAAAGGAGTGTCGAAGATCGTTCCCTACATTAAAGAGGTTGGTGAAAGTGAATTAGATCTACGTGAATGCATAAGCCATAAGGCGTACTTGTAAACTTGTACTATTAGGTTGACAAGAAAATTCTTTGCACAGATTTAAACTGGAATTTTCTAAAAATTAATCCACCAATTCAAGAATACTTTATTCTATTATTTACAATTCAAAAAATATTTTTTTTTGTGTTATTTCCTTGTCACTGAGTGTTTGCTAAAATAGGTCATTCTGAAAAGTTAAAATATTAAATAAAATTTGTCTTAATCGCAAATTTTCCCTGTTTTAAGTACTTCATTTGAGATTTTAAATGGGACCCATTACCTATCCATTAACTCATTAAAAGCTTGTCTAAAGGCTGGTCACTCAAAAAGTGACCAGCTGAAGAAATCTCCTATTTTTTTTTTACCTGAAACCCACTCTGATTTTTTGAAATATCGGCAAGTTTATCAAAAAAAAATTGGGAAGAATTGATGGCTTGGCTTTTGAGAAATCACTGTGCAAGCCTTTTCCTATGAACTTTCTTGTAAACCTAATACTTTGTTAAAAAATGCTTTCTCAGGGCGCTGGTGTGGTCACATCGCGAGCCCACGTCCATTACGTTGTCACTGAGAACGGAATCGCGCAGCTATGGGGCAAAAATATGAGGCAACGAGCGTACGAGTTGATCAAGGTAACCATTTACTGGATTTGTAAAAAGGGGAATTGTAAACTGGCAAAACATATCCAAGCACTTTGAAATACTCTACTCTAAATTATTAAGCTTTTAACTTTTTAAGCTTTTTAACAACTTTTGAAACCACTAGGCTTAACCAGATCTAGACTTTGACTATAAACACACTCTCTCTGATACACTCTCAGCTCTGCTTTCGTGATAAAAAAGAATGAATTATACCAGACGAAGTAACTATGCGCTTTTGAGAGAAATGATTATACTTATAAACAAAATAGGCATAAAGAAAAGCTCAAAACTATGAAAAGCGCCAATTTTTCTCATTCAGATCGCTCATCCAAGCGTGCGGGAAGAGCTCGAAAAGGAGGCTTTCAAGCGATTAAAGGTTTGAATAAAGGTTCTTTTTTTTTGAGAAATCAAATTAATCCTTTCAGATAATGCCATCCGCTGATTAACTTCAAGAAATTCGCCATTCATTTTCAAGGAAATTATCTCTTTTTCATATCTGCCATCACTGTGAGCTTTTGCGGGTTATTTATTGGTTTATTTATTGAGTTAATTTGTTGAAACTCATGCTATTTTTGTATTTTTTGTGATTTCAAGAGCTTTCTTATAAAGATTCTATTTTCATAATAAACAAAAAGATTAATGTGGTCTTAAAAAATAAACGATGTTTCTGTAGTTTTTAAAAGTTAATCTAAAGATGAGGCTTTTCAGGTGAATATAACTACATTGAGATAAATAAATTTGAGCTTTAGAAAATGCTTCTACAATTTATTTACTAGTATCTATTTATTTGGTATAATTTAAGCTACAATTTTACAATTTACTATTTCATACTTACCGGTGAAGATGATGAAAGAGATTTGAAAGAGATGTATGTTTCCCACTTTGCACACTCAACTTTCTCCCTCATTTCGAAACTTTTAGCATTCACATAGTGAATTTGAGTGTTAATTTCTTGAATTTTTTTGCTTAACTTCTGGGGTAGGCTAGTTTCCGCAATTTTTTTTTGCCCAATTTGCGCAACTTGCCATAACTTTCTTCTAATTAGGCAAATCTTTATGATTTTGGTGTCATTTTGTTGCAATTATTGAGATCTACAAAATGAAACCAAAATCATAAAGATTGATTCACTTAGAAGAAAGTTATGGCGAGTTGCGCAAACGAGCCAGTTGCGCAAATGACCCTATTGCGCGAAAAAAGTTGCGGAAACTAACTTATTCAGTAAAGAAACAAGAAATTAGGGGTAGGCTAGTTTCCGCAACTTTTTTCGCGCAATAGGGTCATTTGCGCAACTGGCTCGTTTGCGCAACTCGCCATAACTTTCTTCTAAGTCAACCAATCTTTATGGTTTTGGTTTCATTTTGTAGATCTCAATAATTGCAACAAAATGGCACCAAAATCATAAAGATTGGTTCACTTAGAAGAAAGTTATGGCGAGTTGCGCAAACGACCCTGTTGCGGAAACTAGCCTACCCCTAATTTCTTGTTTCCTTACTGAATAATCATTAATCAAATCAATTAATTTAATTCTTTTCCATAAAATCTCCCTCAGCAATGAGATTTTAAAAAATTCTTAACTTTCTTTGCCAATTTTACAATTTTTACAAGTGATTTTTCAAAAAATTTTACAATTTTTACTTTTATACCTATTTTTCGATGACTCATTTCCTAGTTGTTCACTAAATCACTGTTTTTTAGAGTTTTTTTTTCAAAATACCCGTAAGATACTCTTTAAAAACTCACCAAATTTCCTTTCTTGTCTTTTTCGTCTTTTTCGTCTTTTTCCAAGCCTAGAGTTGACCGATTTAGCTGATTTCGCCAATTTCGGGCTGACAAACTCCCTAGTGACAATCCCGAACGTCCCACTCCAAACAACACCTAAATCATGTGCCCTTTTTACAACATTTTATTATTTTATATTTCAAATTACGAATAAAATCATGGCTGTCGATCTGTTCGCTTTCCTTTTCTTTTTGCGCTCTCTGAGTGGAAAGAGGGGGAAACGTAAATATTTATCACTTTATCACTCGTCAAGATCTTCTCAAACACTTTCTTTTCCGCCCGCAATTCTCACATAAAATTTTTGCATTTCACAGACTCTTTTCTAAATAGCTACATTTTTGATTGAGAATTTTCAGAAATGATTCCCGAAAATGTGGGAATACGAGGCATCGAGGTTTACTATCCACGGTTGGCGGTGAGGCAAGATCAACTGGAAAAGGTTCATTTTTTTGTTTTTTTAAAGAAAAACTTATAGCTTATAAAACTGTAAAGATCGAAATCGAGTACTTGAGTTGTAAAGTAAAGTCAATGAATTTCTGAAGTCTCTTGTTTCAGTCAGACGCCGCCTCAACGGGCAAGTACACGATCGGACTCGGCCAAAACCAGATGGCCTTTTTCGCCGATCAAGAAGATGTTGTCTCGATTGCGTTGACTGTCACACAGAAATTAATCGAATCATATCAGGTGAACATCATTTTGTAATACAGTATAGTTTACGTATATTGTATTTTCTCTAATAGTAGTGCACCCTGAGCGTCGCCCAAATTGCTCGAAATCTCGAGAACCGCTTATCAGAACCTATCGATGTCGGGTCGGAAAATGTAGCTGACGATGAGATCTAGTAGAGGATTAGAGTGTTGAACTTCTGCAAAAGCTTTGAAACCGTAAAATAGTCACCAACTCGGCTCGCCGGGGGGCACTACTATTAGAGAAGATGCGGTACTTAGTTTCTTGAGGGAAATTCAGATGAAGTTGATTGAACGATTTCTTTTTTTTTTAGATTTCCAAAGAAAGCATTGGCTTCTTGGCTGTTGGCACTGAGACACTCATTGATAAAAGCAAAAGTGTCAAGAGTGAACTGATGCGACTTTTTGGTAAGTTGCTTTTGCAATATTTTTTTTGAAACATAAAACTTTAGATGAAAATCATGACATTGAGGGAGTTGACGTGAAAAATGCTTGCTATGGAGGCACACAGGCCGTTTTTCACGCAATCGACTGGGTGACGGCCAATTGGGCGACTGAAGGTGAGAATTTTCTGATTCGATTTTGTTTTTTGTGAGAGTGGCTTTACAAAATGATGTTACTTGTTAAAAAGCTTGAAATAAAGTATGATGAAAGTATGAGAAATTGAGCGATTTACCTAATGAGTCTGAAAAAAACATCGTACTTTCACTTTAGGTAATCAAATCGAATCAGAAAATTAGAATTTCAAATTTCAGGTCGTTTTTCAATAGCTGTTCTTGCTGATATTGCCGTCTATGAAGAAGGACCCGCTAGGTGTACTGGAGGTAAAAGATCAGAAGATTATAGAACAGATTCATATAACAGAAGATCAGAAGGTAAAAAAATCATAGAAGAGAAGATTAAATGTGATAGAACCTTTTGAAAAAAGTCTCAGAGTTGACTCTTTCAACCCTTCCATTCCTACTCTACTTTCAATTTCCAGGAGCTGGTGCTGTGGCGGTGTTGATTGGACCAAATGCGCCAATAGTTTTCGAGAAAGGACTTCGCGGGATTTACATGGATGCCACATGGGATTTCTACAAACCGATAGGTTTGAAGATTTTATAATTAAGAATCGTTTATGAATTGCTCTGTATTGCTCTGAAAACCAAAATAACATCTAGGCGGCGGAAAACCGAGCGAGTACCCGGTGGTGAATGGGCAAAACAGTCTCAAGATTTACATGAAAGCCCTTGACGAGTGCTACACGGCGTACAAAAGGAAAGCAAAACGATTGAAAGGGGAAGGTCAGTTAGTGAAATGGATAGCACTTCTGTCTCTCGCTCGAGACGACTCGAGTTCGATTCCTCTCACCGAAATCCGGTAACCAAAATGGTTATCGGACTAATTAGAGAGGAGAAAGAAAAGCGAGTGACGTCTTCAGGGAAAGCTGTTAACTTTCCAGAGGCGGTACGCGAACATTTTACTCTAGCTTTGTGCTGAATATTTAGCATTTGAATTTAGTTCAAATTCAACTTAACAAAATACATTATAACTTCTAAATTCAGAAATTTCTCTGCAATCTTTTGATGCCGCAATGTTTCACTCTCCATTCACGAAGATGGTTCAAAAAGCAATTGGTCGATTACACTATTGGGATGTGCTTAACGGATTTACACAAGGAAATGATGAACTTAAGAAGTTAATGTGAGTTGACTAGATAACAACTGTATAAAGTCTCAAGAATATTTCTAGGCCAATCACCGATCTTGATGAACGAGAAGTGGTTTCAAGTCTTCAAAAGAGCTCCTTTAAAGGTAGGTTTTTACTAAACTAACGAAAACATCTATCACTCCTTTTTGCCGTCAGCAATTTAAGGTTTTTCGTGTTTTTCTCAGCACCAATCTTTCGATTTTGACTTTTTTGACTATTATTTGATGCAGAATGAAATTACGCGTCGAATGATATCAAAACAAAACTCAAAATTTAATATCCATGCAATGTTATGAGGCAAAAGGTTAAGTCCCGCCCACAAGCGGCGGGGTTTAGGTTTTTAGCCAATAACTTTGCGTGGATATTATATTTTGAGTTTTGTTTTGATATCATTTGACACGGAATTTTATTCTGCATCGAATGATAGTCAAAATCGAAGGATTGGTGCTGAGAAAAAAAATAAAAAACCTTAAATTACCAACGGCAAAAAAGAGCCGATAGATGTTTTTGTTACAATTTTAGTTTATAGAAAAGAGCTTTAACTAATCAACTCTAGAGTTTCTATTCAAAGTTCTGTCTCAATTTACTTCTAAAATTTGCTTTAGAATTCAACTCGCTCACATCTCCCTTCTTGGAAATGAATCGAAATTGCGGGAACATGTATACGCCGTCGCTTTTCGTGCAATTGGTGACATGGTTGGCGAAATGGTGAGCTGAATAATACGCTAAATTATTGAATTAAATATAATCAGCATTTCTTTAGCGCTTCAATGAGCTCATCTCAATCACCGGCTCGTATCTTAATGTACGCATACGGGAGTGGCTGTGCCTCAGCCATGTTCTCCGTTCTCGTCAACAATTCAGAGAACGCGTGGGTTTAAGTAACCTCTTAGGTTTTCTCTCATTTCTTTCTCTCGCCATGCTTATTCAGTCTCAAAATTGCTCCCAAAATTTTCAGCGAACTGCTTCTTATGAAGAAAATCTGTGCTGAAGCACTTGAACGACTCAACAATCGTACAGTGCTCACCCCAGAAAGATATCGAGAAGTAATGAAAATGAGAGAAGAACTCTTGCATTCAACAGGTACCAAGAAAACTTTCTGAACTTGAAAAGAAAAAAATCTTTAGAATCGTATACACCGAAAGCCCTTTCTCAGCCCGATCTTCAACCTTTCCCCGGCGCTTTCATTTTGACATCGATCAGCAAATCGTATCAACGATTCTATGCAAGGATTCCTTTAGAACAACAAAATGGTCATAATTGAAATACATAAAACAACAATAAGTTCAAATCAATCATCAATCGCTTAAGTTTTCCCATTTTTTCGTCTTCAATCTTATTCACTGGTCTCTTTTCCTCGCTCCTCCACTGTTAACTCCTTTTTTTGAGATTCTCGGGTCGCATTTTTCTTCAATATCTTCTGCTCTATGGTTGTGCCTTTAAACTGTCTTAAGATATCAACTTTCTTTAATCATTCTTGCCAATTTCTTGTTACTCTTGGTCTTTGCGGTTTCCGAATCGTTTTTATTATTTGTCCTAGTCAAGACTTGATTTCAGCTTTCAGCGTTCAAACCTCTTCTCAACGCCTTAACGCCTTTGATTCCTCACTTTACCACGCTTGCAATAAATTCTTCACGAAAATTTGCAATTTTTCAAAAAGTGCAAAAAGTATTTGCGTTCGGGGGGAATCGAACCCCCGTCGAATGCTTGGAAGGCATCCATGCTGACCATTACACCACGAACGCGGCCGAAAGGAGGAGCGAAAAAGGCGGTGTTCACTTGGCTGAAAGAGAGAGGGGGTGGGTTTATAGGTGATGGCTTAGGAAAGGCTAATTGGGTAGATTTTTAGTTGGATTTTTGTGCCTTTAACAATTACCAGATTTGATTAGCGCTAACGTATTTGACATTTTCTTTTGGCAACTTTTAAATTCAGCTTTTTTTACAACAAAACTCCTTCCATAATTCATTGAAACGAGATCAAGCGAAACTTACAGTCATGTGCAAAAGTCTTTTCACATTCAATTTTCTAAAAGGTTTCATCAATTTTCTTTGATAAAGTTCATGGCGCTCTTTAAGCCATTAATAGTTTTAGTTACACAAATATATGTACAATTTATTTACACGAACGTTATCGCTATACAACACTTATTCATTGAGAAAAAAGTATAATTGTCAAAACACCCCTGAAAATCGCGGTGCAAAAGTCTTTTCACATTTGCAAAAATTTTTATTATTTTCGTTCGCTTCGTATTTACTGGTACTATTTTATTTTTGTTTAGATGCCAGGAGCGTACTTGTCAACTCCGGATAAAGAAAGGATCGTCGAGGCAAGGAAGGAAGGAATGCCACGACAAGACGTTGCTCGCCTCTTAGGATGTACGCCCAGAGCAGTTTCTCTTGTCATGGCAAAAATGAATGTGTCTGGAAATATGCACAGATGTAGGAAAAAGGGACGGTCGAGGATTACAACAAAGAATGAAAACCGATTCCTTACGGGAGCTTTTAAAAGGGATCCGAATTTGACGTTGAACGATGGAGTCATTCTTTTCAAACAAGAATATTTCCCGCTAGACCTTGCATCGACGCTTGCTTCAAGCAGCATTGTATACTAGCAGACCTGCTTCCAAACCTATGATGACAGCCAAACACAGGAGGCAACGCCTTCAATTTGCTCGAACCTATTCAAATTGGACAATCGATGATTGGGCCCGAGTGATTTTTGTTGATGAAATAAAAGTTGATATTTTTCCTTCAAATCGAAATCATCTGATCCGACGTCCAATTGGAAAGCGATATCAACTCAAGTACTTGCAACCCACGGTGAAAACAGGCGGAGGATCAATTATGTGTTTCGGTAAGGATAATTTTCTTTTTATACAGCTCAAAATGATTTCTTTAGGTGCGATGTGTAAAAGTTCAACAGGTCCGCTGGTCCTCGTAAAGTCAACAATGGATTCCCGCCAATATATTGAGATATTGGACAGATGTCTACTTCCATTTGCGACTGCTTCGATGAATCCAGGATGGTTTCTTTATCAAGATAATTCGCCAGTACACAAAAGCAAACTTTTGATGGGCCGCGTTGTGACTATTTCGAATGGAGGAAAAGCACATTTACCGGGATGGTTTGGAATCAATCACGTTTCTTTAATCAAGGCTCCACCATTCTCACCGGATTTAAATGTTATTGAGAATTTATGGGCTTATTTGAAATCAAAATTGCGAGGAAAACGATTCAATTGTAAAGTCGAGCTATGGTTTTACATCAGAAAAATTTGGAGGACGATTGGACCTGGAATTCTTGATGAATTAATTGCATCGATGCCTACTCGTATTAAAGAAGTACTTTTGGCAAAAGGAGGAGCGACTAAATGTTGATTAAAGCTTAATTTCGTTTTGTGTGAAAAGACTTTTGCACCACGATTTTCAGGGGTGTTTTGACAATTATACTTTTTTCTCAATGAATAAGTGTTGTATAGCGATAACGTTCGTGTAAATAAATTGTACATATATTTGTGTAACTAAAACTATTAATGGCTTAAAGAGCGCCATGAACTTTATCAAAGAAAATTGATGAAACTTTTTAGAAAATTGAATGTGAAAAGACTTTTGCACATGACTGTATCATTTCAATATCGAAATGTGTGCTTTCCTCTTTTTCCGCTTTACCAACCATTTCATGAGATCATTTTCATCAAAATTTTGGCTCATTACTCTCTTATCACTAACATGTTTAATCATGAATCGTTTCTACGTTCGTCAATGGCAGAAACTATGCGTACACAAAGAATCAGAAACACATAGAAATTTAACCGCCAAGGGGGATTTTTTGCCGTGGCGCTTTTCTAACTAGGTCCCGATTTGTACGAGTTTTACATGGCTATGCAAGCAAACTTTTGAGTTTTTTCACGTTATAACCAGATAAAACCCCACGTTTATTATTCCACTCCGAAATTTGAGCTTTGTTCTCTTTCCGGCTTACTAATCATTTCATGACATCAATGTAACCAAAAAAATCCGTTTTCTGCTGTCTTATCGCAGAATTTAATTCAAAATAAGAGGGGAAATCGTTTCACCTTTTCATAAACTCTGTTTTCTTATCAAAAGCTTCCTGTTTATAAGGATACACGAAAATTGCAGAGTCGAAAAGTCCAATTGAATTGCATCGATATGCTTAAACTGGTCGTTATTGCGGTTGTTGTCGGGATTTCATTTGCCTCACCAGCGAAGAGTCGAGTTGATGAAGAGAGTGAGTTTCTCTGAAGAAATTCAATTGATCTTTAAAGATCTAGTAGTTTTCAACCGATTACTACCATTTCCAGATTGTCCATTTAATGATGAGGGTTTCAATGGTCAGTGTTACTACTTTAACGCAAACTCGATGAACTTTGAGGTAACATTTGTAAAGTCCACATTGAAACAAAAACTCATGGAAACTATTATAATTTTTTTGTTTTCAGGATGCGAATACTGCGTGCAAAGCGCTTAACCATGAGTTTGTCACGATTTTGGGGCAAAAAGTTCAAAACTTCATCAACTGTAAGGATTTGAGAAAAGTTTGAGTCAAAAAGCGAGCTGAAAATCAAAAATGAAAATGTAACCTTGTAGTAAAACATTTGAAACGTTCCTATCGTGGTTTGAGAAAATTTTCAATCAAAAAGCGAGCTGACAATTCACGGCGAAAAAGAAAACGTTCAACTATGGTTTTTTTTCTAGATCACGCGTACGGTCTTCAATCGTGGATCGGCATTCGTCTTGTAAACGGAGATTGGCAATGGAATAGCAATGGAGAGATTGTTAAGGTTTGAAAAGAATTCATTAAAGGTAAAAGCCACTTTTTAGCCAACTTTCACCAATTGGGAGAATCAAAAAGTGCCGACTGATCCAGCTAAGGTGAGAGTGTTCTCGAAAATTTCCTTGCTTTGTTTATGCATAAGATTTTAGGCTTGTGCGATCATTGATGGATCGAAGAATGGAGTGTGGAGAGCTGTCTCGTGCACTGACATGAACTGGTCGATTTGTCAAATGGGTAAGTTGTTGAGGCAACGAAGAAAACATTAGCAGCAATGTCGAAGTGGGTTCTAGAGTCTGAAAACTTTCTTTTGGTTCAATTGAATAGCCAATCTAGGCAGAAGCTAGGCCAATCTTGGAAAGGATTCATTTAAAGCTACGGTTGCCTAGATCTGGGTTCTTTCTTTGCTCTAAAACCGTGGCCCTGATTATCTAACAATAAATAATCACAAAAATCTGAAAAGACTTATAAATCAAAATTTAGCGGCTCCTCAATAGCTTCCCCATCGAAACATCAATCAAAAACTCTCTGAAGCTAATAAATTTTCGCATCACATTTTGAGATTTACAATTTGCATAAATCTGTGCATAGAACTTATTTAAAACACACAGCTACAAGTAAAAAATAATTTTTTTTTTTTTTTTTTTGATCTGTCTTCGCACTCAGGTGTTCCTATTTGCGCAGATCACAACCTGCTTCCACATTTCTCTATCCTTGCTATTGTCATCCAGTGTTTCCTAGCTTGATTGTTCCTGGTTCGAAGTCTTCGACTTGCTGGTGCTGGTGGTGGTTGCAGTCTAGCCATCCTTTCTCTGACCGTCTCTGCCACTCTTGTGCTCCACCTCGTTGCTGGTCTTCCGACTGGCCTCTTCTGGTCTCGTGGTAGCCACTCTATGATCCGTATCGTCCATCTGTCGTCTGTTCTTCTGGCTACGTGACCGGCCCATCTGAGTCTTTTTCTCTCAATCACTTCCACTGGATCTCTGAGTCCCGAGAGCTGGCGCATGTCCGTACTTCTTAGGTCCTGGTCGAGCTGCGTCTTCCTATTGTACCCGAGGAGGTTCCTTTCAAGGGCTCGATGCGTCGTTCTCAGGGCTCGTTCAGTGGTCTGTGTCGTGGCCCAGGTCTCTGTCCCGTAGCAGAGTGCCGGGAGGACGGTACTGTCGAAGAGGTGTGCCCGAGTTCTCTGGTGATTCTTGAGCATCTTTGTGACTTCTTTGATGCTTCCTAGTGCTGTCCAGGCAGCTCGTCTTCTTCTGGCGACTTCTGGTCTTAGGTCTCCCTCCATGTTGATGCTTCTTCCGAGGTAGGTGTAGGAGGTGACTTCTTCTAGTGGTTGACCTTCCAGCTTGATCTCTCCAGGTGGGCACCATGCGTTCCTCATGCTCTGAGTCTTTTTCCTGTGCATCTCGAGGCCAATCTTCTTGCTGACCCGGTCAAGGTCTTCTAGCATCCGTTGGGCCTCTTCTGGTGTCTTGGCGCAGAGCACGATGTCGTCTGCGAAGCGTAGATTGGTGATGTTTCTGCCGTCTACCGGGATGCCGTAGTCTTCCCACTCGAGGTCTTTCATGGCATACTGGAGAACCGTGGTGAAGAGCTTGGGCGAGATGGTGTCTCCTTGGCGGACCCCGCGCTTGATAGGGATGTGGACTTCCCTCTCGAACATCTTGATGGTGGTGGTAGCCTCCGTGTAGCAGTCTTGTATCGCGTGGATATATCCGAGGTGAATCCCGGCGTCGAGGAGAGCTTGTGTCACTGCGCCGTGTTCCACTGAGTCGAATGCCTTCTTGTAGTCGACGAACACCAGGATGAGTGGTATTCGGAATTCTCGTGTTCTTTCGATCAGTTGGGTGACGGCTTGCATGTGGTCGATCACCGAGAAGTTCTTGCGAAAGCCGGCCTGCTCCACTGGCTGGTAGTCGTCGAGTTTCCGCTCTATTCGTTGTTGGAGAATCTTCGTGTAGAGCTTGTACAGGACCGATAGCAGAGATATTGGCCTGTAGTTTCCGATGTCTTCTTTGTCTCCTTTCTTGTAGAGCAGAACTGTCCTTGCTTCTCGCCAGTGGTCAGGTATCCTCTGGTTGTGGAGGTAGGTGGTGAAGCGTTCGGCCAGCAGCTTGTGCATGTCTTCTCCTGCAGCCTTGAGTAGTTCTATCTTGATGTCGTCTGGCCCTGGTGCTGTTCCAGTCTTGGTGGTGGCGATGGCTGCTCTGATTTCGGCTGGGAGGACTGTCGGCATTTCTTCTGTGGCAGCTGGCAATTGCGGTGGTGGGTGGGTGCCTGTCGACGAGTAGAGGTCGGTGTAGAAGTCTTGGACAATCTTCTCCATCGCCGCTCTTGAGTTGGTTCTGGTGCCGTTGTTGTCCTTGAGGGCTGTGAAGACTTGTCTCTCTTGGATGAGTCTTCGTCTGCACCTCTTGATGCTTTGTCTTGCTTCGGCTGCTTCCAGGAGCTTTCGCTTGCGGTGGTTGCTGAGGCCCATCTTGAGGTGGTTGCGGCATGCTTTGTCAGCTGCTCTTCGTTCCAGCTCTGTGGAGTTGGTGTTGTTCTTGAGGTGGATCCTCATCTTGAGCAGCTCCTTGGTCGCGTCTGAGATCCTCTGATCTTTGGTCTGTGGCACACTGCACTTCTTCTCGCACTTCTTCTCGCAAAGATAATTTTTATTTTAAAAAAAGATAACACAATGTTTTTTTTGAAAGATATGATCTGAAATTACGAGAGTTTTCGTGTTTGTCTTATCACCGATTCCCGTTCAGTTAATAGTTCTGGGGAAACTTTTCTTTTCACTGAGCTTCAAGAATTAAAATAACTTTTCTTATCTTAAATTTTGACATTTGTTTTAGTTTATTCTTTCAAAAGAATTCTTTTAAAAGAAGAAATCGATCAATATGCTTAACGTTTTCTTACTCCCTATGTTTTTCGGTGCATCGTTAACCGAATTGACTAGGCCAGGTATGATTGAGGTGTAGAAAAACAATTGTTAATTGACAGCCAGCTTCAGTAACATTATGACATTTCGATCTTCAGATTGCCCCTTTTCCGATGTATAGAACAACGGCGTTTTTACTATTTTGATGCGAACTTTCAATTGATGTAAATCTAGTTTGAAATTTTGTTGAAAGTTACTTCAGGATGCGAACGCGGTGTGCAAATCGCTCGATCACGATTTTAGGGCAAAAAGTACAAAACTACAATTTTTCCGTTCATTGTTCATTTTCCGTTCGCGTCGTTAATCGAATTGATCCCAGCAAGGCTTGCGCTATTTTGGATGGGAAAATGAACGGTGTGTGGAGAGCCGTTGACTATTCAGAGCCTTATTGGTTCATTTGTCAAATAGGTACCGTATATTTACTTTACGTAATAGTCTTCTTTTGGAGAAACCATCGTCAAATTACACGTTGGGAGTATTTTACTATTACCCCCCACATACTTTACTATCACCGCCCCCAGGATAAACTGTATTATCACCCCCCATTACGACTATTACCCCTATAATTTACTATTATCTTCCCACTTATTGTTTGGGCGGTGATAATACATTATTTATATTGTGTAATATCACCCCCCCACCTACAGTACTGGACAATGAAATATCATATTTGAAAAACGATCGTCACTTTCGCGCTTCTGTAACTCCCTTGTCTTTGAGCTTAAACTATTAGTGTTATACATTTTCTGAAAGCTCTTTTCAAGGACTACACAATGGTAATATTAATATTTAGAAATACGGTAAAGACAATGGAGTTACAGACGCGTGAAAGTGACGATCTTTTTTCGAATATGATATTTCATTGTCCAGTAGTGTAGTTTACTATTACCCCACCACCTGTTTTTTTTAAAATAATGGACTTTTTGAAATAAGATATTGGAAAAATTGTTCAAAATTCATTTCTTAAATAGTAAAGTGGAGGCGGGCGGGGGCCATAATATAGTTCATCCTGGGGAGGGGGGACATAGTAAAATAGTTAGGGGGGCGATAGTAAAGAATTTCCGGGTAATTTTACTATCACCCCCTCCCATTTATTTTACTATAGCCCCCCACTGATGTATTTTTGGGGGACGATTCTACACTATCAATCAACTTTACTATCACCCCCCAAGGATAGTTAAGTAGTATCGCCCCCCCCCCAACTTTTATCATCGCCCCCCCCAATTTTAGTATCGCCCCCCCCCCAATTTTTATCATCTTTTTCAATGGGTCGGGGGGGCGATAGTAAGCCCCGGGGGGTAATAGTAAAGTTTTCCCTACATTTTAAATTGGACATTTGGAAAATAATAAAGAAATTTTTAGCGGACTTCAACTTCAATAGCTTCTCGGCTCTTCACCGTTTTTTTTTGAAGGCAATAAATTTTTCTCTTTGAATTTTGTGAAATGAAATTTGCATAAATCTATACATAAGAAAACATTTAATGTAGAGATTTTAAATTTTGGATTCTGAAGATGGCATTTTTGAGAGACTTCAACATAAAGATCACAGTTTAATTGGATTCACTTGAGCCTTGAATAAGATTCAAGATTCATCGAGTTTCCCGCTTTTCCAATATAGGATTCACAAATACGAATAGGTCAGCTGTAAAATCCCATTTGCTCGTCACTTTTCCTCGTTTATCAGTGACGCCATCAAAGAGTCCAAAAGTTTCTCTTTCTGCATAGCTTGATCTTCAAAATCAGATAAGGTAATCCTGTTCTTTGGCACAACAACTATAAACGAATGCTATTATCACAAATTTTGAGCCCTTTAAAAGCCGTTGGGAAAATCATCACCTAAACACTTCACAGAAAATGCTCAAATTGGTGGCTTTGTTGGGCTTGGTTGGCTTCGTTTTCGGCTTTTCCCTGGCTCTGCCGACGAAACAGGATTGTAAGTTCATGTAAAATTGTCAAAAAATGATTTTGTTTTCAGCTTGTGATATCACTGAGCAATATTACAACGGAAAATGCTACAATTTCCAGCTTCAAGTGGTCGATTACACGGTAGGCGTTTTCGGAAATCATTGAATTTCAAACTTTAGTCGTCGAGCACCAAATGTAAATCGATCAATCACAAACTCGTGCAAATTCTCGGGCAAAAAGATCAGAACTATATCAATTGTAAGTGAAGTGTTTATTAGAAAATAAACCTACCGTAAATACTGTAATAGTACCGCACCCCCATAATGACGGTGCGGAGTGTTGCGTAGTCTAGCTTTGAACAAGTTTTTCTTGACACTGGTTTATGCTACAACGCGCGTTTAGGTATCAAAAAATAGCCCTCAATTTCAGCTATTTTTTGATACCAAAGACGCATTTTTTGAAAGTACGGGCGCTTTGAAAAAATGAAATACTAAAAAACTAAAAAAGCTTTGCGACCACGCGACTGTACGAGGGGGGTGGAGTACTATTACTGTATTTACGGTAATGACCTCAACTTGATTCGGAACATCAAGAAGAGATCATTTTTTTGTACCCAAAAAGTAATGCCAGTAAGCCAACACAGGCAACACTACAAATCACTTCCAATTCCCAAATTTAGTCAACGCTATGGGCGCAACCGTTTGGCTTGGACTCCGTTTTGACAATGGCAAATGGTATTGGGATGACGACGGTGCCATCACAAAGGTTTGCATAAAAAGAAAATAAAATGATAGACTCACCAAAAAAAGTTTCAGCCAACATTCACCAACTGGGAGAATCAAGTGGAGCCAACTGATCCAACTAAGGTGAGCAAACTGTTGACTAAACCTTTCTACAGATTTGAATTAACCTCTACGCAATCATATTGCAATCTAAGCATCTAAGCTCTAAGCATTCCAGGCTTGTGCCGTTCTGGATACATCGAAAAATGGCGTTTGGACGGCCGTCGACTGCGCCGAGAAATACTTTTTCATTTGTCAAGCAGGTAAAGCATCTTAAAATTTAAAATTTCATAATTTCGAATCATGGCTTTAAACACCAAATTTTAGCTGCCAACCCTTCAAGGGCTCGACATTGAAAACGGTCGCTGCGTGAATCAATTTTTCTTTTAATAAACTTATCAGTTACAAAATATAATGTGACTATTAAAATATTGACGACCGCGTGAAATGTCACAAGTGAATGTCACAGATGTCACAAATGTCACAAGTGAATTGTTGGCTGAACCTTTCTACAGATTTGAATTAATGTGTGATGTGATGTCACAGGTGAATGGAGGCCTTGGACCACGTAACATGATGTCATGTCACGGCTGTTTCTCGCTAATGGATCGATCAGAAATTCTAGAAATTTTTAAGGATATGCAACTTGTTGGCCTCCACCAGAATATAATTTTAGCTTTCTAGAAACAGACAGAAAATTCTTTTTTCGAGACATTTTATTAGATTGAGAAATATGAATTGTGCAAAAGTTCCAAGTTTTTGACGGATCTGGTTTTTAGGGCTTCATAATTAAAAACTAAAGCTGGACTTGGATTCCTCACCGCAGAAAGCTCTGGGTACAAATTTCTAACTAGGGAAAGGCACGAACTTCCCGTGAGCTTTCGTTTCCGGACCGCATACATCTTACTAAATCGAGTATGGAGATTCATAATCTAAAATCAAAATCTGCCAAATAAGCTTGCAAACGCGTCAAAATTAAATTGAAATTTCGAAGATAAGCTTTAAAGTGCGCTTTTCAATCGCCGTAGAATGGCTCCCGGTGGCTTAGTGGGACAGTGAAACGGCTTCCCAGTCGTAAGATCGGGGTTCGGGGCTTTTGGTTTTTTTCTTTTCTTTAAGTGTAATACTTTACATGTTTTTACCTATTCATTGCTCATTGTGATGTAAATCGTAATTTGAAAAAAGGCACCTTGCTTTTATCAGATGTTTGCAAAGTGAAAATTTTTATTGTTTTGAATGCTTTGTGATCTAATTTCATACAAGCATTTTATCTTTTGCTTTGTTATATTGAATAGTTACAAGGTAAAAAATTACATCTAAAGAAAAAAAAACCAAAAAATAAGAGCGAGACCGGACCCCGATCTTACGAGCGATAGACCGCCCCACTATCCACTTGGCCACCGGCGCTGGGCGCCCCATACCCGTTGATTGAAAAGCGCGGAAGAGTTCAATGCAATTTCCTTCAATTCTTTAAAGTTCTTTAAAGCTTCGAAATTTCAATTGAATTTTTACGTGTCTACAAGCTTATTTGGCAGATTTTCATTTCAGCTTATGAATCTCCATTCCTGATTTAGCAAGGTGTGTGTGACCCGGAAAGTTCACGGGAACTTCGTGCCTTTCCCTAATAAGCTTTTTTTGGTTCTTTTTTGCTTTTTTGGTTCTTTTTTGGTTTTATGGTCCAAATTGTTTTCGGAAAAATCAACGGTCGCAAATGTGGTAATGACATAACTTTGTCGCTTCTTTAACGAGTTTTCTTTATTTACACACCTCAAAAACAAACAAAAATAACAGATGAATATGGGTTAACACAATTAATGGCAACTAACAAAAGACAACAGAAAAACAACAGAGTAATGGCACAAGGCGGCGACTAAATGTTAAATGTTAATTGTTAAATGTTAAGTGAAAATATATCGCAAAGTTTCAAATGCGTACTAGCACATCAATCAAAGAGGTCGTCTTCCTAAAATTCAAAGTTATTTTAATCAAAAGGCAAAGAGGATTACCTCAAAGTCATAGACACTCATTTGCTCTTCTTTCACAGTATAAATCGACCGAGAACTAAGTTCTGAGCCCTATAACGATTCAATGATTAGAAAAACTATCTGCAAACTTGTGTGGGAATTTGAGACAGTGGTTCCTTTTTTGGCGACTTTGCCGGTGCAAATGTGATCTTTTCACAATTCTTTCTCTTCGATGTTTTGGTTGATTTCGGAGTAACAAAGATCCCAGAATCATTTGCTGCAGATAGCGACAAGCTCAAAGGATCTTCTATCTCTTGAGCTAGAATGAGCATCTTTGTATAATCAACAAGATATCCATACCTTCATCAAATGAAAACATTGAATCGTTCATACTTATGGCATTCCTATTGTTCAGTTTACGGAAGCGATTATGTAGTTTCATCAGAGCCTTCACTGCTTCTTTTTGTCCACTGACAGCCAACCGCTAGAGTCTCATTGGATATTGCATTTTTCGGAAATAACATACCGCAATGGTCCTTTGAGTTGAATCTAGTAAAGACTTGAGAAAATTCGCATTCGATGAAAAGTTTCGCCGATGGCGGTGAAGTGATAAACAATTTGAGATCGTCGTGCAAATTGTCAAACAAAGCTCTAAAGATTGGTAAATTTTAAACAAAAATGCAATAGATTACCAGAATCGGGATTTCTTGCACAATGATCCAACATACCATAGAGAAAAGCCAACTCTCCCACAAAATCGGGCTAAAGGTAAGTTCTTGATCCAAGTACGTGTATCAATGTTTACCTCAGAAGCCCGAACTTTGGTCTTTGCCTCTTTTCTACTTTTGTCATTGTTAACTTTTTCCTCGTTAAGCAGTCGAATCGTAAGAAGCCCGTAGGAAAATAGGGCAGAGAGGTCGACTTTAGTCTTGTTTGGCCAGTTCTCATAAATGCGAACTGCTTCAACCATAGATGCAGCCATAAACCCTCTATAAAAGAACAATACAAGCCTTTAATTGTTACTCTTACCGATCATTTTTATTCCAACCGATTGCTCTGCTAACGTACGCTTCGGTCATCGCCTTAGCCTTTGTAGGAGACTTAATCGTGAAAGCTGTGAGTAGAGAGCGAGACAAGATTGTTGACCATCTAAACAATAAAAAAATATAAATACCACATATCATTAATCACTTTGAACCAGTAGTAACCATTAACCGTAAACCATTTTCAATTCCGGCCAATTGCAAGATGCGGTTCTAAAAATGTGAATAGTGATAATATTATACAAGCGTAAAACGCACCTTGTTGATTATGGCATTTTCATACAGTTGGACAATCCTTGTTATCTTAACCCTCAGAATTTGTGTCTAAACAATAATATTGGTGCCTTAAAAAATTTCAGCAATACCTTTGTTTCATCGTCAGCCTGAGAATCTGGATCCAAATCAGCATAGAAAGCGGAAGCCACGGCAACGAGACCCCTCACCAAGACAAGTTCGGCAATTCCAGTCAAACAGGCAACACTTGTCCTGATCTCATCAGGTAGTTTCGTTGGCAATTCAGCAAGAATGTGTGCGTGAGCCGCAAGAATCTGAAATTTAATTAAGGTGGACAAATCATACAATCCACACCTGATCATCCATACAAGCAGCAATGGCTATAATTTTGCAGCCAATTGGCCGTGTTGTATCCACAGATGTTGCCAATTCCACCTAAGCATTTAGCTAGTTGAACGCCAAATAAAAACTTACTAGACGGAGAACCAAATTTTTCAAAACTGAAGAGTAGGTATCAATTGTTGTGTTTCGTAGAAGAGCTTCCAGTAGAATAGCACATCTGATTTTTATATAAAGATTAATGTTTAGTTGCAATACCTTGGGACAGCCTCCATGTCAATATCATATTGCTCCGTCGTCTGGCTATTCTCATTCGATTCAGTGAGCATTATGTGAACCATGTAGGCTATTTCATCAGCAACACTCTATGACCCGAAGTAAAATCGGAAACAATCGGAAAAATAATACCAGGGCTTCTTTCTTATCATCCACGCTATCGTCGACCATATCCTGCATGATACGGGCAAGAGAGTCTCGATCTTCGAGAAAGTGGCACTCCTTGGTGATCACCATTAAAGTTGTGCGCCATTCGAGTCGCCCCACCCATTCTGTCGTGTCGAGTTGACGCATCAAATTGCACAGTTCCAAAACAATGAATTCCTGAAGAAACCTTTTATATTAAAGTTCCTGCAAGTCTTTTTGCAAGACTAAATTACAGAGTAATCAAGCTAACCAGCAAAATTCTTTGATCCGAATTCTTTACAAGGGAGCTACGACAAATCGCCTGGACACAGCTTAAACGAATATTGCTGCTAGATATTACTTTTCAAACAAACTTCTTCACCGTTTTAGCCAGAGTGCACAAGTCTGGGAGAAATCTAGCGGCGATGAGCGACGGATCTTCAGTGGAGACCTTAAAGAATTCAATTTATCAAAGTATTTTTTAGAGCAAACTTTTCTTTGCAGATAATCGATCAAACTTCGATGAACAAATAGGCGACGTGCCAAAAATTTCATTTCTGATTCCGCAACACTAAAAGTACATTTTGAGTGTTAAAGCTTTGAATATACTTCTCAAGGATTTGGCCAATCGTTTCTTTTGTCAGTCTGTATTGTTTTAAATCCGGAGTGAAATCTTCTGGAAAATAGGCCACATCTTCGTCTCGTAACTGTTTCATCCATTGCGATGGATCCACCTTACCGACCGCATTCTCTTGACAGATTGAAGCAATCGTTGGAAACTAGAATAATGTTAACATCAGATAAGCGAGGCATCAAACCCACAATTTTGTTAGCTAAATCCTTATTCACGATAGGATCAATAAGTTTGAAGAGTAACTCCACTCGCAGGCGAGGCTTGGCGTCAGGTCGACGTTCCTCGCTGTTGTAGTCTTGTGCAATTTCCGTGAGCCATTTCGACAAGATGCATTTCCTCCATTTCTCATGAATCTGTTGCTCGTTATCTAAAAGCTTGCCATTTTGACATTTAACCAACTCCTACCATCCGCATATAAAATTTTCAGTAAGCGAAGTGCCTGTATTGTGTCGAAATACGTTAGCGATGTGGCCAAAAAACGTCGGAGCAAGCGAGAACGAACCTAAATCAAGAAATCATAATATAGTTGCTTACAGTTAACCTGGACATCTTTTTCTGTTTCTAGCGCATCCATTGTTCTATCCATTGACTCGGCAAATGTGAAGGAGAAAGAGTCGACCGCCTTTGCTCTGACCGTTGGTTGGGGATCGAACAAATGATCTAACACAACTAAAAACAAAATCTTCAAGAAGTATGAGCATTTAACTACGATCATCCGGTTTTGCTGTCGATCCAAGGTCGTCGACAAATATTTGTACTCCCGACACGTGCGCAAGTGATTCAATAGCTGCACCACGTACCTCTGTTTCCTAAAATGAAAAGTTCTATCTTTGTTTACAAAGGAATTTTACTTTATCACGCCGAAGCCTTTCAAGCAACGAAGTCCAGTGCATCGAACGAAGAGTTTGAGCTGACATTTTAGGAAAGCTGCGAACCTAAAGCTTTGCACTTTATATTATTTCTTATATCTTTAAAGCCCACCTTTGGATATTTTATGTCGTTTAGATCAATGCTGTCTTCGTCAAAAGAATCGATGGCCTGTGTGCTATCGTTTGAAGAATTTCTCGTATCATCTGGCTCTTCCTCTTCTTCCATCGAAGCTCCCCCAAGTTCTCGTTCTTCTTCAATTGTCAACACCTCCTTCATCAAATAACAAGCTTTCATTCGCACAGAGCATCTTTGATCAGTGGCACCCTAAAGCAAAACATAAATTACGAGTCTCCCGCTGTTCCGAAATCGTTTATTTGAGAATTTTAATTTGTAAGAAGTACCATGACAACAAGTTCATCAACTAAACGATGGCAAACATTTGATTTCAACGTCATTTCGTAAGCATCTACCAAAGCCACGGTCTCGAGAACGGTTTGCCATACTAAAGAGCAAAACTTTTAAACATCGATAATTAAAATTAACTTGAGGTCCTTGAAATTGAAGTGAGCGCATCCGTGATGTAGGATGCAAACGCAGAGATTACTGGATGTTCGGAGATCAAGCTCAGTGTTGACAAATCGTCGTCTTTGTACTAGACAAATAACAAATATTAAAGACAAAAACAAGATAATGGTACCTCATAGAGAAGAATTGTGAGCTGTTTAGCGGCAGAGCGAGCTTGCGATGGAGCCTGTATAACTTGTTCAAAGAGATTCCGAATTCGTCTCACTTTCACTTTCGGGTCACTAAATGCAGTCACAATTGAAATATTTGAGCTGTACAATCAATCATTTGACTACAATGAGACAGCAAGTTGAATTTATATGGCCAAGCTAGCATAATCAAATGTAAAAATTTACTCAGAACTTTTTTCGCTTGCCGAATTCGATGTGAAGGTGAAGTTGAAATCATCTGCCTGCGAGTTCAACCTCGAGTTCGTCATAGTCACTAAAATAAAGAACATTTATAGCGGTACTAAAAAAAGGTGATAGGTGAATCCGAAAAGCAAATCAAGTCCAGCAAAAGTTTCTTTCACGCACATTGGTATTTTTGCATTCACGAAGATGATTCATTTTATGCAACAACAAGACAAGAGACATGCCAAATAAATTGAAAAAACCTCACCGATGCGAAAAAGAACGGGGGTGGCTACTTTGCCCCAAATTCTTTTGCGCAACTCGCCATAACTTTCTTTTAATTAGGCAAATCTTTATGATTTTGGTGTCATTTTGTTGCACTTGTTGAGATCTACAAAATGACACTAAAATCATAAAGATTGGCGGGTACTTTGGTGGTTGAGAGGGGCCACTTTTGGCTTGCTTAGTCGAATCTAGTGGTTTGAGCGGGGTGGCAGTGTACATTCATCCCTACTGAGCCAGAGCTCACTAATTTTTGCTTTTAGGGTTTTTAATGGCGCAGATTTATAATTTGATATTTATTTAAGCTTTAGTGACAGTTTTCTAGCTATTTCAGCCAGTTACTTAGGTTTTAAGCCTCTTAATTCGGTTCCCACCTCCAAACCTAGTGGAAATAGAGCCACTCTTGAAGGCGCGGAATGGTTGCCCAAACTGGCATAGAAGTTGTTCAGGATTTGTAAATGCTTCCAAGGGATTCAGTGCAATTAATTACCCCAAAAAGTTTTTAAAACTAGTGCAAAGTTCGAAAAACTGATGTTTACAAACTGCCCTCCCCCCAACTACTATGGCACCTTGAGCGGTTCGTCTCGATACTTTTTTTCTATTCTGAAGAAAGAAATATACGCTGAAGCGACTGGTGCTAATTTAAGCACGTTTTTGATAATCCTATTCGATGATTTGTCCTGTGTCCTAGATTATTGTACTTTAACCACCGAACGTTCTCCCAAAGCTGATTACCCTTGGAAAGCTGCAATACTAACTTGAAACATGTTGAAAATACTCTAAAATTAGCATCAATCGCTTCAGCATACATAATTATCCCGGAATAGAAGAAAAGTATTAACACGAACCGCTCAAAACACTAGATTCGACGCAGGCAAGCCAAAGTAGTCACCAAAGCACCGATTGGCCCACTTAGAAGAAAGTTATGGCGTGTTGGGAAAAAAATTTGCCGCAAAGAGCCACAAGTCACCCCAAGAACGGAGAACAACAGAGAAAAGGCGAAAATGAGCTGAAAGGAAAATGAAATTTTAACCGTTGACTGAGTATCATAAAAGCAATTGCACAATTTCGTTATTTAAACGACTCAAGAAATTCACGTGTTTTAGCTGTTGAAGTTTTTTTCGGGGGTGGGACAAATGCGACCTTTTTTTGCGCACCTGGACATTTGCGCACCTTTTTTTTTGCTGGAAAAGGCCTTAGAGCTTCGAAAATATTTCCACATAAGGGAATCGCATGCGTAGATTCCGAATTTCGACAAATCAGACCTCGCTGACACGTCAAATTTGGGCTAAAAGGCAAAAACTACCCAACTTAACGCTTTTCCGCAGTTTTTGCCTTTTAGCCCAAATTTGACGTGTCAGCGAGGTCTGATTTGTCGAAATTCGGAATCTACGCATACGATTCCCTTATCTGGAAATATTTTCGAAGCTCTACGGCCTTGCCTAAGGCCTTTTCCAGCAAAAAAAGGTGCGCAAATGTCCAGGTGCGCAAAAAAAGGTCGCATTTGTCCCACCCCCGTTTTTTTCATCTCGTTTGTTGACTCTGTTTTTATTGAACCTGTGGGCGATCGTGAAGCAGATTACCCATTCATTTGTTTCAATGTATATAAAATCTCTTTATTTCAAAAGAGCTTTATACTGCAGCAAGTACCCATCAGTGTAAATGCACTTCATAAGTGAAAACGAGAATAAGGGAAAATGATGAATAACAACAAAATTACAAAGCAACAATCTTCTAAAGTTTCGCCTAAAATCCAGCCGGCTTTTGAGGAGTTTTCCGCCTAAAATCGCCACTTGCTTGGATTTTCCCATCGACTGGCAGATCGATTATCTGAAAAGGTGAGTGTACTTGATAAATCAACTCATTTCCTGTTAATTTAACTTTAAATGCAATTTTTGTAGTCACGCTTTGAATTTATCACAGTTTTGACAAACCTGAACGATCCCTTCGAATCCTGAAGTATCTCTGAACTTCTGGCCGTATTTCTTTTCGAGAATCGATTTCAACTCCTAGAACCATTTTAGTTAGTTGAAATGCTGAGCTTTGAAATCTTTCAGTAAACAAAAACTTGCATTCGGGAAAAATTTATCCACTTGAGTGATATCGGGAGTGAATTGATTGTGCAACATCGGCGCGTCAACAGCTTCCTGTAATGTTTTATGAAAGTACTCTACAGATTTCTCTGTTTGCGCACAATCAGTAAGTTGACAAGTGTACAGTCGACTCTTGATTTAACGACTCTCGATACAACGATTTTGAAATCCTAAAACACGCCATCGTTTTTTGCGTAGCTGCCCAGCCAAACGCAATCGTTGGCCGTTCAAGGCAGCTACGCAAGAAATTTCTGGCACGTTTTAGAATAGTTAAATCGGGAGTGGGACAAATGCTATCTTTTTTTTGCGCACCCGGACATTTCGCACCTTTTTTTCCGCACCTTGCCCATTAGCGCACCTTTTTTCGCGTTTTTCGTTTTAAAAAAGCTCTAAAAAGCTAATATTAACCAATTTCTATTCCAAAAGTTGTTTTTCTAGGTAATTTTAGGGCGTAGAATCGAAATTTTGACATATCAGAGCTTGTGGAAACAAACGGACGAAGTTATACAAAGAGAAAAATCGACAATTTTCTGTAATTTGATCTAGCCGTTTTGTCTTTCAAATTGGTTCCACACACTCTGTTATGTCAAAATTTCGATTCTACGCCCTAAAATTACCTAGAAAAACAACATTTGGAATAGAAATTGGTTAATATTAGCTTTTCAGAGCTTTTTTAAAACGCGAAAAAAGGTGCGCTAATGGGCAACGTGCGGAAAAAAAGGTGCGCAAATGTCCGGGTGCGCAAAAAAAAGGTCGCATTTGTCCCACTCCCGTTAAATCGAAATCTTTAGTCCCGAGCTAATCGTTAAATCGAGGGTCGACTGTATCTTAAGTTTGAACTGTTTGTGGATGATTCAAGGTACTGAAATTTCCATGATTCCCTCATTGCAGTAAGCTACAGAGCTAAAGTTAACAAGACTTCGAAGTTCTTGCTCAACTTTATAGTCGACTGAATACAGTATATTAAAGAAGGAATGCTTTATTAATACTATTAGCAATGCTTTACAGTATCGTTTGCTCACCTTGACGGTTTCTCCGAAGAGCAGCGGTCGAATCACCGACTTCGCCAACGCCGAGATGATTTTTGACCCACCCGATGCACCGGCCACCATTCTCAACTTAAAAAACAAAATAGCAACTCTAGGTCTAGCTGGACAAAGTTGAAAGCGAATTTTCAGTCTTACGTTTTTCGTTTTGTTGTCATAAATGATCATTGGACTCATGCTGCTCATTGGACGCTTGCCGGGCCTAAAAGGAAACTGTGGTGACTTGTTCTCCTTCCAAATTTATACCTAATAAAGTTTGTTTCCGATGGAGCAAATCCAAAGCCATTTGCCGTTCCGGGAGTCGAGAAATCGTCCATCTCATCGTTCCAAACGATTCCCAGGGCTTCGGACTCAACAGCGGCTCCAAACCTGGAAGTTTTTTTCTAGTTGTTTTGCAAATCAAGAAAGATTCCCTTATTATCTAATTATTATCCACTTTTTCATTTCAACTAACCATCGATTAATTGTAGTCGTTGAAGTGACTCCATTTCCTTCAGCGTCAACCACTGAAACATGCGAAGTGCCGTGATCGGCTGGCTGTAAAATTGTCAAGATATTCTAGCTGTCAAAATATTTAGCGTTTAAACAAAGCGTTTAAACAAACATGTGTCTGATTGATTCCCCCATATTTCTCCGTTGGTTGTGCAATGTCTTTTATGTGATCAACTACCCATCGCGTGTATTCCAAAGTCGTCAAATTCTCGGCATGCGCTAGAGCACCAGAGACAAAATCGTGATCACCAAAGAGAGTTCTAGAAAGGTATGCAGTATGAAATATGCAGATTTTAGCTAACAAATAAAAGCTTTGACAATACCTCTGCGCGTACGCAAACTTCATGGCCTCAATGAATTTGTGGTAGAAAGAGGGCTCGTAGTAGAGCTCAGTTGGCGAGTTTTTCAGCGGATACATTTCTAAATCTTGGATAAACTTTCACTGAAACAAAACTGACTTGACAAAGCCGAAATGATAAGTTGTGTGACAGCAAAAGATGATGGTGGTGGACCGCCGCACATCACCAAATCTCCTCTGTAAAAAAAAAGAGCTCACAATCAATGATAAGGAAAATGGTAAGGAATATTGTTGCTAACCTGAAGTGATCGTTTATCAAAGGAGTATCGTAGACGCGAACTTTATAATTGGCCAAGTCATCTTTTGTAATCATTCCATCTAAACTTTTGTGACTTATACAAATAACTCAAAATATTTTACTATTAGCTTCAAACTCTTTCGCGATTGAGTCGGCCATATCACCGTGATAGAAAAGTTGAATTGGGTCTTCTGTAAAGGAAATGTTGACAGATTATTTTACTTCCTTAGACATGTTCATTTTCGAGTTTTGGCGGCCGGGTCGGGTCAGCGGGTCACTTTTGACCCAACCCGACCCGATCCGACCCGACCCGACCCGATCCGACCCGATCCGACCCGATCCGATCCGACCCGACCCGACCCGACTCGACCCGACCCGACCCGACCCGACCCGACCCGACCCGATCCGACCCGATCCGACCCGACCCGATCCGACCCGATCCGATCCGACCCGATCCGACCCGATCCGACCCGATCCGATCCGACCCGACCCGACCCGACTCGACCCGACCCGACCCGACCCGACCCGACCCGACCCGACCCGACCCGACCCGACCCGACCCGACCCGACCCGACCCGACCCGACCCGACCCGACCCGACCCGACCCGACCTGACCCGACCCGACCGACCCGACCCGACCCGACCCGACCCGACCCGACCCGACCCGACCCGACCCGACCCGACCCGACCCGACCTGACCCGACCCGACCCGACCCGACCCGACCCGACCCGACCTGACCCGACCCGACCCGACCCGACCCGACCCGACCCGACCCGACCCGACCCGACCCGACCCGACCCGCTGCCCATGTCTATCACGAATCGTTAATTCCAATAACCCACCCGCGTCAGCCAATCGCTGTAATGTGGCAGCCAACTTTGGTCGTGGCAGAAGCTCTCCCGCTTTGTAAGTGTCATTTGTTTTTGGATTAATCCATTCTCTGAAAATAATCACTATACTTTCAAATATTAAATGATAGTCACTATACTATATCACTAAGCTTTAGTTGAATATCTTTTTGTGAGATCTTTTAATTTTGTGAGAAAAATTCAAACAATTGGGTAACTATGAAAGCTCCAAAATCCCGCGTAGATTTTTCTTAGGTTTACTAGATACTAGATAGATATTACTAGATAGATTACTAGATAGATTCGATACTAGATACTAGGTTTACTAGATAGATTTGCTACTTTTGTTTGATCAGAAAAAGCCACAGTAGCTTTTTCTGAAGAGCATTTTTAAGAAAAAAAGAAAAATCATGAAGCGATAGACAGACAAAAGCTAAACTTGTCCAACCTCATGCTTGGAAATGAGCGGAAGTGGTACTCTTTGACTTTCATCACATTCTCCAAGTACTCTGAAACGGGCACTCCATCTCTGCAGAGTTTAATCGATGGCTAAATATTGATCAGTTTCCATAGAAAGCTGTTTTTCTGTTTGTTTATCTGTTTTTCCTTCTCTCCTCCAAAAATTCACCTCAATAAGCTCCCGCCAGGCGATCCTGCCGCTACCATAATCCCGGTAGACAAGCCAATATCCAGCAAGCTCTCCCGGGGTACCCACCGCGTTAAAGCCTATAACAAGTTCGTAAACTCTAAATTGATATTTGTTACCGTATTTACTGCCATTTGTATTCTTCACGAACATATCCTCCTTGGCCGCAGCTGGGGCTGTCTCTCGAGCGTCGATCGCTATACAACGACCTTCGGTTCTAAACGTGAAAAGAAATGCATATGCTTTTCAAGTTTTCAAATTTATAATCTTACTTATTATATAAAGTCATCAAAAATCCGCCACCCAGCCCTGAAGATTGTGGATTCGTAACACCAAGGCAGAATTGAGCAGCAATCGCCGCCTCGACAGCATTCCCACCCTTGTCCATTATTGATCTAGAATTTCGAATTCAGATTACTTGTTTAATAAAGGTTGATAAATTCTTTGAATTCTAATAATCCTTCTAATAATTCTTTTCCCACTTTCCAATATCAGCACATAGTTTGTGATCGGTTGTAATCGCGGCTTTCGTGAATTCGCCCATGATCGATGGAGAGGCGGGTGGCCAGTTGAAGGCCCGATTAGGAACCTGAGAAAGGAGTTTTCAAAGCAGCGACTACGCATCAATACTCAACCATAAGAATTACAGTATTACGGATATACTATTTACGAGACTGCTGCACTCACCGCCGCATGTCCTCCACCAACAACAAGCAACAAAAGAGTGATGAGAGCGGCCATGAAAACGACACAAGCTATTGAAACGGCCAAACACCTGGAAAATAGAGAGAATTTTATTTACAGTACTACAAAATAAAAACATTATATCATTCTACCTCCTCTGATGTGGATGCGGAAATAAAGGCTGATAAATAGCGGGACGATTTCTCGTCATAACTTAGAGCAAAAAATTTTACAAAATAAACTTTAGCCAACAATTTTTTTACTGACTATTCGTTGAGCAGAGAAACTAGAAACTCGACTAACTAGAAGTGGATGAGAAATCTATTGAAAAGAGTGAAAAAAGAAAAGGAAAAAGTGAGATTTCTTTACAAAGGCTTTGATGTGCTTCGTTGAACAGACCTTGACTTACTTTAGGGAAAGTAGAAATTGCACAAAGAATATAAAATATAAAGATCAGAACGGATGATTTGATTGGATGAAAAAAAAGAACAAGGCATATTTATAGATCAAAAGTGTTTCTAGAAGGCTTTTTTTTTGTGTTTTCCTAACCGCAAATTCTCAATTTCATTGCCTTATCATATTTTATATTATTTTTATTGGTTAAAAGTATCAAATTATTAAGAATTTTTTGTAGTTTTATGTACAGTATTTGAACAATTTACAGTAGTCTCATTGAATAGCTATTAATATATAAATCTAATTGATTGAATGTTTAATTTATGAGATTATCAGACAAAAACTGATAGTTACAGTTATGTTTAAAAGAATTTGAAACAGTAGGCTCATTGAATAGCTATTAATATATAAATCTAATAAAAGATCTTTTCACCTTAATTCACAAAAAGGTCTATTGAGTGAGAAAGAGTGAGAAAGAGAAAGAAGAGGTGAGTGCGTGCATTTGTCAACGAATGATTCGGGTCTTTTGCGGAAAAGAGTGACCACAATCTAGAAAAAAAGAAGACAAATCAAACCTTTTGGGCAAAAAAAGAAATGAAAAAGAATACTTTGGGGATGTTCAAATTTACATTTACATCTAATATAATAGTAATTTCGTTCGTTCATCTAGGTTCGTTGAAGGCTTTGGAAAATTGGGTCCTTCAAGAAAGCGTTCTCGGAAAACAAAAGTACTTGGGCTCAATTGCCAATTATTAAAATAAAACAAACTTGATAAAGATAATAAAAAGTTTGAAAGGTAACTAATGCTAACTAATAAATAGATAGCTAACAAACAGCTAACTAATAAATAGATAACTAACAAATAGATAACTAACTAATGCTAACTAATAAACAGCTAACTAATAAATAGATAACAAACAGCTAACTAACCAATAGCTAACTAACAAACAGCTAACTAACCAACAGCTAACTAACAAACAGCTAACTAACAAACAGCTAAGTAACAAAATAATGTCTGTCAGATAAAAGCTAAACAATTGAACTCGTGGTTGAGCCGTTAAACGATCTCTTTCGAGGTCAATGCACACCCAATCAATGTATTTTTCTTTCTCGATCATTCTCCCCGTCTACGCAAATCTTTTCATCAATCCATTCACCTGGGGCGAAAGATTTCAGGCTATAAAAACCGTGTTTTCTCCCTTCTCGATTTCTTTTTTCACTTTAGTGTGTTTTCACGAGAGATTTGTTCGTCGGAGATTATCGAAAGGAGGATTGAATGGAGGGAAAGGGGGGAAAGGGGTGAGAAAACCGCTCCTTCGTGTCATGACCAGCCCCTCACCTTATCCTAGTGGTTTCAATCTCTTTCTAATCGTTTGATTGACAAAAATACACCACACTCTGTCGTCTTTCTTTTATCAACAATCTTGACCTAGAAATTTTTGGTGATGAAAGTGAGAAAAAGTCAACTGGGTCAGCTTTAAGAATAGAGGAAATGAAAGGAAAACATTGATCACCATCACCTAATTGATAGTTGTTAATATTGATATTGATAGATTGTATTAGCTTAAAGTCATTATTAGCTTAAAGCTATTAGACAAACCAAAATTTGAATAATTTTTATTTTTAGAATCAATCAAACCTCTTTAACCCATTCCCTTCATAAATAGGCCTTTCGTTTTTCTCCTCAATCGCTGATATGGTGATAGTGGCATGTTCGGCTAAAGTTAATACTTTCAAATCTAATTGTCTACTTTGAAAATTTAAAAGATATCTATTGAAATTATTTTAAAAGATTATCTAGTAAAGAATCTAGTAAAGAATCTAGTAAAGAATCTAGTAAAGAAAGTAAAAAAAATTTCTCTTTCAAACCTGTCGGTTGAACGCGAGCAAATCCCAGGGTGACTCCAGTGGGAGCTGACTGAAAATAGCTTAAAAAAATAGCTTAAACACTATAGCTTAAACACTGTATCACATTACTGTAAATTACTTGGCTTCAAAAGTAAGGCCAATCAAAGTAATTTAAGGCCAGATTTTTAAGGCTAGTAAGGCCAGAGTTTTAAGGCTAGTAAGGCCAGATTTTTAAGGCTAGTAAGGCCAGATTTTTAAAGCTAGTAAGACCAGATTTTTAAGGCTAGTAAGGCCAGAGTTTTAAGGCTAGTAAGGCCAAATTTTTAAGGCTAGTAAGGCCAGATGTTTAAGGCTAGTAAGGCGATATTTTTAAGGCTAGTAAGGCTAGATTTTAAGGCTAGTAAGGCCAAATTTTTAAGGATAGTAAGGCCTTTTTAAATACAAATTTATAGTAACCAAAGTTTCTATAAACTCACCGCAAAAATCGTGTTCTCCCTTGAGCCGGACATTTTAAGAATATTAGCACTATTTACAGCTTTCCGTTATTTACATTTATTATTGATAAAGTACAGAGCTTTTCGTGAATTATTTACACCATAGTGAGCACAAGATATCTAGAAGAATATCTAGAAGAGTTTTGGTGGTGACAACTCGTAACTCGTTTACACTCCACACGACACACTCCGACTGGAAAATGACTCTCTTTTCGGTTGAAAAAAAAACCCTATTAAAAACCGGTTTAACAATAAAGAAAAAAAACAAGAAAAGAAAATTGAAAGAAATAAAAAGTTAAGTAAAAAGAATTTGATAAAAACAAATTTGATAAAAATGTTTTTTTTTTCTGAACTTACTCATAAAAAAAAATTCATCACTCAGACAATGAAAAATTGCTGTATTTTGACTTTTGAGTCACTTCTTTTTGTTTAATAAGACAAAATAAAAACGATAAAACATTTAAGAAATTATTTTAGTCATTGTAAATTGTATGTAGTCATTGTAAATTGTAATTTAAAGATATTAGTGAAACTTAGTTAAACTTTGTTTCCTATGTTTACACTAGTAAAATAACATTTTATTGACGCTGAATGTGCTTTTGAATTGGATTTTAGATTTTAAACTCTTTTATTCTTTACAGAAATGAAAGTATAAAGAAAATAAGTACAATTTTGAAGAAAAGAAGTCAAAATCGGTGGTAACTTGGCAAAATTGGCACAGAAAGTTAAGAATTTTTTAAAAATCTCATTGCTGAGGGAGATTTTATGGAAAAGAATTCAACTAATTGATTTGATTAATGATTATTCAGTAAAGAAACAAGAAATTAGGGGTAGGCTAGTTTCCGCAACTTTTTTTGCGCAACAGGGTCATTTGCGCAACTGGCTCGTTTGCGCAACTCGCCATAACTTTCATTTAAATGAACCAATCTTTATGATTTTGGTGTCATTTTGTTGCACTTGTTGAGATCTACAAAATGAAACCAAAATCATAAAGATTGATCCACTTAGAAGAAAGTTATGGCAAGTTGCGCAAAAGACCCAGTTGCGCAAATGACCCTGTTGCAAAAAAGATTGCGGAAACTAGCCTATCCCGAAAATCGTTTATGAAATTGAATATCTTTTAAATTGATTGAAAAATATCTGAAACAAATCCAAAATCGGTAGCTTAAGCTCAAGCTGAGATTATTTATCAATTTAAAGTCAGACAATGTACAAAAATTCTAGACAAACTTTAACCATATTAAATGAGTAAATTTTATAGATATCTTACAATTTGATAGTTAACATAAAAAGCTATATAGAAGCCCATTGCAATGCATTGTGTTCTCAAAAAAATTATATAGAAGCCCATTGTGTAGATGATTTTTGCGAGATGTGGCAAGACAAAGAAAAAAAGAAGGCTTTTGGAATCACTTTCCTCGAATTTAGACCCCTTTCTCGTTTCTTTCCATTTTCTTTCTTTTCATCTATCTTTCTTCTATCCAGGTCTAGATGGCAAGCTTGAAATCGGGTGGGGAAGAAGGAAGCTAAAGAGGGAGTGATCCCCTCCTTTGCGGAGACAACGGGTTATTTTCCGGTCCCTTCTTTCTTTCTTTCTTTCTTTCTTTCATTCCTTCTCTTTAACCTGAACAATTGCTTTTTAACCAACACTTTCCGTTGCCAAATTTACGTGCACTCACTTCTGTAACTCTTAATCCCTAAAAAAACAGTTACACTCTTGTAAAGATTATATAAAGAGTCACAATTTGAATGAATGAATTTGAATATTGCGAAGATGAATTTGATGAATTTGAATATTGCGAAGATGAATTTGATCATGTGTACTTAATCCAAAGCTTAATACTTAATCAATGCTCAATTCAATTCAATTCAATTCAATTCAATTCAATTCAATTCAATTCAATTCAATTCAATTCAATCCAATCCAATCCAATGTATGCAGTATGAATGAAGCCATACGATGTCAACTCTCAATCCCTAAAAAAACTCTTGTAAAGTCTTTATCTTTAATTTAATATTGCGAAGTCTTTAATTTGAATATTGCGAAGATGAATTTGATCATGTGTACTTAATCCAAAGCTTAATACTTAATCAATGCTCAATTCAATTCAATTCAATTCAATTAAATTCAATTAAATTCAATTCAATTCAATTCAATCCAATCCAATCCAATGTATGCAATATGAATGAAGAAATACAATATCAAACTTTTTGATGAAGACATACAATGTCAAACTTTTCTTGAAACTTGACAAATGCAAATCTAACATTTTTTTCTCCTAGTTCGATTAAGAGAAGCCAAAACACCAGAATATCTAGAAGAGTTTTGGTGGTGACAAAAGTAACTCGTTTACACTCCACACGACACACTCCGACCCACTCAGCGATCGTGAACTGATTCAAATTTTTTGCGTATTCTTTTAGATTCAAAAACATTGTCTCAAAAAGAATGAAGTGTAAATCTATCTACAATTTATTTCCAATCATTTCATAAAATTTCCTTATTGTTTTCCACAAGCCACTTCCGAGCAGAGACATGGTGGTTCAGGAGGTGATGAGGGCTAAATTTAGAGATCTATAGTTGATTTTCTATTGCTAGTTTAAAGCCTATTGTGTAAAGTTTGAATTTTCAGAAAAACTTTTCATTACCGTGAACTCGCGAATCACCAATGATCCCGATCCCTGTTGCTGGTGTTGATTGCTGTCTCGAGTCAGGTACGAGTTGAACTTCTGCTTCATCTGGAAAGTTTTAAAGTTTTAACTTCATCTGGAAAGTTTTCATTATTATATCTGAAAGTTGTACTTCATTGTGAAGTCGTTGGCTATATTGATCGAATTGTCGCTTGAACTCGTCGAGTTTCGCTCTTTCATTGGCATTCAATCCACGCGGGCGACCGTCCTCGGTCACTTGACCATCCTGAAAATGATTGTCGTGTTTAAAATGTTTCAAATTTTGATGGTAAATATTTCTTTCAAGTGGTGGTCAAAAAAAATCTAATAGGAAATCTTTCTTTCCCTCATCATTCACCTTCAAAACGCAGCGCCCATTGTTAAACTGAAACTCGTAGCTGTGCGTCGTGTGTGTTTGCTGTTGCTGGCTTTGCGAGTTCCTGATTTTAAGTTCAATTCAAGCTTTTCATTTCCACTCACAAACTAGCCGGTTGTGGCCAATTCGATTGTTGATTTTGAGGGGAATTTTGTGTGTTAGCTTGGCCGCAAAATTGAGCCGCACACGGGCAATCGGGCACTCTTGGCTCGTTCTAAAACAAGTAAATTAAAGAAACTTTTCCTGAGAACTTATAGAATTTCATAAGCTTCATAAGATTATTATTATTATTATATTATTATAAAGCTATTGGATTCTTAAGATCAAGATCAAGATCAAAATCTTCATTTTTTTTTTTAAAACTGACATTCCAATGGGTTCCCTGTTGTCCATCCCCATCTCGGCTTAGCTGAAAATTCGTTTATCTTGAATTTTCGGTGTGAGCGTCAATAGGTGTCCAACGGAAAAATGCCATAGCTTGACCAATTTCACTCAAATCTTTTTGACTTTAATTTCAATCGATAGAATAGGAGATTCTGCATCAAATGATATAAAAATCGAAAAAGATCCGAGTGAAATCGACCGAGATATGCCATTTTTCCGTTGCATGCCTATTGGCGTTTACACCAAAAACTTTCCCAAGTCTAGTAGGCAAAACCTGTACCATAGCAAAATTGATAGCCAAAAAACAAACTTTTCCTCTCAATTGATGTTGCCAGCTATTCAATTGATCAGCGTACGATCGAAATTTCGCTTTACTGTGCGCGTCGAGTCCTCTTGGCACTCCATTCTCGGTTATGGTATCCTAAATTTTAGTCTAACAGTCCTAATGCCGCCATGGTCGACTGGCTAAGAGCTCTGTATCTTGGTCGGGAGGTCAAGGGTTCAATCCCAAACATCTATGTACGAACTCTCTTACCAGGGTGACCACACACCGCCCACTGTTGTAGTCGATTCGTAAAGATTCCCCACCACTCTGACCCTCGACACTAGAAATCACTTCACTCAATTGCCTAGCTAAAATCTCAAACTTTCTGTACTCCACATTGTGATTGTTGATCTGTGGCTGTGAATGGGGGGATTGCGGGGATTGTTGACGAGCAGAATAGCCGCTGATTTGCCATGTTTTTGTCGTTTGAGTTCTCGTTTGAACCGGTGCAGGGAGCTGAATGGATATTTCAACGTATCTCCCTAGCTTTGTAAGTCGTTACCTGTTGTGGCTGCATTGGCTGACAGCATGAGTTTGCTTGTTGAGGTTGAGGTTGGGGCTGTTGCTGCGGTCGACAACATTTCTCACGTTTTGGTTGTTGTTGTGGTTGGGGCTGTGGTTGGGGCTGTGGCTGTGGCTGGCAGTTAGGCTGACAGCGATTGTTGCTAGGTTGTGGCTGGGGTTGAGGCTGTTGTCGTTGTTGTGGTTGGCAGCATTTGGCGCTTTGTTGTTGGGACTGTGGTTGGGGCTGTGGTTGGGGCTGTGGCTGTGGTTGGGGCTGTGGCTGTGGCTGTGGCTGGCAGTTAGGCTGACAGCGATTGTTGCTAGGTTGTGGCTGGGGTTGAGGCAGTTGTCGTTGTTGTGGTTGGCAGCATTTGGCGCTTTGTTGTTGGGGCTGTGGTTGAGGCTGTGGTTGGCAGCTGGGTTCACATCGAGGTTGTGGCTGTGGTTGCGGTTGTTGGGGTTGTTGCTGTGTTCCGCAACATCGTCCACTACTTGTTTGTGAGTTTGAGGGATATTGTTGATGCTGCTGTTGTTGAAAGAATGTGGTCTGTCCACCGGCGCTCTGCTGGACCCGGTTTTCTGAAAACTTCAGGTAAACGCTGAAATTTCTCGAAAGCAATCTCATTAGATTCAAACTTATTATTTCAAGATATAAATAATTCATATAATTCATATAATTCAGCTAAAAAGAATTCATTTTTTAACAAAATGAAACCTTTAACCTCATAATTAACGTGTGTTCCTTGCGAGTAAGTGAAAATTTCGCTATATACTTAACCTTTTTATGCTCTATCTTTTATCCATTGACACCAAGATACAGTAATGGACAATGAAATATCATATTTGAAAAACGATCGTCACTTTCGCGCGTTTGTAACTCCCTTGTCTTTGAGCTTAAACTATTAGTGTTATACATTTTCTGAAAGCTCTTTTCAACGGCTACACAATGGTAATATTAATATTTAGAAATATATTTAATATTTAATAAAGACAAGGGAGTTACAGACGCGCGAAAGTGACGATCTTTTTTCAAATATGATATTTCATTGTCCAGTAGTGTAGGTTTCCTTAGCTAAAGTGTCTAAATCGTATCATTGAATAGACTACTCGACTCTAGAGACTCTAGAGTGTGTTCCTTCCGAGTAAGTAATTACTAGAGTAAAATTTGTATTAGTAATTTTTACTCGACTAATCGACTTTTTTTTGTCGAGTATCCACGAGTAATCCTTTTTGCAAGTCGAGTAAATTGAAGATCTTTACATTTGACGGGAATTTGCCATCAAATCAATGCCATCAATGCCATCAAACGGCTGAATATCTTTAAAAGAAGTCGTATTTATGTCGACTCGTGATTCTTTTGCGTCATTTTTTTCCAATAATGTTCGATAAACGGTAACGGTCATTTTTTCCCAAGTATGCGTTTTAAAAAACGCATTACTCGCGAGTAGATTTGCTTATCGATTTTATCGATACAAACGGCAAGCTCAACTTTGACCGTTCAGATCTCGGTTTCTAAAACAGCTATCAATCTGCAAATTGTTTCATTGGAAAGCTAAGAATGTCAGCTTTTGATTGCTTTCTCACATATGGCAAATTCGCATAGTGGAGTGCTTTAAAAAAGCTTAGCAATACATATCGATGGCAAGTCCACTCGCAAGGAACACACTCTACTCATAGTTGGAAGTGTTACTTACCTTGAGCGTGTTGTTGTGCTACAACGACGATTGGTAACAATGAGAATAATAACAAGGTTTTGAATACCATGATTAATGACTTAAAATGGGTTTTTTCAGCAAGAACCCACTGAGGTCGATTAGCTTTTGACTTTAGGTGGGGGCAAAAGGTGATGCATTTCCATCAATCTTCGTGAGATCTCTAGCGGGCAGCGGTGGTTTTTTTTGAGGTTCTCGAACTCAAGCAAAAGGAATTTCTTCCCGGATAGTTGGATGAAAAAGTGGAAGTTGGGATTAAACGGAAGTTCTAACTACCGTAAATACTGTAATCGTACAGTCGCGTAGTCGCAAAAGTTTTTTAGTATTTCATTTTTTTGCAAAGCGCCCGTACTTTCAAAAAAATGCATCTTTGGTATCAAAAAATAGCCCTGAATTTCAGGGCTATTTTTTGATACCTAAGCGCGCATTTTAGCATAAACCAGTGTCGAGAAAAACTCGTTCAAAGCTAGACTACGCAACACTCCGCACCATCATTATGGGGGTGCGGTACTATTACAGTATTTACGGTAGGCTTACATGAAGCTGTTATTACTGTGGCTTTCCTGGAACTCCTGGAGTGCGGTGAAATGCAAATTTTGGGTCTTACTGTATTATAAAGGACTGTAAGGGTGCAGTCTTATGCCCCTACCGCTACAATATTTTAGTAAGTACAATAGTTACAGTACGACAATTTTCATAAACTAGACTAAACAGTTTTTAATGTAAAATTTGCGATTTCCTCAGCAATTTTGCATTTTTCTTACTTCACTAATTGCCCTCAACTCCTATTAGAAGCGGTTTTTTGTTTAGAAAAACGAGCTTTTCTTTGAAATAAACCCCCCTCCACGTGACTCTGTTTGGTGCGAAAAATTCGACTAAGCCGTTGCCATTTTCTCCCCGATTCTCTCCGCAAAATCTCCTCTTTTCCCAGTTACAGGAGTCATAGAGACACACAAAAATAGACGATTGCCTACAAACGACACCAAAAAACGTTCAGGTCAAGTGGGTTTTTGCTCGAATTTTGTTTGTCCTCTTGGCCTTTTTAAGCGATAAGATTTAAGGTTTACTTTTATATTTTTATATTTTATTAATAATTTTATGGAGTAAGCTATTTTCGTCGATATGTGTTGAAAGTTTCGAATTGATTGCTGAAGTTTGTTGTTGTCAGCCTGTTTTTTTTTACTTCTAGAATCAAAGCTTTATTATTTAGATTAGTTGTATGGTTTTAAACAAGTTGTTTATATATTTTTTAAAGATTTCAATAATTTCTAGTGATGAGCAAGGTGGTTGAGTCATGGTCGGCGGGGCCATCGACTATCAATGCCATTAAAGGTGGGAAAAGTTTGACAGTATTGATCAGGTTTAAATAAAAACGTCTAAATTTATTAACTGCTTATTAAAAACATATTCAAAATTGATATTCAGTCATCTTTGTACAGGGTGGGCCAAAATTACCGTTACAACTTTTTGGACAAGTATCTGGGAAATGTCTAATTGATTTCAAAAGTGGCAAGTGTTATACAGAGAATTGTAGGCCTAATTCTCGGCAACATTTATCTACCAAAAACATCCCGATTGGACTTATACAACTCATTTAAGAAGCGCTTGAATGAGCGCTAGTCGACATCTCTCCGGCGAATCTGTCATTTGGCCGCTTTTCTCTATTAAAAATTGTTAAGAAAAGCTTTTCAATATTTCTTCAATGCAAAAATAGCATTTAATATCACTTAATAACATTAGGAAACAATCACAATGTGCCCAAATTTCCAGTGGATGGCTCAAGTACAAGTCCTGGAAACCCATTGATCAGCCCGAACTCGTTGGTCTCGCGGAGACGATGGCAATGCACAATTTGCAATAAAATGCTCTCATCGAAAAGAAGCTACGATGAGCATATGAATATTCACAACAACGTTCGACCACATCAATGTCCCGATTGTCCGTATGCGGCTGGTGAGTGAAAAAAAAATGGCATCTCCAGAAGATCATTGGAGATTTAAAGAACAAAGTACGAGATTTGTAAGTTAGTGAAGGGATTGAAGAATCTTTTTAGCCTCACAAATGACGGTGCGGCGACACCGCCTGCGGAATCACGTCGAAAAGCACAATTGGGGTTATCAATGCCCGTATTGTCAGGATAAATTCATGGAACCCGCAAGTTACACAAATCATGTGGCGTAAGTTTTAGAGAAATGTTATTAAAAGCTGATTTTTTCAGTGCTCGACATCCAAATCGTTCATGTACTTTCGGGTGCCCAATCTGCATGTGGACTTGTCGATGTGCGAGATATTTCAAAGAACATGTCGAAAAACATGTTGTTACAAGGTATTGCACGTGAATTTTGGAATCATTGGTTTTATAAGCATTTATAAGCGCCCAATCCATTTCTAGAGTTTGGCCACAAGGCGACCTTGAAGAACTCTATGAAGATCAACTACAGCGGTTTCTCGTTGATGATGAATTCGGTAATGACTTTTGAATGGCTTTAACTTTAAAAATGGGTTCAGGAAATGGATTTCGATATCTTTCCACAAAAGAATCAGATGTTCCGAAAAGAAAAGCTGAAAGTTTGGTGACACAAATCACTCGGAAAGAGGCATCCGATTTCTTCAAAGAACCTTTGAAATTGCCGAAAGGATCCGAGGAAGCGCTAGCGAATATTAAATTGAGACCGGTGAGTTGGCAAAAGTTAAAAAAAACTTAACCAAGATCTATACTTTTTTAAAACTGAAGACTAGACTCTTAACTACAGCATTACGTAGCTAACTACAGAAGGTAACTAAACCATAAATGACTATTTCAGGAGCGTCGGCTCCCCGTTCGATCCATAATCCTCCCTCCACCACCGCCAATCCAATTGATTTCGGGAGACACGGAATGGGTGGGAACCGAGGTGACAATAGAAGATACGGATAAGACAGGAAGAGGACACATCTTTCCGAATGGATGTGTCGATGGATTGGATCTGGATTAAGCTCGGTTTTGTGCTCGTTATGAAGTTGTTTTTCAAGTTTTCGACTAAATACATATCCATAAGTGCCTAAATAATCAATAGTGCTTTTGAGACTCGATTTTAGTCAAGAATTATAGGCAAAATATCAAATATTACCTGTGTGCTATGTTATTTAGAAATTAATGTTTAAAGATATTGTAAAGATCAGGCTTTTGTAATACAGTTGACTACAGTAAAAAATAAAAAAAAGGTAAAAAAAAGAAAGTAAAAGTAAAGTGGAAAATAAAAAAAGTAAACAAAGGCCAAAAAAGTAAAAGATATTCAGCCAACCAGACTGCGTATCTTTGACTTTTTTTAATAAGGCTATGAATAGCTTAAGACATTGAAAAGGTACTCTGTGTTTTTACCAGTGATTATCCAAATGCCTTTGATTACTGTAGTCATTCTGTAGCTAGAGATTGGAACTTACAGTACTTTGAAGAGAATGAGCTAGCCTTACGTTTAATACCATTTTTGCAAAGATAGCTTTTAAGCATTGCATTATTTTGTTCTTTGATTACATTTTCCATTTAATAAGTGCCATTCAAAACTATTCATTTTCCATTTTTCACTTATAACAGCTTAAAAATTTTTGTTTTACTTTTTCCCTCTCTTCCATATATTTAGCGATTATCGGGTTGTACAGCCTTAAATGTCTTTTCTTGATATTCTTGATATTAAATAAAGATATTCATTGAGCAATGTTCGATTTTCTTTTGGTATTGACCGAGAGCTTACTTGTATCAAATGCAATTCGTTTTGACATTTTATGTGCAAATTTAGATATTTTCTATCACAACTTTCTCCGAGCAGCCCCGGTCTTCGCATAAACGATTGCCATATGTTGCTTAGTTGATGACTTCAAAAACAGGTGCGAAAAAGTACACAGAATAGAGATTTACAGGCTTATTTTAAATGCAAACGATGCTTAAACTTTGTTTTTCTATTTTTGAATAAACTATCGTAATCTAAGAGATTAGAGTTATTTAATGAAGAAAATCCCTTTCTCTTGCAAAAAATTTTTTTTAGATTTTGCTGCCTTTTTGATTCGTTCTCTTTTCATGACTTTCTACTTTTTTGTAGCTTCTTTTTATATAATTTCTTTTTAATTCCAGAAGTACTGGGGGACATAGGAGGCCGAGGTCTGCATTGGGATGGGCAACCACCCGTCCCAACAGAGGAACAAGCGAATTCCTTTGGCAACAACTCGAGCGGCAATCAATTGGTGAGATTTTGAGTGATAGATTATACTAGAAATAGATAAACAAATTCCAATTTTGTTCATGTTTCCAATTTTCTTGGCAATTCTGTTTTAGAAACTCTCAATTGGTTGTGAGGATGACGAGGAAAGTCTTTCTGAGGATGAGCTCCGAGAAAGATATCGGGTAAGCGTTGAAATTTTATTGTTAGCCATCAGCAAACATATTGAGATTTTGTAAAACTTTTTGTTTTCAGGCATGGACATTGAGTCAGGTTCGACCTGCACCACCGCCAGTGCAACAAGAACAAGCCCAGGAAATTCGAGTGGTACGGCTTTCTTTTTTTCACCAAAGCAGGAAATGTCGTTCCCGTCCTTTTGAACTCCTGTTCGTGGTCAGATAATTGCTTCCTGAGTGTTGGAAGTAGCCATTCTTCGGGGTTTGTTGCTTTGGCAAGGTTTTAGCATTCAAGTTTGTGGATTTTTAGTTGTAGTTTTTTATTATGATTATGCTAAAACATTATGATACCATTTTGCAGGCCCGTAGAAACTTTTGGAGGGGGCAAGGAAATTTTTAGAGGAGCAAAAGTTTGCATATTTTGAACTAAATTTTCGCTTTTAAGTTAAAATGCAGCTTTTGAGTTTTGAATGCAAGTTTTAAGCTGTTTTCTAACTTTCCAAAACATTTTCCTTTGCCCCCCTCCCCACTGGCTACGGGCCTGCTATTTTTGTGCAGGGCAAACCAATGGGTTGAATTTTATCCAGATAAAAAAAGCCCATTTCAATGCATCAATAATGATAGGCTTCATACAAAGCAGCGATCAGAAAGTAGCAAAACGAGTCGCGCAAAATCCACTTTTACAAGTCACACGAGTCAGCTGTTGTCCCGCGAGCGCAGAAAAGAGGGCTCTTTTGTTGACCCGGCCTCTTTTTCCATCTCCATTTCCTATTCTTTCTCTTGCCCCTATCTCCTCGAATTCCTTCGACTCAAAGACGAGTTCCGTTCCTATCTTTTCTTCTTTTTCCGCCATTCTTACTCACTTTCGGTACTAAGCTTTGACCACTCTAGCCACCCGTCTCCACCAATGAGAACGTGTTCTTTCATTTTGATATTTTATTGGTCACGCCTTAAAACTAAAATTTAACCAAAGCCAGGCTTTTTATAACTGTTAATATTTTAGTTCCAAGCAGAAGATGAAGAATTTCTTCCTATGCCGAGCTCTCTACCCGAGGATTTTGGAAATGAGTTGAGCCAACTACTTCGCGATAACCGCCCACTCTTTCAAACATTACATGATGATCATGTAAGCGCATTGTTTTAATTATTTTTTAAATTTATTTCATTTTTAGATAGCGGAAGAGGTTTGGCAACGCAAGCCACCAAAGATTCTCAACAAGTACTTGTTTGGAGATGTGATTGGAGAAGGAAGCTATGCAAAAGTCAAGGTTTCAAATTAAATCCTTAAGTAAAAGCAAGAGGAAGCTAGAAGTTGTACATTCATCTAAGGTTATTGTTTTAGGAAGTTGTTCAAGAAGATACCTTGATGCGATGTGCTGTGAAGATTTACAAAGGTATCTTTTAATAATTAAAATCTATATTTATTTTGTTTAGATCGTCGCATTAAAAAGATCCCAAATGGCCCGGAAAATGTGAACAGCGAAAAGGAAATTATGAGAAAAGTCAACCATCCGCATTGTATCAAGATGTTTGAGGTAAGACTTAAAAAGTTACATTATAATTTTTTTAATCTGTTTAGTTTTTCCGACTTGAGGAAAAGACAAAGCAGTACATGGTCTTGGAATTTTGTGTGGCTTCATTGCAAGAAGTAGACGTTTTATACTTTTCAACCAATATTGATGTTTTTAGATCGTCGATACTTGGGAGCACAAGCGTTTCACTCCGGATTGGGCTCATTATTTCTTCAGGCAACTTATTGCGGGGTCAGCGATATTAATGTATTTCTAAATATGCAAGCTTTTAGTATTGAGTATCTCCACGCGTTGAGCATTGTACATAAAGATATCAAGCCTGCGAATTTACTTGTCTCGCCGGAAGGGCGCTTGAAAATCTCGGATTTTGGAGTGGCTGAGCAGATGCCGTTGTATCAGGTAACATAACAACATGTTATGTTTAACCTGTAAGCTTGCTTTAGAATGATGATACGTGCACAAATGTACAAGGAACGCCCAAATTTCAACCACCAGAAATCGTCGGAGGTCACAATCCTACTTACAAGTAGGCTTTTGAGTAGGCAAATAATCAAACCTGGAAATTATAGAGGGTTTGCTGTCGATTTATGGGCTTCCGGAGTCACTCTTTACAATCTTCTTTCCGGCGAATATCCATTCGAAGGTTTGAGCTTGAATTAAATACGATTATATTATGTTTACCTTAAGGTGATGTAATTATGAAACTCTTCGAGAACATTTGCTGGCAACCACTTGAAATGCCGAAGACAATCGAACTTGAAGAAGAGTCTCAAAAGTTGGTTTACCAATAGTATTGGAAAAAAAACTGCGTTACAGCTTGCTGACGGGTTTACTTGAAAAAGACCCAATGGAACGGCTAAAAATGGACCAAGTCAAACATCATCCATGGTTTGCAAAAGCTCCAATCGAGGTATGCTCATTACTTTTCGGTCTGATGAACCCAAACTTTAACGGGTAATATCTACCTGTATTCTGTTTATTATTGGATCGGCCCATAAATTTTATCACTAATAGAGCTCTTCAAAATATATTTATTTAAGGAAAAATTTGATTGGGAGAAGTTTGTGGCTGCAAAAGGCGGAAACTCTTCACGACAAGCGCTTTCCGTTTTCCCATCTCTTGCACAACTCTACAATGACCAAGGTTTACTTTATCAATGCTAAAATTTAAGTAAAAAAATTTTAGAGCTCGAATCGCTGGATGGAGATGAAGGAGGCAGTGGAGATAACGATCTACAAAACCCTTTAGCACCACAAGAAGAGGTACTTTGGGATTTAAATTTTGGCAGGTGTGCAAACGATATCAATAAATTTTTTTGAATATGTCGACCAGAAAACAATTTTTTTTGCCCATTGTAATTCAAAAAGAATTTACATACAAGTTATACAAAAGTGTAATGAAAGTTAGGCTTTTTAAACCGACAAAAAAAGTTTTCTATAATTTGGTGAACGAAATGCCGTTTATTTTATTGTCATTTTTTCTTTAGGCACCCACGGCAAGCCGTCAAGATCAACAACGGCCAAATCTTGTCGACTCTCCACCCCAATCGGAACGTTGTGCCAAATGCTTCCCTTCATTCTTACAATGCTTCAGATAGCGCTTCAGCGTTTTATCGTGGATGTTGGTGAATTTTCAATAGTATGATTGGCCTAGAAAGTCTAAAGGTTTAGAAAAATTCGGAAAAATACAGTCGCTTCCTGTATGAATAACAATGCTGATTTAACCCTTAAACTTTCTAGGTTGCCAATTATTAATTTTCCTCAAACAAATCCCATAATCTTCATCATCGAAGATTCCCTATTGCCTATTTTCCCTTGTAATTAAAAAAAGCTAGGTGTTATTATCATTGCACAGTTTTTACGGCCATATCCGTTTCATTCAGGTTAACGAAATTGCTCCCCGTGCTCTTCTAAATTTTATTTTCGCTTAAAAATGTTAGCTTGAAACAAATTTGAAAGAACTTTTTGAAGAGATTTACAAGAATGAAACAATCTTTGCAAATTCGTTTAGTTTTAGGTCTAGACAGTTTGCCAAGTTTAGGGCTGACAATTGTTCAGCCCTTATACTTTTAGTTCAGCACTTGCACAAACTTATTTAATGTTAACCTTGTTCTAATTGACTCCTTTATGTTTTTTCTTAAAGCCCACACTAACGGTTTTTCCACCGTTCTATGAAAAATATTCGGTGCTATTGATTGTCTGTATCCTTCTCCCAGTGAAACAATAATTTATGCTACCTATTAGTTATTTGTTTTTTGTGGCATTATGAGAAGCTGTTTCAGCTGATAAGATTTCAGCAGCTTTTGCTGGAATCGATTCACAAGAGATTTCTTTTAAATGCTGGTATCAAACAATGAAACCTCATTCGTAAAAATCTTTGGTGCCTAAATAGTTGATAATCAAGTGAAATTTTCATTTGCGAGGTTTCATTGTGACCATTTTCAATGACTTGGAATGTTTTAGCGAAATTGACCACCAATTCTTGTTTGTTTCCTCCTCCCTTCATAGTTCAAATGAGTGGGTGTGTTTCATCACTCGTCCCGCCGACCAAACATTTCCCCATCTCAATGAGGCAAAGAACGAAACAAAAAACGGCGGGGGAATTTCCAATGCATCAGATGGGGTGAATCTCTGTCTGTTCACAATGAGTCATTTACAACTGTTAAAAACCACGTTAAAGCCCTTTCCTTTAAAATTTTCAAATTTCGAGTATGTTTCTCATTTTTCGCTCTCAAATTTTTACGACATCGGGGACTTTTCAATTAGCTGATCCCCAGCGACTTTTTCTCATTTTAGATTTACGAATCAAAATTCCTCGACTGTATATTAATTTTTGGGGTGTTTGTCAGGAAGTATGGCCTTTCATAGATCAATGAGACTCCCGGGAGGATGATCTGATTTTTATCTCTGATGAATGACCCTTTCCCTCTGATGGGGGATGGATGGCGGAGATTGCTGAGAGATCCTCCCACAGTGCCCAATAACTCACTCTCATATAACAATAGTATAGATCTTTTATACAGTTTCGCCTATATATTTGACTTTAGATACATTAAACCTTAAATGGCTATGCTTGAATATCTGTTCTTCATTATGGCTCATGATGAATAAAAGGTACTCAAGTACCAAAGTTGTTTGGGTTTTAAAAGTTGAAATTGAAAGTTGACACTTTGCCTTCTCTTCTAAATTGGTTATGTAGGTTTGATTTGTGCAGTTGTCCACACAATCCTCTTTTATTCATCAATCAATTACCATTTCTCTCTTTTCTCTCATCATGCTCTCACATTCCCTATATTTAGAATTATTTTTGTGTGTATATTTATCTAATTTAGCGACAATTTTACATACCTCCTTTTTACAAAGTTCTACGATTGTATATTTTTCCAATACGGATTGTCCATTAGCTAGCCCGGTTTTCATTACTCTGTAAATTTGGTATTTTGACAGACAATATGTATTATGAAATAAATAGTTCAATATTCTTATTGGGTTTGTGAAATTTGGTTCTAAAGCCATCGGTTATTTTGTCTCATTGCTAATTTTGTTTGTGGAGTTCACACCAAGTTTGGATTTAGATGTCGGTCGTCAATGTGTACGCGACGTCATCGACTACCGACAATTTGTCTCGACATGAGGTAAAAAAATCACGAATTTTTGAATGAATCTGTTAATTTTTAGATGTTGATGTGGGTGAACGACTGCTTGCAAGCGCAGTTTTCGAAAATCGAAGAGATGCACACAGGAGCTGCCTATTGCTTGGTATGATTTATAATTTTTTGATCTTGACTGATACTTAATGCATCGATACAAATACCTAAGCCTTCTTGATTTTCCTGAATTCTAGAATTTAATGATAAGATTGCGCTCCATATCTACAATTTTTTAGTTCACGGACTTCCTCTTCCCCGGTGCCATTCAAATGAAGCGCGTCAAATGGAACAGCCACTTAGAGTTGGACTGGCTATCCAACTGGAAGCTTGTGGGTTTACGGTCAATTAATAAACATAATAGAGTAATGTACATTTGGTAGTAAATAAGCTTCTATTCAGGTACAAACTTCGTGGAAATCTCTAGGTGTCGACAAAATTGTGCCCGTCGAAAAGTTAATCAAGGGAAAATTCCAGGTTAATTTAGTGCCTATGGTTTTGAAACGTTTTCAAGTTTAGGATAACTTCGAATTTCTGCAATGGTTCAAGAAATTTTTCGACGCCAACTATGACGGACATGAGTACAACGCTTCGGATGCTCGAGGTGGAGAGCCCCTTCCGATTGATCCAAAAGCTGGCGGTGGAGTCTCGAAAATGCCGACTCGAACAACTAGCAATTTGAAGTAAAGTTTTAAATTTTCAGACTTACAATTTTTATTTTAGTACTACCCGGGCGCAACCACGCACCGGATCAAACACACAAATTACAGCGGCGGCTCCAAGGAAGATGACTCAAGTAAGTATTATTTACTCAACAAAACTAATTAATCTATGTTAGACGACGATCAAGCCGGCTGCTCCACAACCAACAGCGGCTGCGCCTCGCCCATTAGCCCCGAAGACAAACGTGAACGTGCAGAATGGTCATTCTGCACCAAGTGCTGCCGCGAGCAAAGATACGATCAAGCTAGAAAATGTAATTTCTTTGAATTTTGCTTGGAAACAGACAAATTATATTGTTTTTGTGATCAAATTTCTTGTTTAGGAGCTGAAAAATGTACGCACTGAGCTCGACGAGGTCACAAGGCAATTGAACGAAAGCGACTCAGTGATTGCAAGTTTGGAGAAGGAGAGAGATTTCTATTTCTCGAAATTACGTCAAATTGAGGCAAGCTTTGCGATTAATAAATGCTTTTATTGTCTATTCTATCTAATGTTAAAATATCTATTTTAGATCGTATGTCAGGATAACGAGACAATCGGAAACGTTGAGGTGTCTCGTGTGTTGAACATTCTCTACGAAACAGAAGAAGGTTTTGCGGCTCCCGAGGAGCCAGAATAAGCTAAATATTGAGTTTCTCAACTTTTTAAGCAAATTTAAACTTTCGCATTGCTAAATTTGCTCCATCTCTATTTACATACCTAGCGTCGTCTTTTTTTTTGTTTCCCTTTTGAAATCTCCTTGACAGTGTGTGACTAAAAAATGATCTTTACTTTGTGCCGTGGCAATGATTATCTCACAACATGATTTTGCAATGATTTTTGTTTCTTGGATTTAACTTATCAGTTTCCCCCCAGTTATTCTATGTCTGCGATAGTATTTATTCTTTTTGAATTTTACTTGCCAAATCCCATTTTTCTCTGCCCTGTTTTGTGACCCTTGAGCTGGAGAACAAATTTTACTATGGTCCATGTTTTTAGAAGCTTTGAATAAAGATTGATTGTAGTTGGTTCAGAAAAAAACATTGGTTATGAGCACCAAATCATTTTTTAGCTGATATTTGATATTTCAGCTCTAGAAAAGACAAGCTGTTATTGTAAATACATTTTAGATGGCGTCGACAACGGTGAATCCATCGTCCCTTCTTCCCCTCGAGTGCGTTTTAATTTTTTTAATTGATTGTTTGAAACATTTTGTTACATCTCTCTTTTAGACTCGTCGACAAGTGCATCGGTTCACGGATATGGGTGATCATGAAAGGTTTGTATTTTGTTTATGCAAATAAGAGAGGAGTTTAGATTTAATTTTAGAAACATCCATCTTTTTAACATCTTATTCAGTAACACATTAGTTTTGAATTCAAGAGAAATAAGTTTTGCTTTAGGAGAGAAGGAAATCGTGGGAACTTTGTGCGGATTTGATGATTACGTCAACATGGTACTCGAGGATGTGGTCGAATATGAGAACACACCGGAGGGGAAAAAGTAAGGGTTACCTATATAAATAGAGTTTATCAAATTATCTATGTTTGGGCTGGGAGTTTCCCTTTTTCCCGAACTAGCTAAATTAATCAGTCAATGTATTATGACGTCAGGTAGAAAAAATGCAGAAAATTTTTGTTTCTTATGAAATTTAAAATTGTAAATGAGACTTTTCGAGAATAGAAAAAATGTGAAACCCCTGCCCAAAACAAAGATACATTCATGCGTCAATTTCCTAGCCAATACTTCTGTGAAACTTCTGCACTTGACACCTAATTATTTTCGTACTTTGGAATTATTTCAATAAAGAAGGTTATAACGGAATCAATTTTAAGTGTCTATTTATATTTCACTCATTTTTTTAGAGTAACTCGGCTCGACTCGATTCTTCTCAATGGAAACCACATCACGATGTTGGTGCCCGGTGGTGAGGGTCCCGAAGTTTGATCTCAGTGTGAGCATTTTCTTAGCTATTATTTTATGTTGTATTAACGTATTCCCACATTTATGGTCTCTTTTGTTAGCCGGTTATTTTCATTTTTCAAATTGTTTCATTTTCGTTGTTGAATTTGATCGTGACTCCATTTCAGTAAATAAAACTATACACAATCAATAAAATTGGATGACTCTTTTAAAAGTTTCAGTCAACTTATCAGAATTTAATAGTTCCCTCTCTGAGGACTAAACCAGTGGCTACAGTAGACGGCATTGAGAGGAAAAATGTCCAGATGAAAAGCTGATTCAGCTCCATTCGTCATGTCATCTAATTTTTGAATGCAATATTTGTGTGAAAGGGTGGATCGGCTAAATGGAATTGAATTCAATGGCTGAATACCCCTTTCAATCCTCATCCCTTCTTTCTACTAATGGATGCCCGCATTAAAAATGCGTTTTCTGACGCGCGCCCTTCGCATCTCCTGTAATTTATCTATGAGAGATTCCCTTTTTGTCTTGATGACATCCATCCGAGCTTTTTGCGAGAGCCGCTTGACAACCCGATGAGTGATGAAGGCAAAGTTTTCTCTTTCTCATCTAAAATTATCGTATCGAGTTCTTTTCCTCTTCTGGTCGCCAATAAATTGGGCAAGTGGTAGATGTCGCTGATCTACGTGGTCTCTACAATTTCCTATTTGAAAAGCCGATGACTGATTATTTCCGTTTTTTGGGATAGCTGTAGTTTTAGTTTAGTTTTCCTTCCGTCGCTTGAGCTACGCGTAAAGCTTGATGAAAGGAAAGCCGGCGGTTGATGAATTGCTGTAGTTTTGTGAAATTTTCGAGAATTTTCTGGCAATTCTTGTTCTGAAAGATCAGGAATAAAATGAATTGAAGTAATTTTCAAGTGAAAATTACACCCATAAAAGTGTAGATTGTGTGTGTGTGTGCACACACACACACACACAGCAAACGTTCACTGAGCCACAAAAAATTTACAACTTAATAGAGCCGCCTGTTTTCTCGGTGATCCAAAATGATTTCCATTTACCTAGTCTAGCTTTTCTTCAACTATCCGTTGAAACTTGTAAAAGGGTTATCCTTTTCCCCCATTTTTGTTCTTGAGGTATGTTTTTGCCATTGTTCATTCAGAAATTCCCCGTTTTTTGCCTACGTGACTCCCGAAAAATGCGCAAAGGGAAAAGAATTGCTAATTGTAAAAGCAAAGACAAACTTTTTTTGTTTTTGAGGTTTATTAAAGATGTAGGTGCCTCTATTCACACTCTGAAGAAGTTCTTGAACTTGACGCGTGAAAGTTGAAAGTTGAAAGTTGAAGAAACTACACTAATTTGTTTTCAGTTTGATCAAAGCTACTCAAAATAACGTTTCATGAAACCTAACAAAATCAAAACTAATCGTTGACAGATTAGACAAAAGTTAGGGACAAGAGTACGGTAGTTTTCGTAAGTTGATATGTTTTTGCTACAATGCGTGCTTAGGTATCAAAAAATAGCCCTGAATTTCAGCTATTTTTGATGCCAAAGACGCATTTTTTGAAAGTACGGGCGCTTTGAAAAAAATGAAATACTAAAAAACTTTTGCGACTACCGCTCGCTTTGAAGCTCACTCTTAACCAGATCGTCGTTACTACATTCTCCATCAAATTCATATAGCCCATTTTACACGTAAAAACTCTCATTGCGGGCTGTGTAAAAAGTAAGAAAAGTACTTTGTTTTTGTTTATATTTAAAAAAATTTTACAATACTCTTAAAAAACAAAAAGATGAAATTCCTGACTTTTTCAATTTCATAACCCCCATTCGGTTTTCTCGGATTCGCCACTTTTACCGATGAATGAAACATGTATAAACTCCGAAAAGTCTTCAATAAACGGACACAAACGTTTTCCGATAATTCGATTGAAAAGTCATGTTTTTTTTAGATTTTGAAGTCAAAAACGCAAAGAACTATTCTAAAGAGTCATCGAGATCAAATAAAAAAAAGTGTTAACTGAATGAGATTTATGCATTTCTAATTGACTTTACAAGGCTTTACAAGGCCGAATAATTTATTTTTTAAAATACATTTCTTTCTTTCATTTGACGGAATTTCGTTTGTTGAATGATGTCTTTGAAAATAAATGCTTAACCTTTTTCACAAAAAGATAAAACCTTTCTTTTTTTTTTTTCTAAACTTATTCATCTTACGGAAAGAACAAGGTAATCCATTCTCGAGTGGCTGTCAATCATTTGCCTTTTGCTGCGTATTTTGCTGAAAATTTGAGTGTATTTGTGTAAGTTTTTGTCTGAGGATTGCATTCGAAACAAAGGAGAGATGAAATCATAAAAACAAAGGAGAGATGAAATCAAAAATAGGCTCATTTTTAGTTCTAAAGCATATCAACACTCAAATTGCATTAAAGAAATCAAAAATCTCACTCCAAGCTCGACTCAAAGCGACTTTCAGCTGTGCAACTGATGTGAATCTGGTACGGGAAATACGGCTCTTAGTATTTTCAATTTCCCATATCCAGTAATCTCAAATTACACTCAATTTGTAATCTATTGTAATCTTGCCTATATCTTTTTGGTCTTATATCTTTGTATCTTTCGGGAAAAGGCATAGAGTCAGATCAATGTAAAGAGATCAGGCTAGAGCTCTAGAAGTTCGATTACGACAGGCTCAATAACTTTAAACAATTGAGGATTTCTTTTCAAACAAGCCAATGATATTTTAAAGAAGAAAAGCACTCAGTCTTTTCTTAGTCTTTTCTCTTTCACTTTTGATAAAGAATGATCTATGGGAATGGACAACGGTAATTGGTTCGACCTTCAGTTGAATGGGGAGGAGACCCACCTCTCCTTTGGTGGGTCTCCTCCCTCACGGTGTCCCCACTTTTCATAGAGTGGGCGTGTCCCTCTCTTTCCCATATCCCTTTCCCAATTCTCCTCTCGATCACCGATTCCCACCTCATTCCATTGCAACTCAGCATGCGCTTCTGGAGCGTTGTGCTGCTCCTTGTGGCCAGTTTGACCGCTTGCTTCGCTCAGATCGACGCCGATGATCCTCGAATGCAATTGTGTGAGTTGCTTGTGGCTTAAAGTCGAAAATTCAAAGTGCTAATAAGTAGACAAGTCTACCGAACCTCACAAAACACAAAAAACGTTTTTGTGCAGCCTATGAATAAGCATTGTGAGGGGCATTTAAGTACCTTTAATGATGGGAGTTCATGAAGCTTCTGCTCTTCTGCTGCTTCTTCCTAAGTTTCCGATGAGTGCTTTTCTCGTGAAGCATTACAATGAGAATATTCTGTACTGTTACGTTATTTTCTTTAACTATGAATCAAATATTTGTCCACGATATGTTCAAAGCGGTAGTTATTTACTACTAATTGACTCTAGATTTTGAATTTCTAATTTCTAACAATTTCGAAATCGGTATACTGTTAAAAATGGCATTGAAAAGACTGTGAAATGAGTTTAAAAGTACTAAACTAATTGCAAATTTACTTACAATCTTTATTAAGATTAAGACGGAGAAGATTATGAAGATTAAGACGGAGAAGAGTTGTAAGAAAATCTCGTGTTCTCTTCAGTTCTCTTCAGTTCTCTTCAGTACCCTCATCCACCCGCAAATACAATTAGCATTCTTTTTCTTTTCTAATTCAAGTTCAAAAAGGAAAACTCTTCCCTTTTTTTTCAGAGTTCATTAACAGTTTTCTTTATTTTCTTTAACTATGAATCAAATATTTGATCACAATATGTTCAAATCGGTAGTTATTTACTACTACTAACTGACTCTAGAGTTTGACTACTCATTGACTCTAGAGTTTGAACAATTTCAAAATCGGTATACTGTTAAAAATGGCATTGAAAAGACTGTGAAATGAGTTTAAAAGTACTAAACTAATTGCAAATTTACTTACAATATTTACGAGAAGATTAAGACGGAGAAGAGTTGTAGGAAAAGTAAAGAAAAGTATTCTCTTCAGTACCCTCATCCACCTGTAAATACAATTAGCATTCTTTTTCTTTTCTAATTCAAGTTCAAAAAGGAAAACTCTTCCCTTTTTTTTCAGAGTTCATTAACAGTTTTCCCAATCCGCAAAAAATTGGAACTTTTTGAACACCTGTTGAACTGAAAAAGGAACTGAAAAAATATCCAAAAATAACAAAAATATCACTTTAACTCTAGACAAATCAAAAATTGATTGCTTCCAATTTTTTCTTTTAACAAAGCTCTCGTCGTCATCAAGAAAAAAAGAAAATTAGGGCTCATTTTGTAATCCGAGGAGAAAAGGAGGAGAGTGGCGCTTCAATGAAATTGAGTTGAAGTGGTTTCCCCTTTTCCGAATATTTTAAAGACTTAAGAATGTTTTTAGAATAAGAGAAAAACAAGTGGCTTTTATAGGCTAGGAATCTTGTTCTGAAAATCGAGTAGATTGTGGAGCTCAAGCGAGCTTGAGCGAGCAAATCCGATTGCAACAAGACTTGATATACCGTAAATACTGTAATAGTACCCCACCCCCATAATGACGGTGCGAAGTGTTGCGTAGTCTAGCTTTGAACGAGTTTTTCTCGACTCTGGTTAGGCTAGGGATCTTGTTCTGAAAATCAAGTAGATTGTAGAGCTCAAGCGAGCTTGAGTGAGCTTGAGCGAGCGAATCCGATTGCAACAAGACTTGACTTTTTGCAAGTCTTTTTCCAATCATTCTCACTATCTTCTAGTGATTTCAAATTTTCATAAGCTTTTCATTTTCAGTGAGGGTGATGAGAGACGATGAAATCCTTCGCGAGCTTCTCCTCCAGCCAGAGATGAGGTAACAGCTATCTTCTACTTTATAGCTTTCTGTGTTTTAAGACATTTCTACAGTTCTTAAGTTGTAAAATCATGAATAACATGAATTTTGGGCTAAACTAAAAGAAAAAGAGCTTTAGAGCTGCACTATAAAGTTACAGCTCTTCAAAAAGCTTTCCATCTCTACTACTATATCCAAGTACTTTAAATCTCTATTTTCTTCCCAATTTTCTCGTCACTTTCGATTCTTTCACCATATTTTTTTGACTAAAATAGGAAAAGGTGAGAAGAACTCTAGAAGTGCTTTCTTTTTAACGTCACTCACACAAAATGACAACTTTGGAGAGTCGATCTTGACCCAAAAAGGGAAAGATTTTAAAGTCTAAAACGAATCTTTAAGCTTTCTTTGAGCTTTCGTTATTCTTTTAATCTTCTAGATGAACTGCCAAGTTCTTGTACTTGTTAGAAAACGATTCTAAACCTTGAAGATTTAATACTAAGCAAAAAGTTTGCTCAAGCTAACTCATTAAACCTTTTTTCTTTGTTATCATTCTTGTGATCAAGAGTTGAGGTCACCAAAAAAAGCGAGCGTTGAGAATTGAGTGAGCAATGAATCAGATTATCGGCACAAAGCACAACAAAGCACAACAGACACGTGCTTTACTTGAGAACATTGTTACTTCAATTTTCAGATCGAACAACAAGAGAGGCCACGGCCCAAGACCACTCCGATTCGGCTAACTAAAATGGTCGCCCGCTTTTCTCTCTTCTAGCAACAATCATTCCATCTAGTGAGTTGAAATTTTCTATTTTCTATGGAATTTTCTATTTTCTATGGGTAATTTCTCTAATTTCTAAACTTTTAACATACTTTAACTCAACTACAGTATAGCATTTAAACCAGCAATTGCAGCTAGTGCTAGATTCGCGACTTTGGTAGCCAGGGAACACTTTAGATCGTTGAAATAAAGAACTTCTTTACCAAAACAAACCACATTCACTTGTTAACTTCTAGGAGAAGCCGTATTTATATTACTTGCTCTTTTACAGCAGTACAATATCTTCCAGGCCAGACCCCGACCAACAAACAAAAGACCCACCATCATCACCACCAAAAAAACAACCGTCGCCCAGCCCCGAAAACGTCCCCCATCTTCTCACCCTATCTGTGCTCTAGCATTTTGTTTCTTTTTTGCTCTATCGCTTAATAAATTGTTGAAAAAGACTATTTAACGTTTATTTACCAAAAAGAGGCATTGAAAAACAGAAAAAAAAACGATGAAACTAGTGCTTATCGTACTTGTCTCCATGACCATACTTGTCGGCTTCGTAGCCCTGGAAATTTGCTTATATATAATAGTTTTAATAGCTTATACAATAGCTTATATATAATAGAATATAATAAAGCTATTAGTTTTTGTCATATAAGTACAAGCTTTTTACCTTCTTATGGTGTTCACTGCCGTATCCATTGTGCTCGTGTCCGTGGTGGTCTGAGGCGTACTTCTCGTCGTGTCCATGGTGAGATTTACCCTGAAATTATCCATATAATTAGATTTAGATTTAGATTTAGATTTAGACTTCTATTTTAAACCCTTTCTTTACTCACGTCTTTATCATAATGTGATTTTCCGTGATCATTTTCGTGTCCTTCTTGTCCGTATCCTTTTTTGTAAGCACCTCCCTCGGCAGCTTTCTTGTGAGCTGATTCAGAGTCCTCATGCTCGTAGCCTGAGAATAGAAAGAGATTTTAGAGATATCATATAGATCGTTAGTATCATTGATTTCCTTTCTCACCCTCCGATCCATAATATCCCTTTTGGTACGATCCATTGGGTCCACTGCCCGACGAATAAAACGAGTATTTCTTGTACCCATCCTCATCTGAAAATGGAAATTGCAATCCTTTGCATCCTTTGCAATCTAACGCTCTACTCACCATCAGCATGTCGATGTCCCGCATCATACATATTATCGCCTTCTCCATGTGCTCCACCCTCTCCATAGTAGTGATCCCCATGTCCATAACCCTTATCTCCATAGTGAGCTCCCTCGTAACCCTGAAAGCTTAGATCTTTGATTCATTTTAAAGATTAAATTTTTCGAGTTTAAGCTATGCTTTCTTATAAATAACCTGGCTGTACACTGATTTCAGATTTTATTTCATAACAAAACAATTTCTAAACGAACACGTTCTCCGGCATTTCCTCCATACTCTCCATCCTCATATCCATCAGCGTGATGCCCCTTTTTTCCATCATATTCATCCCAGGCGTGATCCTGAATTCAGAAGAAAATTTATATTTAATTGATAAATTGATAAACTTATAGATTTCTTAATAAAACTAATGTAAGCATCGTTTTCGATTACTTGATAACTTGCTTCCAAAACTCGAGTTGAACGTGCAAAAAAAGCAATTTGAGTCGCTAAAGAATTGAACAAAAGGTGTCATTTCTTTCAGAAATCTTTCAGAAATCTCTTTCAGCTTTTAGCTTGAGAAAAGATTTATTTTTAGTGATCTTTCATGAATTTGATACGTTCATCTTTGAAGCTTCAAGAAGAAGAGAACGGGAAGAAATTGACACCTTTCTTGAGGGAGGGAAAAGTATACGAAAACAACCAGAATCTTATTTTTTTGATTGAAGATTTTAAGAGGGATTTGTTCTAGCTTTCACTTGAATGTTTTGTAAAACTAAATTTGTAGACAAAAAGGAACCAAATCTTCTTTACTATCAGATGTTTTTTTATTGTCCAAACTTTTCTGTTCATAGTTTTATTGACTTTAGTTGGGTATTCTGTTCTATAAAAATGTGGAATCTAAACTTAAACTTAAACTTACATGATCTCCATAAGCGGCATGATGTTCTCCTCCATAATATGGTGGCATATAGTGAGCAAGAGCCATTGAGACAAGAAGGAACAATGAGAATAACAACCTCTGAGGGAACATAACTGAAAATTGGAAGTTGAATGAAAATTGAAATTTCAATCAAAGTAGTGGATTCAATTCCAGAATCAAAATTGAGATGGAAAAATGAAAAGATTTAAGCTGAAAGCTTTACAAGAAAGTTACTATAAGAAGAAGGATTCTAGAGACAGATTACGGTAGTTTTTGAGAAGAAGTTAATCGAAACGATTGCTTTGACTGATCTATTGGGTTGGTGAATTGAAAACTGCGGGCTATTGTCGTATGTGACAGTTTGAGCACTTTCTTCAAAAGAAACCCATTTTGGTGTCAATGGAAAAGTTGTAGAGAATCAAAAATCAAGCCTATATCCAAATTTTCAAAACGATTCAAAAACTCGTTTTCAAGAAATCCGAAATTTACGAATTTTCACAAAACTTGCATTTTAAGCGAAACTACTAAGTGTATCTTTTTGGAAATTTGGCTATAAGCCTCATTTTTGATTCTCTACAACTTTTCTATTGACACCAAAATGGGTTTCTTTTGAAGAAAGTGCTCAAACTGGGACGTCTCCAGTCCTCCATTTTTGAGTCTCACACTTGTCTCACACACAAACCAAAATCCTACCACGAAAGAAGAATCCGCAAATTGCCTGTAAAATGGGCAGAAGTCGTCAATAATAATGGAAATTATTTCGAATGAATTCATGGTTTTATGTTGAATAAAATTTAGTTCAAAGTCCGGCAGTTTTCAATTGAATTCAGCAAAATTGACTCGCTCTAAAATAAAAAGCCTTGTTTGGGAACTTTTGGCGCATTCCCAGACAGTCCGGATCTCGACCCCCCTTTTGATTACTATTTATTCCGGATCATGAGTAATGAGCTTGCGGGAGAACACTTCGATTCGGAAGAAGCAGTCAAAAATTGGCTTTGGAAATTTTTCGATTCAAAACCAAAATCCTACTACGAAAGAAGAATCCGCAAATTGCCTGTAAAATGGGGCAGAAGTCGTCAATAATAATGGAAATTATTTCGAATGAATTGATGGTTTTATGTTGAATAAATTTTAGTTCAAAGCCCCGCAGTTTTCAATTCACCAACCCAATAGTTTTCCTTTTTAGTGTACTTTTTGCTCAAAGGTGAAACGTATCCTTTCCGTATTCAATCTATCTGGCTAAAAATTTTACTATCAAATGTTTTTTATTGTCCAAAGTTTTCTGTTCATAGCTTTATTGACAAATAAACAAATAAGGAAAGATATAAGAGGAGTCAGTTAAAAGAAAGCTCATGTCAACAACTGAGCACGGTAGTTGAGCACGGTAAAATGATTGAACTCGAGAATTTCCTAGGTAGAGATGTTCATCATGTTATATACTCGATTCAGTCGATGCTCAGCTCATTCCACACTCTCATCTCTTCACTGATTTCCCCTCCTTTTCATTTCTTTCTTTTCAATACTGGTATTCTTTCTCAATAGAAGAATTCCAATGAATCGTGGCATACTTTCTTCTTTTTCCCCTTCTTTTTTCCCTTCTTTTTCTTTTCAAAGAATTCTCTCTCCCATTGAATATCATTATACTTATAATCGTTTTTTTTCTTTTCGTTGAATCATGCCCGTCTTAAATTGAGAAGCAGCAATCGGAGTTTAAGTTTAGTCAAATATCGGTAGTGTGGAAAGTATTGGTAGTCAAATATCGGTAGAGTCAAATATCGGTAGTAGTCAAATATCGGACGAGTAGTGTGGAAAGTATAGGAAAATATACGTTCGATAAAAGTTCTAAAAGTTCTAAAAGTTCTACTTTTATTGTATCATCTATTTCTTCTACCGTTTTTTATTTTAAATTACAATTATGCGTTTTTTAAAATGTTTTTTTGATTACTTTTAACAAATTAAAAGAATTTTTACACGTGCAAAAGGTGTGTTCAGTGGATGAAGGTCGACACTGAGCAGATAATGATCATCGGGAAGCAAATTTTTGAGATAAGCACAGATTACTGGATATGGGAAATTGAAAATACTAAGAGCCGTATTTCCCGTACCAGATTCACATCAGTTGCACAGCTGAAAGTCGCTTTGAGTCGAGCTTGGAGTGAGATTTCGGTGATCAAGTACACGACCATAGTTTGAAAGCGCTTAGCTTTCCTACCCCTTCGAGCGGCAAAACGATCCGTTTGTGTCTTGAACCAAACGGAGAACATTTTGAGCATTTAGTGTAATTCTTTTTTCACTTACCATAAATACTGTAATAGTACCCCACCCCCCTCGTACAGTCGCGTAGTCGCAAGTCACAAAAGTTTTTTAGTATTTCATTTTTTTTGCAAAGCGCCCGTACTTTCAAAAAAAATGCGTCTTTGGTATCAAAAAATAGCTGAAATTCAGGGCTATTTTTTGATACCTAAGCGCGCATTGTAGCATAAACCAGTGTCGAGAAAAACTCGTTCAAAGCTAGACTACGCAACACTCCGCATCGTCATTATGGGGTTGGGGTACTATTACAATATTTACGGTATATTGTTGTTAAATATTCTAAATTGGTTTTGTTTGATTTTCTGCGAATTTGGTTTGAGTGCAGTGTTTGGTAAGAAAGAAATTTCGGCGCACTCTATAGAATGAATCTAGATTTAGTTCTAATCTAATTAATCAATTTAAGGTTTTAGATTTAATCTAATCACTAATAGTAAGTAGTGATAGATATAGAGATCCTTAGAATCTTGATATACCGTAATAATTCTAATAGAAGACCATGGTCTTCTAATTTTCAACCCCTTCCCCAAAGGGTCTTCTATTAGAGACTGGTCTTGAATTTGTCAAAGCTTTAGAGAACGATTTTAGGAAGCAACCCTTTTTAAAAATCAGTCACATTTGTATCATCACTTTATTCACTTAGTTAAAGCAACAATTAACAACAATAACAACAAATAATTATTAACATAAAACATAAAACAATTTGAAAGGAGCAAATCCGTTAAAAAACCTCAATTTAATTTTCATTAATGTCATTGATTTCAATCGAGGCATCGCTTTCGTAATCCTTGTTTTCCTCGTCTTCGCCCAAATCAATTTCATCCAATAATTGAGCAACCATCTCATCATTTCGGGCTTGCAACAATTTGGAGACCGCTTCTGGAACTGCACCGTTGGGCTAAAATAAAAACACTAAATACATTGAAAATCTTATAAAGTAAAAAGCAGCTAAAATTTTACTTACTTTGAAACAGGAGATTTGATCGTCTTCCGATCCATCAATAGCAACCGTAATTCCGCAGGATTTGAATGATCCAGCGATGAGATCCTTATCCAAATCATTCCAAGCATCGGTGATCCATTGTAAGTAGTTGTCCATTGATGGAGCTTTGATATTACCTCTTTTTGTGGTTTCCTGATCTCCATGCATCATCCAATCGTCGTAGTAGCTTCGGATTTTGGCCTTGAAGGAATGATTCCAAACAACATCTGGTGCTTGAATAAATTTTGTGCACCCTCCTGGAATTACCGCCGAGTCCATTTTAATTGCTTTAAGTACTCGCTTCGTCGAGCTCGAAATGTGACAGCGAAAGCTGTCCCAAACCAAAAAGCATTTGAAAAGTCCAGCATGTCCAAAGGTTCTCTTGAGAAAGTCGGCCGTCAGATCATCATTCATCCATGTCGTTCGCTCCCAGACAAGATTCAATTTACCTCCAAATCGCTTCTGGATGACCGGATCGATTCGTTTCCGTGGCAAAAGAACAAAAGGCTTGCACTTGTAACCGCCGGAGCGCGCCGTAAGCATCACAGAAATTTTTGTCTTTTCATGTCCACTTGATCGAACTGAGACTTCATTTGCTCCTTTTTCATCAACACATTTTCCGCCAATTGGATCAAGGAAGACGGCCGTTTCATCACAAGCGTAGATGTGTGTGTATTTGTTCTCCTTTTGCATCCGATTGAGATACATTACGAAATTGACCAACACATCAGCATATTCGTGGGGAGGCTTCTGACAGATTGAGTTCTCATTGAAAATCCATGACGCTTCATGAACTTTTGAAGCCATCCCAATGAACAATCGACTTTGATATCGTTTTGCTCACAAAAACGCTTTGCTTTTTCTTGGACCAAACGCCTCGAGACCTTGTTTTTCTTCTGTCGTTCGCTTCGGACCCATTCGGCAAGTTCCACGTCGAGTTGCGTATTTGTGAGGGTTCGGCCACCTCCTTTTAACCTCTTGTATGATTTCCCCATCTTTCGCAATCGTTTTTCTTGCGAAATCCATTCATCTTTCTGCTGACTTGAAACTTTGTGCTTGCAACATTCTTTGAGATCGTCTTTGCAAATTCAATTGTTTCTAACTTAAACTCGATCGAATATGCCTTCCGTTTGTTTCCATTCTTGAGCAGTTCCGCTTCGAGAGCCTCCAAAGCATTCTCCGAATCTTGATTCATCTCGTTTTCATTCTCCTTTTCTCGTTCCTTGAAGATTTCAAAGTCGTCTCCTTCATCTTTTCGAATATCTCGATACTCCTCCAGAGAATCCGTGCGAATTGGCAGTCGCTCAGCCATCAGCCCTGAAAATAAACACATTATTTATTTTAAGACAAGAAACAAGAATTACAAAAAACACTAGTAGGAAAGAAATAATAACTTTGCACAATGATTTTTACAAGAAAATCTGGGTGGTAGCGGGATACGGTAACATAGTGCATTTTAAGAGTTTGGGTCTTCTATTAGAGACTGGTCTTCTAATAGAGACTGGTCTTCTATTTTTCAACCTCCCTTCAAAAGGGCCTTCTATTGGAGACTGGTCTTCTATTAGAATTATTACGGTATATCTAATCTTGATGACAAATATAGAAATCATTAGAAATCGGATAATTGAGATTTAGAATCAGTGTTGAAAATTGCTTCAGCTACATTTAATGTCATCTAAAAGGCTTAAATGTTTCTAACAGATTAGTCTTGAGTTTTTGTTATTTCTAACTGATAAAGTAAATCAGAAAGCTTGGTTTGACAATGGTTTGGAAAATTTCTAGCATATTGCATTGGCAACTTCTCAATTTTGTTAGTTTGATCTTGATTTAACCTAGCTGACAATGATTTTTGGTCAAATACCATACGAACAAATACCATACGAACGATTCTAGAGACAAATTACGGTAGTTTTCGAGACAGGACATGTTTCTGAGAAGAAGTTAATCGAAACGATTGCTTTGACTGATCTAGTTCTCTTTGTACTTTTTGCTCAAACGTATCCTTTCCATATTCAATCATTTAATCTATTCAATCCTTACCAAAAGGACAGTTTTCTGATGACTCCTTTTAGCAAAGTTTACCTAATCCTGACTGACTTCCTATTGTATGGTGACTGATTTTTACAATCTCATTATGCTATTTTTTTCATCACAAATCAAAGAGCCATATTTTCACGCTGCAATTGCAAACCTATTTCACAAGAGCTCCACTAGACCTATTACTTAACCCATTGAGACGAGAAAGAGAAAGAGACGAGAAAGAGAAAGAGACGAGAAAAGCTATTCGTTCTCTTTTTTCATCTCTTCTCTTCATCCAATATTTCTTCAAAAATTTTCTTGAAATCTTCCTCTCTCTCTTCACTACAAACAACAAATAATTTCTAAATTTTCTAAATTTTCTCGAGCACATATTTATATATATATATATAAATATGTGCTTTTTTTGAATAACTTTTTCATATTTTTCAAAGACTTTGAAGTAATTGCTAATGATTAAAAGGTTTTTTTTCTTCTTGTTTTTCTTGTATCTGTATGTGGCTCTTGATATTCTTAATTTTTATGCATTTGATCAGTTAACGAAGTTGATTTAACAATTTATTGAAATCGAAATATTGAGCAATTCTTTGAACACAAAAGTTAGAACAATGAATTTGACCAAAGAGAAACACTGCTGTGAAAATGGCGAACAAATAGGGGTACGATAGGAGGTCCGAACTTTAGAAAATACTCAAGTCAACAAAAAAACAATGGAAATGATTTGAAACAACTATCAAGTAAGGCATAAGGTGCTATCCTGGCGGCAAAGAGATAGCTCATTCTAGCTCATTGGTAGAGGGTTCGCCTGATAGTGGTCACGGGTTCGTGTCCCGGCGGCGGCCACGTTTTGGTCCAACCCATTCTTTCTTTTGAATCTTTTGAAAATGATTCTTTTGAATCGTTTTTCAACTATCATATTCCCAAAATTTATCAAGAACAATTTCTAGAACAAAAACAGTTTCAAATTTTCACCCAGCTTCCTATCATTTGGTTTTAGCTTTTGCAAAGCCTAAAAGACCTGTAGAGTCATACTTTTTCAATTGTTAGTCTAGAAATATATTGCTATATCTTGTTAGATTGCCGCAAATCAGTGATCATTGATAAGCCTAGTCACAAGTCAGAAAAGATCTCTTTGAAATTTATGATGAAATTTTTAGAAAACCAGCCTACCAACCAGGATTGCTCATTAGATTTTAGCCCATAGATTTGTTTAGATTTATGAAAATTTTGAAAATACACTTTTGCCCATTTTTTTTGGGCAAAAACTAATGCTCAAGAAGTTCTAAAATCATTTTTCTGATCTTTTCTGCACAAAACTAATACTCAAGTACTCAAGAAATTCTAAAATGTATCTCTACAAATCTCTACAAATCTCTACAAATCTCTACAAATCTCTACAAATCTCTACAATATCTCTACAATATCTCTACAAATCTCCTCATTAAGTCTTGTAAAATTATTCTCTAATATGTAAGAGAATGTCAACAAGAAAAAAAAAACTCTCAATGCACTCATACTTTCTTTTTATTTTTGTGTACTTTGTGTCGACGCCCTTTCCAATTGATTTGTCTCTCTTTTCCCATCGAATTCTTTCACTCTTCTTCCTCTCTTCTTCCTCTCTTCTTCCTTTCTTCTTTCCCCCCTTCTCTGTTGTTTACACCAGGTTTAGACGCCGTTTTTTTCAACTTTTCTCTGAAAATTTCTCTTCACCCAATTAATTATTGCAAAATTTCTTGAAAAACTTTTAAAACTATTCTTTTGTTTTTTAAAAAAAGAAAGAGAATTTTAAAAGTTCATTGGCATTTTTTTCGGTAACCTTTATGAAAACATAGTTCATAGAGAATTTCATATAAAATAGAATTGACACCACAATACCATTTCTACAACTTCAGATCACTCCAAAATTCCTATCATGTGTGCTAATGACGTTTTCCCCTTTTTAACAACAAACCTCAATTTTTCCTCGATTTCCTTATCATTCGGTGATCTCTTTTCTTCTTTTTTTTTCTTTCTTTCTTTCTTCTTTCCTTTGCTAAAATTTGTCTCGTTCCAGAGATTGGCCTCAATTTTTGTGTGCTTTGAACAAGCGAATTTTTCATATTTTTCGTTTTGCTACAATTTCTACAATTTCAGATCACTCCAAAATGGATCTCTTTTCTATTTATGCCATCTGGTTGATCGCTTTTTCGATTGTGTTCACCTTTTTACCAATGTGAGTTGAAAAAAAACAACTTTTATTTGAAAAGAAATGTAACTTATCGTCATAATACCGTATTTTCTCTAATAGTAATGTGTTCCCGAGCGCCCAGCACGATAGTGAGCCTTTTCCGCTGGTACTTATAATAATACCTATAATACTAATATACTACCGTATTTTCTCTAATAATAGTGTACCTTGAGCGTTGCCTAAATTACTCGAAGTCTCGAAAAGCGCTTATCAGAACCTAATGATGTGGGGTCGAAAAATGTAGCTGACGATGAGATCTAGTGGGGGATTAGAGTATTGAGCTTCTGCGAAAACTTCGAAACCATAAAATAGTCACCAACTCGGCTCAGCGGGAAATATTAGGGAAATAGATCAGTCTGATCTACTAGCCTAACCTGGAATAATATACCGTCTTCTCTCTAATAGTAGTGCACCCTGAGCGTCGCCTAAATTCCTCGAAGTCTCGAGAACCGCTTATCAGAACCTATTGATGTGGGGTTGGAAAATGTAGCTGACGATGAGATCTAGTAGGAGATTAGAGTATTGAGCTTCGGCGAAAACTTCGAAACCATAAAATAGTCACCAACTCGGCTTGCCGGGGTGCACTACTATTAGAGAAAATACGGTAATCCCTTTCAGCTTTGCCGTTTTGGAATGGAAGAAACGCGGCACCGCCGACGGGTTCTCATCGGTGAATTTGGTGTTACCGTGTCTGATGTGAGTTGAAAATATTGCTTATAAACGATTGGTTCTAAACGAACGAACTAAACGGCTATAAACTATTGGTTATAAAAGCACTACATATTTCGTGAGTCTCAAGTACTCTAGTAATTCGATTTCTTTTCCTACCAAACTTCAGACCATATTAAATCAAATTTTACTAGAGAAAGGCACGAACTAAAACGAAAAGCCGCATCGGCGACCGAATCTCGATCCTGTGAGCGGGCATCTAATGCCTTATCCACTAGGCCACCAAAGAACTTGTTTCCGACTAGGAAAAAGCCTTTTTAAAGCATCCGAATTGAAAATTTGGCGTCAAACCGAATGCTTTAAAAGGCTTTTTGACTGGATTTTTCTAAGCTAGGCGAAAGTGCCTTGGTGGCCTCCTTGATAATGCATTAGACTCCCGCTCACAGGGTCGGGGTTCGGTCCCGTCTTCTCGTTTTTCGTTTGAAGCAATTTCTAGCATTGCATTATAGTTTTTCTTTTTTCTTTTTTTAATGTCTGATTCTATAAAGTGCACTAGATGTTCAGACAAAAGTTGCCTAGTTAACTTTGGCAGCTTCAAAGTTCATTCTTTCCAGGATGATTTGCTGGCTTCGACACGGCCTTATGACCGGTGACAAGATGAATATTTATCTCAATCTCTTCAATTTGTTTTTCTTTTCTGGATACATTTTCGCGTTTGGCTATTTTCAGCCAAAGAGAGTTAGTTTTGAAAAGCGGCGATCTTTCATTGGATTTTAGCAATATTTAATCGCTCAAATCATCGGCCTCATCACGCTCGTTTACGGGATTTTCAACTACGTGGATAAACATGTGATTTTTATAGAAGATTTACCGAAGATTCTTTTTTTAAACCGTGCTAACTTTACTTTATTTTCAATTTATTTACAAAATTTTCTAACTTTCAAGGATGCTGATGAGGCTCCTGAAGTGATGGGAGCTTTCGCAGCTGGCACACAAATTTTCGGTCTCCTCGGCGGTCTCTATGAAATTGTGAGTGCAAAAAAAGTTTTCGAATCGCTGAAGTATCGCGTAATATAGAATTGAATAGACTAGATAATAGACTATTTAATAGACTATTTAATAGACTATTTAATAAACTATTTAATAGACTTTAATAGACTATTTAATAGACTATTTAATAGGCTATTTAATGGGCTATTTAATGGGCTATTTAATAAACTATTAGGTTGGCAACTTAATAATGACGCGTTTATGTAACAAATCATTTATTTCAAAAAAACACAAAAGAAGAGCTTTCAATTCGAAAGGTATTCTCCATTAGTATCTATGACTCCTTCCCATCTTCTGCGCAAATCCCGGATCCCATCCTCGAAGAACTTGGGAGTTTTTGAGGCGAAGTAGTCATTCACTGCTTTTATGACCTGAGCATGATCATCGAACTTTTCTCCCTCCAAAAAGTGCTTCACCGACCGAAACAAAAAGTAATCTGAAGGAGCCAGATCAGGTGAATAAGACGCGTGGGGCAAAACTTTCCAGCCAAGTTCCTCGATTTTCTTATAAGTGATCTTTGCAGTGTGAGGTTTTGCGTTGTCGTGTAAAAATCTGACTCTCTCCGGTTTGAGCCCCAATTTCTTCAGAGACTCGTTAACTCTCATTAATTGCTTCGAATAAAGATCAGCATCGACGGTTTGGCCAGGTTTCAGCACTTCATAATGTACCAATCCCTTGAGGTTCCACCAGCAACAGAGCATTATCTTCTTCCCATGGACATCAGGTTTGGGAGTGGTTTGAGGGGTCTGCCCAGCAGATAGCCATCGATTTTTGCGTTTAACGTTCTCGTAGTTGATCCACGTTTCGTCAGAAGTCAAAACCCTGTGAAAAAGTCGTTTGATTTGTATTTTTGTAGCAAAATTGAGGCGACATTTTGTTGCTCTGGGTCAGCTCGTGAGGAGCCCATTTTCCAACTCGATTCTTTTCCCAAGTTTGTGTAAATAGTTTTTGATTGTCATATGGGATACTTCAAATATTTCTGCCAACTCACGAACGGTGAGTGTTGGGCAATCTTCAATTAAGGCGAGCAAGTCATCGTCGACCACTTCTGGAGGAAGTCCTTGGTGTGGCTCGTCTACGAGGCTTTCATCGCCGCCTTGGAATCTTTGAAACCATCGTTGACATTGACGAATGTGTATACTTTCCTCTCGAAAAACAGTGATGATCGTGCGATGAGATTCAGCTGGTGATTTTCCTTGTTTAAAATCGTAGAACAATCGTAGAACAATGCGGAATTTTTTGTCCTCCTTTTTTTGCCAAAAAGCAAATGATGAAATTTGGAGCACTAAATGTTATTTATGTAGACATCTTTTACTTTGTATATATGCAAAAAAGAGGGAAGAAACGGCGCTTGAAATTACAAAAAACATGTTAAGTAGTGACGCGTCATTATTAAGTTGCCAACCTAATATTTAATAAACTATTTAATAAACTATTTAATAAACTATTTAATAGACTATTTAATAGGCTATTTAATAAACTATTTAATAGACTATTTAATAGGCTATTTAATAGACTATTTAATAAACTATTTAATAGACTTTAATAGCGATTTAATAGACTATTTAATAGACTTTAATAGACTATTTAATAGACTATTTAATAAACTATTTAATAAACTATTTAATAGACTATTTAATAGACTATTTAATAGGCTATTTAATAGACTAGATTATATGCGGTAAAGGATTATTTTCCCCTTAAAAAGTCGTCTTTTTAAAGAAGCGAGCTATATCTTTCAAACACACCGAATACATGCCAGCCATCCTGCAGTTCGCCATCTGGCTTCTCACCCTTCAATGGTTGATTTTTGGTATCTGGGCCGGAAATCAGTTCATTGCGGTGAGCATTTTATAGTTAGATTTATGAAAATTTAAGAAATGAAAGAACCTTTCTCAAATGTGACTCGTTAAATTGCAAAAAGTCTTTAGAATTTTTTTTTTTCAAAACGTTTTTTAAAAATAATACCTCAACTAACAAAATTTTCTATTTAAACTATTAAAAAGCTTAATTGTTTCTCTACAAAATGGCTTTTGGAAATTCTTGAAAATCGTTGTTTTTGTGGATTTTCAAAGTCGCAAACTAACAGTCGGACTGTTCTGAGAACCATCAACTCTTTTCCACAGCTCACACGTCAGGTGATGAAGCCAGTACCTCACTGTTATTGTTATAAATAAACCTTGTTATCATAAAAATTGAACAAAAATGTAACAACGACACCAAAATTTGGGGGATGGCGTATGGTTTTGCACCGGGTGAATTTTCGTTTTTTGGCTGTTACATTCTCCCTATTCATGCTATGTCGACGATTTTTGGGGTTTAAGGGTCATTTTTGGTCCTGAATCTAACTACGTTTTCAGTTTTTTTTTGTCACTGGCACGGGAGCCGCAGAAAATTGAAATTTAGGGGGTGGCGTATGGTTTTTCACCGCACTGTAGTCGATATAAGTCTAAGTCACAGTTTCGACAATTTCTTTAACACAAACATATTTTAGTGTTAAAGAAAAAAAGATAGAGCTTATTTGATTACGTAATTTTGTAAAATTTAAAAACGATTCGTTCAGTTCAGCTCTTTAAAACAATATTTGAAAATTAGAGAAAAATGAGTAGAGAAAAGCTTTCTTTTAAAAGCCATTTTGTAGAGAAATTACTTTTTTTAAATCGATTCTTTAAGTGTTTAGCAACAAATTTGTTAAAGAATTCTTTTCTATGAAAAGAAAACATTGAAAAAGAATTGTTTTTGTCGATTTTCAAAGCCGCAAAGACGAGCACCCAAAACCGAGATTTGCATTGGCAAAAACAATTTGCAACAACCAGAAATGGTCGTCAGATTCAGTCAGATTAAGATACAGTGGATTCAGTCAAGCCTGAATCCCTTTTAAATCCTTTAGCAATACAGAAAGCCTCAATTTACAGATAGCCAACGTGGCCGGCATCATCGTGAACACCATTCCGATCATTCTCTATTTTATCTATCCACCATTGACATGGCGAGTTCCAATCATCGGCACTGGACCTCAGCAGAAGAAAAAAGAATAAGAAAATCGCTTTGAAATAAATATTGAAATTTTATTGTAAAAGTTCAATTTTTTTTTTGAAAAATTTCATCCCCTCGGTATCTCGATTTCTTTTTGCTCGCATCGATGTAACAAAAGCCATCCGCTATTCGTTGGACCACAATTGAAACCATCAAATCTAGAAAAATCACTGCTTAAACGAGAGAAAGTCTTACGGCTTTCAACAATGATTTCAACAACAATAACAAAACAATAACAATAACAAAACAACAACAACAACTTTCAACAATGATATCACTCGGTGGGATCCTTAGCGACTTTAGAAACTTAAAACTCTCTTAAACAAATAATTTCTATTTGTTATTTACAATAACTTTATAGATAATGAAAATTGATAAAATTTGATGAAATTTGATAAAAATTGATAAAAATTGATAAAATGTTTTGATCTGAATAGATTTCAAATGCTAAATCCCACCTCAAAATGACTTTTGACATTTGATAGTTCAAAACGCGTGGTAAATTCGCCGCTAGACCGGAGATTCTGAAAAAAAATGCCTTTCTTTGATTGAAATCTTTTCAGATCTTGATTTCTTGATTGAAATCTTTTAAAAAGCTTTACTAAAGAAAAAGCCACTCCTTCATCGTCATCTTCCCTTCACCACCAAAAAAGCTATTTAGTTCCCCATTGAGCTTAGGGTTAGGGAGCCGTCTGTCATGACGTGGGTTAAGTTAAGATATAGCCTAGTATTGTGTGTGTCGTTGTATTGTGATTGATATATTTCGTGTATGCGATAAATTCACCACTGGTAGCCCCAGTCGGTATTTAAAAAAAAAAAAAAAAAAAAAAAGCTATCGTAAACTCAAGGTCTTGAAAAAGAATTGTTTTTTTGTGGATTTTCAAAGCCGCAAAGACGAGCACCCAAAAGCAAGATTTGCAGCAACCAGAAATGGTCGTCAGATTCAGTCAGATTCGGTCAGATTAAGATACAGAGGATTCAGTGAAGCCTGAATCCCTTTTAAATCCTTTAGCAATACAGAAAGCCTCAATTTTCAGATAGCTATCGAAGAAAAAGCTATCGTAAACCCAAAGTCTTTTGCTGAAATTGCTGAAATTGCGAATTTCTCACCGATTTCGAATCTTTGGACTTCCATTAATGACGGGAAAAAGAAAAATCCCGTCATTCTCTTGGAGATTGACGTCAAGAATCTGTAAACTCACCGCTCGATCATTTGGACATTCAATTGAATATCTGAAAAGTATAAGCTTAGCTGAACAAATCAAAATAAACAAATGAAACCTTTGTCTCGTGAAATTGTACCCATTCGGATAGTTGGCACTGCTTAAACGAGAGAAACTCTCACGGCTTTCAACAATGATTTCACTCGGCGGGATCCTTAACGACCATTAGAAACTTAAAACTCTTTTAAACAAATAATTTCTATTTGTTATTTCCATAATTTTTCTGAAATTTTCTGAAATTTTCTGAAATTTCCCAACCAAGCCTCATAACTCAAACGATAGCCGCTCATTTCGGTGTTTCGATTCGTCGAGAAGTGCAACAGCATCATATTCTTCGACGTGAGCGTTCGCTGCTCTGGTCGTTTACCCGAAAGTCTAACATTTTAATCAATGACAAAAAAAAACTTCCCAATTCCTTACCTCAACAATTTCATACTCTGCGAACTTTTCCCATCGTGTAACGTCAAAATGTCAAGCTGTGACTCGGTCTCGAACTCTTCGATTGTCAATTTGATTTTCTCGGCTTCATTCAACTAAACTTTATATTCAAAAATAAGCTTTAAAATTTTTAGAACAATTGTAAATTTAATGTACTGAATACTCTGACCTGAATAATTTGATAGTGCTCCAGATTGCTTGGATAGGTTTGAGGCCAGCGAGGTGAGGTGATCGTCCCGTTTGGACCAACAAGGATTTCGGGTGGATTACTGTAAGGAATGATAAAGAAAGTAAAGTAAGAAATGGTAAAGAAAGTCGAGTAGGGAATGATAAAGAAAGTAGAGTAAGAAGTGCCAAAGAAAGTCAAGTAAAGTCAGTCAAGGAAAGTAAAGAAAGTCAGTCAAGGAAAATAAAGTAAAGTAGTAAATGGTAAGGCAAAAATTTCCGGATAGGGGAATGAACCCTCGACCTCCACCCTTCTTTTTGCTTCCAAGCAGATGCTCTAACCACTGAGCTATCTGGTAACTTTTTCCCAGAGAAAACAAAGGAAATAAAAAGGGTTTCATCTTGAGAATTGATCATTGGTGATCTTTGTTTTCTATCGTAATCCGTTTTTGTATTCTGACCTCTATTTTGTATTTTGTAGTCAAATCTACACTCGAAAAAGGATCGAGAATCAATTTGCATATAATATGAATTTTTAAAAACAATATTATTAACCCTTTTCACTAGAATTTGCACTCACCCATAGGCCTCTTTTTGACAAATGAAGAACTGCACATTGTCGCAATCCAATGTCGCTAAACCCTTCAATTTGTTGTCCGAATTTATCGCTCCACAATCATGATTCGGAGATCGGATTCGGCCTGTTTCCCTATTTAAGATCATTCACGTAATTCTTAAACCTGTCAACCAATAACTTTCATTCACCACCGTTCCATCAATCCATGAGAAATCTGTCTCATTCTCATTTTTCCTCAGCGCAGTCCACGTGAGGAATTGCGGGTTTTCGCGTTCGACCAAGTCTGTAATGTGAAATGTTAAATGATTTCACTTTTCTTCTTGTTTATTGCTTTCTTGTTTAAGTCTATTTTTCTATTGTTTACCCGTAATAATTCGAAATTCATCCTCGTTTCGAACGGTGGCCAATTCAGCGGAGTTGCTCGCACAATAGCTAAAAGCAGCTTATTTTTAGTTAAGCAGCTTATCAATTTGTAGATACTCTAAAGTAGCCATTAAGCTAAGCAACTTATCAATATGTATATACTCTAAAGTCGCCATTAAGCTAAGCAGCTTATCAATGTGTAGATACTCTAAAGTAGTTATTAAGCTAAGCAGCTTATCAATTTGTAGATACTCTAAAGTAGCCATTAAGCTAAGCAGCTTATCAATTTGTAGATACTCTAAAGTAGCTATTAATCTTAATATTATCAAACTCAAAACTTCAATTATAGTTATCGATTTCTCAACTCTTTTGCATCGATCCATGTTCGTGGTTTGTGTGGAACGACAAGGCACAAATGAAGATCCGGATAGAAATCCCATCTCTCAGGGCATTTTGACGAGAACTCTGAAATATTATACAAATTTCAGCTAAATAATCGTAAGATTTTAGCCAAAAAAAACAATCAACTGGATTGCTTAAATTCTTTACAAAATCCTTTACATTACGCCTTTACGACTTCATTTCTTTCTTCATCAAAATCACCTGATCAAAATCACTTCATCAAAATCACTTCATCAAAATGTTTACAAAATGAAAACCCCCACCTGAACCCTGAACGATTAAAAATATTGAAAAGAAAGTGAACAAGAAAATGAATAACATAAATGAATCGCTTTTAAGAATCGGTTTCGAAATTTTATGTTTGTGGATTGGATTGGGGAAAGATTTCAACTGAAAGCCTCGATAAATCCACAGCTGATTCACATTAGATTTAGAAAAAAAAAGGCAAAAGGAACAACTGTTCTCAGTGATTTTCAAAAACTTTCCATGAGACTTGAGAAGTTTTTTTTGGAAAGTTTATTGAAGGGCACAATAAATTGTCTATCTTAAGAGAATTTTGGCTAGAAAACTTTTCGGACAAACGATCAAAAGCTTTGTTTTTCACGAATAACGAGTTACAGTAAAACGGATGGTTAGAAATTCTATTATGAATTTGATTCTGTAAAGAGCTAGTGACTCTTGCAATTTAGAGGGAACTTTTTGACCATTTTACATTTATTTCTAGGTTTTTAACGTTTAAAAAAAATCATATGCTTATTGTCGAATCGTTTGCCGGGTCGTTGACTCTTTTCGCCATCGTTGGTTCGGTCTGAAAATGGTTTCCTAACGTTTCTGAAGCTTAGAACTTAGTTTGAAATTAGAAATTAGAATAATTAGAAGAATCCAAATAGAGTGTATTTCTCTTGAGTAATGCTTTTTCGAAAATGCACCTATTTGAGTAAAATTACCGTAATGGAATTGAATTGAATTCCACAAAATAATGGAATTCGATTCAAAATTTTTGAATCATCCAATCATCAAATCAAAAAGAATAAAGAAAAAAAGAGTGAACTCGAATCCGGGCAAAAAAAATTCTGGAGGCGAGCACACGATCCACTGCGCCACTAGCTCTCTTTTTAAGGAAGAAAGAAAAAGCTTATAAAGATTTCGAAAATCGGCCTAAACTTTGATGCCAGAGCTCCTTTAGAAAAGGTAAAAGCATATTCAGAATCAGCCGATTCTTTAAAGCCCCATGGCTCTCGTATTAAAAGGTCACCTTTATCTGGTGTCTTTCTCTAGTTAGAACAAGTTAGAAAATATCACAAGCCATGACAAGTGGATTAGGAGTAGCTGGGAACTCGGTGAGATTCGTGGGCAGTTCGACATCTTGCGTCTGATTGACTTCAAAGTCTCTGAAGTTCAAAAGTCCCCGCTAATTTCCAAAAGCCGAACTAGTAGTCTACTTGTTCTGTATTGAAATTTTATAAACAATCTAATTTCTTTGAGATTCCTGAAACACATCCTTTCAAGTTTCAGGGTTGTTTCCAGCAGACATGTAAGAAATGTAACAATTGACATCATACATGTAAGTACATCATACATGTAAGTACATCATACATGTCTACATGTAAGACATGTAAACCTTAGTATGATGTCAATTGTTTATCGATAATTTTTGATTCTCTCCACACAATACTAATCGTGATCCACACACAAACGTTCTTCTGGGGGGAAACAAAATGAAAGAACTATTTGACCATAAACACAAACAAATCGAAAAAGAGACAAAAGTTGGAAAGAAAGAAGAGAAAAGAGAAAGATGAGATCTATGGAAAAGATGGAAAAGATGGAAAAGATGGAAAAGACTTCTACAGGGTCCTCTCCTTCTCTCGAAATTCTCGATTTCCTTTCAGGCGGTCGATAGCCTCTTCCCAGTCTGTTTCCCCACTATTCCCCATCCCCCAAAAAGTACTGCTCTTAACCGAAACCGGGATCTTTACGATCCGATTACGATAAAAATCTAACAATTGTAAGTCTAAAGGTCTATTTCTAACTTCTAAACTTGTTGTTAGTGGTTTAAACATGAGTTTTCTCTTTTTACTTCTACCAACTGTTGATTAGGTTGTATAGATTTAAAAAAAACTTTTATTCTTTCTAGCTTTTATTCGATCGTTGATTGGTAAAGGCAAGTTTACAGTAGCTCTTCCAAAGATCACTCGTCTAGAAGAGAAACATAAATCCATTTATCATACGCACTGTCATGCCGGAAATCTTTTATCTTCTAATCAAAATAGAATTTCCCTCCTTTTCGTGTGTCACTTTGTTATGGTTTATAGTCTGTTTACCCCACTATTCCCCATCCCCCAAAAAGTACTGCTCTTAACCGAAACCGGGATCTTTACGATTCGATTACGATAAAAATCTAACAATTGTAAGTCTCAAGGTCTATTTCTAACTTCTAAACTTGTTGTTAGTGGTTTAAACATGAGTTTTCTCTTTTTCGTTTTTTCTTACCGTATTTCTTCGAATAGAAGACCGGGTAAAGAGTATGATCGCGTACTCCTGCGTAGCAGCCCTTTTTAAAATTTCTTTTCTGCATAAAAGCTTTCAATCAAGTGCTATAGAGCTGGAAAATGGCTCAAAAATCTGTTAGCTCATGTGGTATTTTTGAGTCATTTTTCAGCCCTATAGCACTTGATTGAAAGCTTTTATGCAGAAAAGAAATTTTAAAAAGGGCTGCTACGCAGGAGTACGCGATCATACTCTTTACCCGGTCTTCTATTCGAAGAAATACGGTTTTCTCTTTTTACTTCTACCAACTGTTGATCAGATTGTATAGATTTTTAAAAAAACTTTTATTCTTTCTAGCTTTTATTCGATCGTTGATTGGTAAAGGCAAGTTTACAGTGGCTCTTCCATTCTATCCAATTGATTAAAAATGAGATATTCACTGGAGAATCGGTAGATTTTGCCTCTAATTGCATTTTAGTTTCGATATATATCATATTTGTTATGTGTCAAATTTGATATATATCAGATTTCTCAAGTCCCAAATTTGATATACATTAAATTCGTTCATCATGTAAAAGCCACTCGAGAAACCGTCGATTCCTGTTTTTTGTTGAATTATAGAATCAATCGTCTAGAAGAGAAACATAAATCCATTTATCCATACGCACTGTCAGCCGGAAATCTTTTATCTTCTAATCTAAATAGAATCCTTTTCTTTTTATCTTATCTTACCTTTTATCTAAATAGAATTTCCCTCCTTTTCGTGTGTCACTTTGTTATGTTTTTATAAATCCTCAATTTCTCTCTTAATAAATCATCGATATCCTCCATGATCATCTTTCATTTTTTTTTTAAATTTCATTTTTAAATTTTTCAAGAGATTTTTTTGAGTCAAGCTTTATATAAAATCTTTCAAATTTTTCTTTAATTTTAAACTTTCACTTTGTGAATCCCAATTTATTAGATCAAAATTTCATTTTAAAAAAATGAACATTCTTTTTCTTCTTCTTTATTTATCGCTTTGTTGTTTTGTTGTTGTTAAGAATTGTTAAGAAAACGACGAACAATAAGAACAACAACAACAAGAACAATAAGAACAAGAACAACAACAAGAACAACAACAATAAGAACAAGAACAACAACAAGAACAACAACAAGAACAACAACAAGAACAACAACAACAAGAACAACAACAAGAACAAAACAACAAGAACAACAACAACAAGAACAACAACAACAATAAGAACAAGAACAATAAGAACAAGAACAAGAACAATAAGAACAAGAACAAGAACAATAAGAACAACAACTCTCTGAATCAAGAGCTTAGTTAGGGGGAAAAATTTAGCGATTAGTTGTGGGTGGAAATGAAATTCTTTTCAATTTGATCAACTGTTTCCCCACTATTCCCCATCCCCCAAAAAGTACTGCTCTTAACCGAAACCGGGATCTTTACGATCCCATTAGGATCAAAATCTAAAAATTGTAAGTCTCAAGGTCTATTTCTAACTTCTAAACTTGTTGTTAGTGGTTTAAACATGAGTTTTCTCATGTTTAAACCACTAACAACCCTCTTTATTTATCGCTATCAAATTGTTAAGAAAACGATGAGCAATAAGAACAACAACAATAAGAAAACAATTCTCTGAATCAAGAGCTTAGTTAGGGGGAAAAATTTGGCGATTAGTTGTGGGTGGAAATGAAATTCTTTTCAATTTGATCAACAGATCAACGAAATTTCTCTGAGCTTTTTTTTTCTTCTGTGATTTCTGTGATTGAACAAGAAGCGACAGCCCGAATCAACCAGAAAATCAACCAGAAAATAAAGAACAGTTTTTGGATTATTTCTGCTTACATTTCGCTTTTGTTTCCAAAAAGTTTTCCTTTTTTTAATTAATTTAAATTTGAAATTGAAAAAAATTCGTGAACTAACGAATCCGGAGAAAATCGAGAGACAAAACTCTCTGAATCAAGAGACAAAACAAAGTTTGATCGCATTTTACATTATATTTAACCGCAAATATTTTAGCTGCTCTTTAAGTGACGTAAGGGTTTATGTAGCATTTCTACTGCTAAATAGAGCTAAATTTGAAGGCAAACATTGATGTTGGCAGAATGCAATCGCGAAATTTTGTAATTTTCTCTCCCTTTTTTGATTGAAGACTCGTAAAATAAAGAAAATTTATGATCATTAGTGGAGTGTGTTCCGCGCGAGTAATGCGTTTTTTAAAAAGAACACTTGGGAAAAAAATTACGGTACTTTTAACAAAAATTATGGCAAAAAAAAGTGACGCCAAAAATGCCGAGCCCCGCATTATATACGACACTTTTTAAAGATACTCAGCCGTTTAACTGATTTGGTGGGAAACTCCCTTCCAATGTAAAAAATGATTTTTTTTTGAAAAGCCTGGGGGTAGGCTAGTTTCCGCAATTTTTTTTGAGCAACAGGGTCATTTGCGCAACTGGGTCTTTTGCACAACTTGCCATAACTTTCTTCTAATTAGGCCAATCTTTATGATTTTGGTGTCATTTTGTGGCACTTATTGAGATCTACAAATTGAAACCAAAATCATAAAGATTGGTTGACTTAGAAGAAAGTTATGACGAGTTGCGCAAATGACGCTGTTCTTTTTTTTTTTAAAGGCGCACTTTTTAGAAAGCGCATTACTCGACAATTACTCGAGCTATTACTCGAGTAAAAAAATTACTCATGCAAATTTACTCGAGTAATTACTTACTCGCGAGGAACACCCTCTTTCGACAATAAGCTAGCGTTAGAGATGAGCTAAATGTTTGTGCAAATAAAAGAACAAATAAAAGGAACAAATAAAAGAACAAATAAAGGAGCAGATCTACCTTTCCCCCCCAAGTCTCTCCATAAGTTTTTCAATAAATTTAGTTTATTTTTAAATTGATTTTGTTCAAATTTTTCTCTTGTTCTAATCCTCAAATAGCTCAAAATTTGTACTTTTACTTAATCTCAAATTGGTCTTTATGTTATTTTTAAAAAGAATTCCCTTAAAGAACTCTATTTATTTCAAATATCAAATGTAAACAAAAAGTTCATTTCAATTTTTTCAATAACTTTAGACATTTCTTAAAAATTTTAAAAATTTTTTTATTGAAGCTCCTTGCCATTCTGATTTCTTTTTAAAATATGATATTTTATTACAATTTTTGGCTCTTTTCTTTGGTGAAGAATAGAAAAAAAAATGATTCAAAAGCATAAAAGGAAAATATTTTTTAAAATCTAACATTTTGCGTTTCGTTTGTGGGGGTAGACGTTTTCTCAGAACTTTTTGAATCACGAAATTTACATTCTTTTCTTTTTTTTTTCGTCTTTTCATTTAGGGATTGCTTAAATTATTAAGAAAAAAATGAAAATTTAATTAATTAAATAGAAATTTGCCGTAAATTAAAGCGAAATTTAGTTGAATTTGAGATTATTTCACTTTTTATAATCTTTTTATAATCGATTTTGTGCGGTACTTGTGAATCGGTTGCACGCATTTACTTAATAAGGGAGTGGGACAAATGCGACCTTTTTTTGCGCACCCGGACATTTGCGCACCTTTTTTGCGCACCTTGCCCATTAGCGCACCTTTTTTCGCGTTTTAAAAAAGCTCTAAAAAGCTAATATTAACCAATTTCTATTCCAAAAGTTCTTTTTCTAGGTAATTTGAGGGTGTCGAATTCAAATTTTGACATAACACAGCGTGTGGAACCAATTTGAAAGACAAAACGGCTAGATCAAATTACAGAAAATTGTTGATTTTTCTCTTTGTATAACTCCGTCCGTTCGCTTCCACAAGCTCTGATAGGCCAAAATTTGAATTCGACACCCTCAAATTACCTAGAAAAACAACTTTTGGAATAGAAATTGGTTAATATTAGCTTTTTTAAAACGCGAAAAAAGGTGCGCTAATGGGCTAAGTGCGGAAAAAAGGTGCGCAAATGTCCGGGTGCGCAAAAAAAGGTCGCATTTGTCCCACTTCCACTTAATAAGCATTTTTTTTTTGAAAATTTGCATTACAATTACGATATGTGCAAATATGCATTTGAAAATCTGCTTTAAAAGTTTCAAATGATTTTTTAAATTGTGTTTTAAATGATTTTAATGGTTATGATTTAATGGTTGTAATGGTTTCAAATGGTTTCAAATGGTTTAAAACACGATGTGATCTGCTGTGACATGTGATGTCACATCGTGCTTTTTTTTTATCGGCGCTAAACGCTCACTAACGTTCGCGTTTTCCACTCAATCTAAGCCAATGGCTGCGCACAGACGGACCGACAGACGTCTCTTCTGCTTTATATACAGATACCTCATAAAAAAACGTTTTCAAATCGAATTTCCTAAAAAGTTCTAGTGGCTGCAGATGACCGCTTTGGGCGTTTATTTGTGCTCAGGAATTTTTCACGTTTATTCTCTTTTTCACCATATCTTGATACCCTGTACATGAAGAACACCACACCAGCCACCACCACTACCATCATCACCACCCACCACCACTACCTGTACTGTTGCCTGTACTCATAGTGTGAAAATTGTTTTTATTGTATACACAGTGCTAGTCGAGGCTAAATTCAATCAATCAATGAAAACAGAGCAAGCGAACTTTTCACTTAAGAAATGGCAAGGGAATGAGTCATTTGCCATGTTCCCATGTAGATTCTCAGTAAAATACAAATGTTTGTGGTGGTGGTGGCTGGTGATGATGGTAGTGGTGGTGGGTGGTGATGATGGTAGTGGTGGTGGGTGGTGATGATGGTAGTGGTGGTGGGTGGTGATGATGGTAGTGGTGGTGGGTGGTGATGATGGTAGTGGTGGTGGGTGGTGATGATGGTAGTGGTGGTGGGTGGTGATGATGGAAGTGGTGGTGGCTGGTGATGATGGTAGTGGTGGTGGCTGGTGATGATGGTAGTGGTGGTGGCTGGTGATGATGGAAGTGGTGGTGGCTGGTGATGATGGAAGTGGTGGTGGCTGGTGATGATGGTAGTGGTGGTGGCTGGTGATGATGGTAGTGGTGGTGGCTGGTGATGATGGAAGTGGTGGTGGGCTGGTGATGATGGAAGTGGTGGTGGGTGGTGATGATGGTAGTGGTGGTGGCTGGTGATGATGGAAGTGGTGGTGGCTGGTGTGGTGTTCTTCATGTACAGGGTATCAAGATATGGTGAAAAAGAGAATAAACGTGAAAAATTCCTCGGCACAAATAAACGCTTTTGACACCAAAGCGATCACCTGCAGCCACTAGAACTTTTTAGGAAAACGTTTCTTATGAGACACCCTGTATAGTAGATTGGCTCACCGCAGGTACTGTGGGTAACCATCCGATCTTGCGATCATGCGATTATGCGCTCATGCGATCCGATCATGCGCGATGCACATTCTTCCATCTGGGGGAACGTAAGCTATTAAAGGTTAGAGGTGTTTCCGAACGCTTTTAGAGAGTTCATTTCAAAGTTTATATGCAGTTATATTCAAAGTCAAAGTCAAAAAGTTTATATAAAAATTTTCAAAACAATTTGCATAAAACAGATTCACAAATAACCTTTGCGCTTAGCAATTGAAACACTCTGATTCTTTTTTTTCTTTCTGCTTTCTTCTTTTCTTCTCTTCTTCTCTTCTTTTTTACTTCCTTTGACGGATTGATGTGTAAAAGAATTCAAAATTCAAGTGCGCTAGAAAGTAAACGTTTGCTTTGATGAGTAAAAAGTAGAACTTGAGGAACAAGTCTTGTACTCGTATCAATGTATCAATAGATTACTTATATCAATAGATTGTATCAATAGATTGTATCAATCAATGTATCAATAGATCAATGTACTTGTATCAATAGATTTCTCATTTCTTGCATTGTTTGATTATGCTGAGAAATCATTTTCAGACCAGCTAATTACTTTGTTTACTCTCTTTTTTTTTCAATAAATCATTCTCAAATATATTAATCATCTCAAAATCTACAATACACTTTCAATTGAGAAATTCGAAGTGACTCTTTTGGTTCTAAAAGCTCTACAAGCTCTAATTTCTTTGCTATCATCATTTTTTTAATCTAAATCTAGAAATGTATATAATGATTTTGATTTATTTCTGGATTTATTCTTTTTTGTTGTCTTTTATCTACTTACAATCAGTTTTTCTCTTTTGAGAAAAACGATAGATTCTAGATTTGTTTAGGTGAAAATCTTTCGAGCTTATCAGCTTCGAGCTTCGAGCTGAGCTTCGAGCTGAGCTTCGAGCTGAGCTTCGAGCTGAGCTTCGAGCTGAGCTTCGAGCTGAGCTTCGAGCTGAGCTTCGAGCTGAGCTTCGAGCTGAGCTTCGAGCTGAGCTTCGAGCTGAGCTTCGAGCTGAGCTTCGAGCTGAGCTTCGAGCTGAGCTTCGAGCTGAGCTTCGAGCTGAGCTTCGAGCTGAGCTTCGAGCTTATCAGCTTTGAGCTTCTAATGAAATTATCAATGAAATTTTGTCGAAAAATAACTAGAACTTCAATAACTAGAATTTTTAGATATTCCAGCTTTATTTTGAAACAAAAAACACTATAAAACTCTCTCATTGATCAACACAAATCGCAAAGTGCATTGCCAATTTGTGCGTAAAAATCCTCAACATTTATTCGCTTTCCCCTCTCTTTCAACTTTCAAACCAACAAAAACAATCATTATTTTCTATCCGATTTTATTTTTTTTCCACCTATTTTCATTCGTAAAAACCTTTTGATTCAAAATTTGAATTCATTCATATTTTAGCTTCTTTTTTTTCGAAATTTTTTTTAAAATTCCTATTTTTATCTTTTCTTTTAAAGGTGAGGTTGCTTTTTATTTTATTAGAAATATCTTTTTTTTTATTAGAAAATGAATATACTTGCCACGACGCTGGACGCGATAACATCAACCTCAAGGATCAATGCAATGCCACCATGGTTTCAGGTCGATATTCTTTTCATTTCTTTTTTTCTTCTTGATTTTATCAAAATTCTACAGATAGATTTGCTTATTGATTTACAAAATTTACGGTAAATTAAAGATAAAATAGATTACCGTAAATACTGTAACAGTACCCCACCCCCCATAATGACGGTGCGGAGCGTTGCGTAGTCTAGCTTTGAACGAGTTTTTCTCGACACTGGTTTATGCTACAATGTGCGCTTAGGTATCAAAAAATAGCTGAAATTCAGGGCTATTTTTTGAAACCAAAACGCCTTGAAAGTACGGATACAAAAAAATGAAATACGGAAATACTTGAAATACTTTTTGAAATGAAATACTAAAAAACTTTTGTGACTACGCGACTTTACGGGGGGTACTATTACAGTATTTACGGTAGTGGAAAATGGATTACGGTAGAGAACGGATTATCGTAGATTACGGTGAGAATCTGAAGGGCCACAGATTAGAGTCTTTTGCTTAGCCCATACCTTGTGATTTCGATTTGGCTTAACCGATAAGCAAGCTTTATCTTCTAAAGCTTTATCCAATTGCTTTTTTTCATTTCAGCAATCTACTCTATGGATTCTGATTATTGGGATCGTGATCGCGTTCATTCTTGGCGCTGGAATGGGGGGAAATGATGTGGCGAATGCGTTTGGTGAGGGGAAATTTTGAATGAGAAACGAATGGAAAATGAGTGAGAAATGAATGAGAAACGAATGAGAAACGAAATAAGAAACGAATGGGAAATGAAATGAAATGAAATGAGATAAATGAAAATAAATGAAATTTAAATAAATGAAATGAGATTCCTTTAAACGATTTTTAACATCAAAAGAAATTGCTTTTCCTTTAAAATTCTTTTCTTTTTAGGGACAAGTGTCGGCTCGAAAGTGGTCACAATCTTTCAAGCCTACATCCTCGCCACAATTTTTGAGACACTCGGAGCCGTGCTTGTTGGTGGGGGGAAAATTTGTAATTTTACTAGAGATCTTTTTTTTTTATCGATCTATTACTGCTGTATTATTTTATTTTTTTAGGTACATATGTGGTGGAAACAATGCGTAAAGGTGTGGTGGAAACGAGTTTGTACATCGGTGAGGAGAAACTCTACATGCTTGGACAGCTCGCCATTCTTGGCGGTAAGGGGTTTACGGAAAATTTCTTGATTTCTATTAGAGTATAGGAATAAGTCTGAGGTTACCGTATTGAATTACAATTAGAATTCCATTAGAGTTCCATTAGAATTCCATTAGAATTACAATTAGAATTACAATTAGAATTCCTTTAGAATTAGAATTAGAATTAGAATTAGAATTAGAATTAGAATTAGAATTAGAATTAGAATTAGAATTAGAATTAAAATTAGAATTAGAATTAGAATTAGAATTAGAATTAGAATTAGAATTAGAATTACAATTACAATTAGAATTCCATTAGAATTCCATTAGAATTCCATTAGAATTACAATTAGAAATAAGGATACGGTAGCGCGATGCTTTCAAAAGCATCAGTCTACAAGCTTAGTGCATAAGATTACTGTAGTTATTTAGCTGAGCTACTGTTACTTTTTACCGTAGTTACTGAGCTACTTTTTACTGATTATTTACTTTACTAAAATCAGATAAATGTATTTATGGAGCTGCTTTTTTTTCTTAAAAACTTACAAATCCATTTCCCGATTCCAGGTTGTGCAGCGTGGTTATTGCTGGCGACAGTTCTGAAGATGCCCGTCTCAACAACTCATTCAATTGTTGGTGCTACTGTTGGTTTTTCTCTTGTTTGCCATGGTTTTGAAGGGATTCAGTGGAAAGAGATTGGAAAAATTGGTAACTTTTAATACTTGTCAAGCAGTTTTCCATTTTTCTAGTTGGATCATGGTTCCTCTCACCGGCTCTCTCTGGATTCATCTCCTCGATTCTCTATCTAATTGTCGATCATTCCGTTTTACGAAGGGTCAGAGTTTTGATGAGTTACTGTAACAAAATGCTTTAGAGTGAGAGATTGCATAGAATGGTATACAGGGTTACTGTAGCAAACTGCTGTATCGGTAGACGTGTCGGATTACTGTATGCTAAGTTACTGTAGAGGGCTACTGTAGGGGTTTGAGGGCTACTGTAGGGGCTCTTAGAGGGCCTGTGGGGCCTGTAGAGGCTACTGTAGAGGGCTACTGTAGAGGGCTACTGTAGAGGGCTACTGTAGGGCTACTGTAGCGTATCCTAGATAACTGTAGAAAGGTATGAGTGGCTGTAGCTACTACAGTTTCCGCTAGGGTTACTGTATCATGTTACCAAATATTTGCCCTTTCCCTTTCCCAGATTTCCCCTTCTAATATGTGAATTTCTAGAATCAACCCGTCGAGGCGGGTTTCCGAGCGTTGCCGATCTTCTACGGCGTTTGCGTTGGTGTGAACGCGTTCATGGTCACCTATCAGGGAACTCCTTGTAAGGAAATTGGAAAATTCTCATCTATCCTATCGATATTTGATTTAGTACTCAAATTGGACAAACTCCCGTGGTGGGCGGCGTTGTTGATCTCGATCGGTGTCGCATTGATCGTTGGCTTCGGTATCCATTTCATTCTCATCCCGCGGCTGCGGAGGAAAATTCGAGGTACTTTTTTGATATCTAAAGAAAAATTAATTAAAATCTTTAATTGAATATCATTTTTTTAACCTTTTTCTTTTAGATGAGCAAAAAAAGGCGCCTGTCTCGATGGGAAATGGATCCGAGGAGAGTTCTGGAGGAAGTGAGTCAATTTTTGTTGTCTTTTTGTTGTCTTTTTATAAATTTAAATGTAAATTGCATGTAAAGTTAACAATTTTTGCAAATTGTATGTAAATTTAACAATGATTTCTTTCTTTTTTCAGACTCACCAGCTTGGTCGAGCCCGAACGAGCTCGAGTCGGCAAAGCAAAGACAACAAGAAACTCTGCCGATGCCTGGGAGACCCGGTTGGTCTTTGAATTGTACAGTAAACTTTAGATCACTGTAGGATCACTTTAGAATTAAGATTTTAACTAATTGATACTCTATATTGACGTAAAGTACGGGCTACAATGATTACTGTTAGCACTACAATGATTACTGTAGCTTTTTTAAATTTCCATTTGTGAGAGCTATGGCCCAAAAAGTTAAGGGTGTTATTGGGGTTTAAAAAAATGACGTAACCTAACGTTTAGACGTTTCCAGCGTTAGATTTTCATTTCCAGTTTCAACAAAACCGAAGACCGGCCTTCAATGGTTTCTCCCCGATCCAAACCGTGTCGAATCCCCAGAAGTGCTTCGTCTTTTCGCCATCATTCAACTCTTCACTGCTTGTTTTGCCGGTTTTGCGCACGGAGCCAATGATGTTAGGTAGAAAATTTATCGATTTTTACGATTTATTTGAGCAAATATGTCTTAAATTCAAAATCAAGGTATTTCTAAGATTTGGAATTATTAAAAAACAAACCCATTCCTGTAAAGGAAACTATAAAAATAAGGCAGAGGGTACTGTGGATTCGGTTTTTTGCATGGGGATCTTAGATTACTGTAGATTGAGGTCTTCGCATAGGAATTTTAGATTACTTTATAATGAATTCTTCCATTTTCCATTTCTTTTAGTAATTGTTCGTACAGAGGGTACTGTAAATTCGGTTTTTTGCATGGGAATCTTAGACTACTGTAGATTGAGGTCTTTGTATAGAAATCTTAGATGACTTAGATTGCATAGGAATCTTAGAATTCTTCAATTTTCTGTTCCTTTTAGTAACGCGATTGCCCCACTCGGTGCCCTCATCGCCGTCTACAGGGATTACGATGTCCAACAGGTGAAAAGGTTTAGATCAATATTTAGTTTAAGAATTTGAATTTTATTCTCTCTTTTTTTGTGCCACCATGACCATGATGGTTAGGGTGTTGTATACTAGTCGAGAGGACACGGGTTCGATTCCAGTGGCTAGAAAATTTGTCTCATATATATGGGTTTTTCTTGGCAATATCTCTTGGGATATTGGAGCATTTGAGTTGTGTATTTCTTTATGTCACAATTATTTAATAAATGTATATGTTGTGTCCGATTTAGATTCCGTCCGATTTAGATTGAATCTAAATCGAACACAACATATATATTTTGTTTCAGGCAGCACCCGTCCGTTCGTATGTGATTTTGTACGGTGTGCTGGGGATTTGTGTCGGCTTGTGGCTGTTGGGACATCGAGTGATCAAGACGGTCGGCACGAATATGAGCGAGATCACACCGGCTAGGTTTGTTCAAAGGAGATTTGGTGGAGATTCGATAAAATGGGGTTGTTGTAGCTTTTTTGCTATAGAAATGAGGATTACGGTAGTGATTACTGTAGCAGCTTACTATAGAAACCATTCTATGGTTACTGTAACTATTTACTATAGAAATGAGGATTACCGTAGCAGCTAATATCCCTAGATTACTATAGAAACCATTCTATGGTTACTACGATAGCTACAGTTTTCTTTAGGATCTACTATATGTAAAAGAGTGGGGTCTGTCTGTCATCTACGCGTCCAGTGAAGATTTCCAAATACCTTATAGGTAGTTTGGCTTAGAATTCCAACTAGTTATGCAATGTGTTTTTAAATTTTTAAAAAAGCAAAAGTGTCGACGCGGTCGGGAGTCGAACCCTGGTCACGTGGGCTAGAGAAAAGTGCGCTCGCACTGCGCCAGTGGCAACTAAGGCGAATCAAAAATTTCTCCCCGCCGGGACTCGAACCCGCGACCCTTCGCCCACCAGCCAACTGTGCTAACCACTACACCACAACGCAGCTGATCTCCCTCGCTTCAGAGGGGGTTAACTCGCCATCTAAAAAGGCGTGGTCGAGTGGTTAACGTGACCGTCTTTCAAACGAATGGCAGAGAGAGGTCGCGGGTTCGACTCCTCTCGCCGCCAATTCTTTTGCTTTTACTCAAAAAAAATTGTATAATAAGAAAGCTACTTGTACTACTGTAATTTTCCAACAACTTTAGCGGTTTCACCATCGAATTTGGCGCAGCGATGGCTGCATTGATCGCCAGCAAAGCGGGACTTCCCATCTCGACCACTCATTGCTTGGTATGCTAATTTTTATGTAGAATACTGCAATAATCTTAGCGTAACCATCGTACGTAGCCTAGTGTACAGTAATTCTAGGCACTTCGACCATTTATTGGCTAAATTCAAAGCTTTTCAAATCCCCGCCGGCATCAAAGCCATACACACTTTTTTTTCTCCTCTTTCATCCGCACAATTCTTCTAGCAGAACATGATTTTATATCCTTTAATCAATCATCTCATTTCTGCTTCTCCATTTTTCTCATTTCCATTCATTTTTCAGGTCGGCTCGGTGGTTTGTGTGGGTTTTTTGCGTAGTCGAAAAAACGTGGATTGGCGTCTTTTCGGGAATGTGGCTCTCTCGTGGGTTGTCACTCTGCCCGTCGCTGGTTTGTTGTTTTTCTTTTTTTCTGTGGCACTTCTGATCACTAGGATATGAGATATGAAAATAAGTTAATTCAAAATCGAAAACAATAGTGCACTAAAGCTTGCATGGTAAAGTTCTTTCGGGATTTCGGTATTTCGAGATCGAAATTCTCATCGCATAGTTGCCATCGCGTAGAGCTTTAAAAGCAGCTTTAAAAGCTACAGTACTATACAGAAATTTGACGGGAAAACTTACAAATTCTACACTTAGTCTGCTTACTTATAAAGATAATATTAAAATGTAAATTTATCGAAAGGTTTTTCCCTGATTTCTTTTTTTTGATTTCAGGTTTCATCTCTGCCGGTATCATCTTTGTACTCAAGAATATCGCTCTTTAACGATAAAAAAACACAACGAGAAAACAGTGTTTAGCTTTGAAATTTTGCATTTAGCTTCTCTAAATCTCTAAATTTTTTTTTGTTTCTTTTTTTTTGTTTCTTGTTTTCATTGCGTTTTCTTTTAAAGACAAAATCTAGTCATATATTTTGAATGAATACTTTAGACGTTTTGTGCTTTAAATATCTCATTTTCTTTTCTTTTCTTTTTGAATTGATTACTGTATTTTGCATATATGAGAAAAATGAGTGAAATCGGTATAAATGAGTGCAGTTTAGGAGAAGAAAAATGATTTGAAAAAAAAACGATTATCATAGTTTTATTTCAAATTTTAATTACTAATGTGTTTTTCTTTTAGCAAATAGATTTCGATTATCGTTATTCTTGCTAAAAAATTGACTTAGATTAGAGTATTTTCGGAATTGGTTTTTATGAGGTTCTTCGGATATAAACGAGCGTTTGCACTGCTTAACTGAGGAAGTCATTTCCCGCATCTGATAGCTTTTCCAATGACGTGGAAATGCTCATCAATAGTAGAATTTGAACATAGAAAGTGTTTGAGCCAGTTCACGCGTCGTTTGACATGCATCCGATTCGATGGCAGCCCTCAAAATATCGTTGTCTACCGCTTGAGGTCGACGAGAGTGTTCATCGTCCTCGAGACTTCCGAAAGAGACAAAAGAACTCGACGAAAGAACGATGAAACACCATTCCGAAAGTGTTGGAACCAGGCTCGGCATCGGCTTTCGGACAAGGCATTATTCCAAAATTCTTTGACCAAATCTCGATGGGATTCTGCGACTATTTTGCCCAGTTTGAAGTAGGCAGACAATAGGCAGACGTAGGCAGACGTAGGCCTAAAGTAGGCAGACGTAGGCCTAAAGTAGGCAGATGCGAACTTGATATTTCAAGTCGATCATCTAAAGCAAGAAAAAAGATCTTAAAAATAAGAAATTATCCGTTTAAAAAGGTTCCAAATATGCACAAGATAATGTACTTTTAAAAACAGAAAGTACAGAAAGACATGTTTTAAAAAGGTTTCCCTCACAACAATAAGTTTAGTAACGCTTGTTTATATCAAAAAAACCTAATAGAATGAAGGCGCACGGATTTCCGCAATACTTTTGCAATTTTTAGGCTATCAGAGTTAGGTAACTTTTTAGTGGCTATACATTTGTGCAATAAGAATGAAAAGAAAGCACAGAAAGACATGTTTTAAAGACAGGACAAGGCTTCTCTCACGAGAATAAGTTTAGCAACGCTTGTTTATATCCGATTAGCATTATTAGCATTCTTAGCAACGCTTATCTACTAGGTTGGTGCAAATGAAATTTCGTTTTTTTACAAACATTAAAGTCATCCAAAATTTTTTTTGATAACAATTTATTTAAAACAATAAGCACCATTATTATCTATGACATCCCTCCAACGTTGCTTCAGATTGCGGATCCCCTTCTCAAAGAACGCTTGATTCTGTGATGCAAAGTAGTTGGTCACCCAATTTTCGACTTCTTTTGCATTCTTAAACTGGCAATTCTCAAGGGAATGTTGCATCGATCTGAAAAGGTGAAAATCGGAGGGTGCTAAGTCTGGACTATACGGCGCATGTGGTAAGACCTTCCATCCTAGCTTCTCTAGTTCCTTACAAGAGGTTTTTGCCGTGTGAGCTGGATCATTATCACGGAGAAAGTTGATAGTTGAGGGATTTAGGCCTTTTTCACGCAAAATTTCGTCAACCTTCTTGAGTTGTTGAATAAAATAAGATGAATCGACTGTTTTTCCGGGCTCTAATAATTCAAAATGAACAAGTCCATTGATATTCCACCAGCAAGACAACATCACTTTGCGCCCATGATAATCCGGCTTTGGAGTTGGAATTGGCGCTTGACCTTTGGTCAGCCATTGTCTTTTTCGAGATATTATCAAAGTGAATCCACTTCTCATCCATCGTCAAGATATTCTCAAAAAAATGGCTTCTTTTCGACTTCTGGAGCAAGATATGGCTGATCGGAACGCGTGCTCCCAGATTCTCAACACTCAATTGATGTGGAACCCATTGTCCATTACAATTTGTCTTTCCAATTATTTCCAAATGGCGTACAATTGTTGAATTGGAGATGTTTGGCAAGTTCTCGTGTTGTTTGCATTGGATCAGCTTCAATTCATTGTTGTCGATGGCTGTGGCACGATGTCCATGCGATTCGTCTTCAAGGGATTCATTACCATCTCGGAATTGGGCAAACCAGAGCTGGCATGATCTTTCGGTGATAACCTGTTCTCCAAAGGCGGAACAGAGGTCACGATGTGAATCAGCAGCGTTTTTGCCCATTTTGAAGTCATAGAGAAGACACGTGCGCAGAACATACTTTTGATCCACCATGATCTAAAGCAAAAATCAATTAAAAAGTGAAAGCTCTGACTTTGAAAAAATGCGAAAATAAAGTAAATATCCAAGAGTACAAATGCACAAAAGAACATCAAATAAGCTCTTCAGATTAAAAAAATAAGAACATTTTATATCGACCGAAATTTCTTTTGCACCAACCTAATATATCCGATTAGTATTATTAGCATTATTAGCAACGCTTATCTATATCCGATTAGTATTATTAGCATTATTAGCAACGCTTGTTTATATCCAATTAGCATTATTAGCATTATTAGCAACGCTTCTCTATATCCAAAAAAATCTAATCGAAATGCGGTTTATTTGTTTAAACAAAATGATAAAATGTTTGTGAAAAACTTTTATTTAAACCCGTTATGTCAAAAAAAATCGTATTGAATTGCATTGAATTGTATTGAAGGATTACTAGTAAATTGATTCGATAAAAACAAAAATTCTAGTATAAACAGGAGAAAAAATAAACACTTAAGAGTATCACAATGTTGTCGAGAAGGGTAAAAAGTCATTTTAAAACATAAAAGCAAGCCATCTAGAACTTTAAAGGAACTTTAAGGGAACCAAATAGGAACTATAAAGGAACTATAAAGGAACCATAAAGGAACTTTAAAGGAAGTCGTCTAGTGGAATGAGTTGACAAAGAAATTCATGCTTTTATATAGACAATTAATTTAGATAATTCGATAATTCGATATTTTCTAAACTTTTTTATGCACTAGATGCTTGTTTTTATGCTTTTATTTACGTTTAAACATTAGCATCAGATTTCTAAAGCTCTTCTGAGACTGGTAAGTACCGTGAATACTGTAATAGTGCCCCACCCTCATAATGACGGTGCGGAGTGTTGAGTAGTGTAGCTTTGAACGAGTTTTTCTCGACACTGGTTTATGCTACAATGCGCGCTTAGATATCAAAAACGCATTTGAAAGTACGGGCGCTTTGCAAAAAAAAATTAAATACTTTTGAAATGAAATACGGAAATACTTGAAATACTTTTTGAAATGAAATACTAAAAACCTTTTGCGACTACGCGACTGTACGAGGACTGTACGAGGTACTATTACAGTATTTACGGTAGGTAGGTAGGTAAGTAAGTAGGTAAGTAGAAAATGAATCATAAAACAAATGAAGAATACTGTGAGATCCCGTTCTCTTGTCTAGTTACAGGATTTTCGTTATAAAATAATATCTAGAGTTTAATTTGGAAACTTTAGCTTTTCAGTACAGATTACAACTTGAGCTCTTCATCAAGCCGGGATTTCTTTGAGGGAGTCAAACTCGGAGAATCGTTTTCCCGTTTACCCAACGTTTTCAAGGAGCATTGAGCAATTGGAGCTTTTAGGGAGCTTAGGGAATCGAGATCCTCTTCATTTTTTTCATTCTCTTCATTCTCTCCATTTTCTTCATTTCCCTCATCAACATCATCTTCAGTTGCATCACAAATTGATGGATTGTAATAGAAAAAAGCAAACGAGTACTCGACATTCCCCTTTTGAACGGTGATGTCGACGTAGCCTGGAAAGTTTCGAGTTAACGGCTTTATCTTTATCTTATTTCTATCGCTATCTTATTTCTATTGTTATCTTATTTCTATCTTTATCTTATTTTCAAATTAATCTTTGAAATTTATCCATTTGCTATGAGTCTTTTGATCTTTTGACGTCTCCCATTGATCTTTTGACGTCTTTTGTTTTTGAAACATTTGAAATTTGAATTTGAACATTTGAAACGTCTTTTGTCGGAAACATCAGCGGAAACAGTCTTTTGACGGAAATGATCCCATCGAGATGACATTTTTGAGTCACAGGTTTTTTTTCCTTTAGCCATTTCTTTTAAGCACTCAAAGATTTAACCCTAATACTCTAGATCTTTTGAGAAGGTATTCAGTCAAACTTGTAAACTTGTTCAACTTAAAGTTCACTTACAAGACTTACAAATTGGCTTAAAAGTTAAACTTGATCAGAAAAAAGCCAGGTAGATCAAAAGCCGAATGCTGATTTAGATAAGCTCCAACTACAATAATCCTACATAGAGTAATCCTTAGCTACAGTAATCCTCAACTACAGTAATCCTTAGCTACAGTAATCCTCAACTACAGTTGGCTACTGATTTGATTTCAGCGAGCTAAAGCTGCAGTAAAGCTGAACCCGGAAAAGCTGCTTGTCAAAGAATCCTGGGTATCTTTAAAAACTAAAAGAAAAATGCATAATCTAAAGGGAAGCCAATACCTAATAGCTTACACCGGATATATCAAAAATATCTAAACGCTCAGATGCAACTTTTCTAGTAGCATTTTTTGAGTGACACTTTGTCAACTTTGTCAAGGAGTGCGCGCGAGGCCAAATGCGCGGGAGTGAAGGGTAATTAGAGGATTCATTGAGCGGTTTGTCTCAAGGGTATTTCCCTTGAATGTCCATTCTCTCATTCATTCTCATTTCCATTTCCCCCAACCAACGATTAGCTTGTAATTTGGTGCTATTCCCGCTGTCTCCCTCTTTCCCATGGGCATTTTTCGGGTGGCCAGGTGTGTCATTATCTACACATCAATGGGGAAAAGTTCTTGAAAGAATTTTGATAAATGCAATATATAAAAACTATATAAAAACTATATATAAAAGAAAAATAACAGCGTCTGTCTGTTTTTCTCTCTGTACAGACATTTTCTCAGCTTTCTCAGCCGCCTTTTAGCCAATAAAGCTAAAACTTCTTTAGAAAACCTTCGAATCTATTGTAGTTGTGGTATTTAAAGTAAAAAAATCAAAAACTCAAGTTTGAGTGGCACTACGGGGGTCGAACCTGGGTAGTGTGAGCCGTAGACAAGCGTGCTATTGACTGCGCCATAGTCAGGCGACAGTTTCAAAAGATCAGCGAGAAAAACCGGTACATTATACATAAAATTCCAAAAGATATCAGTGGAGCAATGAATTAAATGACAAACTTTTTTTAGATTTTAAGCTATAAACTTTTTGAGCTCATTTACAAGTTGGAAATTGACCTAATACGTAATTGAATCCGGCCTTACCACAAGAATTGAAAATTTTGGTCTTGCTTTTAAGTTTAGAGTGTAACAGTAATCCTACATAGAGTAATCCTTAACTACAGTCATCCTCAACTACAGTAATCCTTAACTACAGTAATCCTTAACTACAGTCATCCTTAACTACAGCCATCCTTAACTACAGCCATCCTTAGCTGCAGTATTCCCTAAGTACAGTAATCCTACAAGTTCTAGGGTCTTTAAATCAGAGTAAGATCAAAAGTTGGTTGCTGATCTGATTTCAGGGAACAAAAGCTGGAGCAATAAATTAAATGAAAAACTTGGTTTTAGATCTTTAGCTATAAACGTTTTGAGCTCATTTACCAGTTGGAAAGTGACCTAATACGCAATTGAATCCGGCCTTACTACAAGAATTGAAAATTTTGGTCTTGCTTTTAAGTTTAGAGTGTTTTTCAGAACTCAAAGCTCTATCGAATGGATCGCTTTTTGATTGAAATTGGACTAATCGATCTACACAATTAGCTTAGCTTCCAATGCCTTAGTAAACCTTGCTATGTCAGCTTAGATTATCGAGAAAGAATTTATCTTTTCATAGTTTATACAAAAAAACTAACCCTCAAGCGGCTCAACGACGAATTGCCCCTCGGCCTCTCGTTGATGTGCGGCTTTCAACGCTTTTTCCATGCCTGAGATCAAGAAATTTCTCGTAAACACATCCGATTCGTTGAACTCAGCACAGCACAGAGAAATCTTAATAAAAATTTAGTGATTGTTTTAAAGAATTTGATACTTGTATAAATGTCTCAAAAGAGGCGCCACTCAAGTGCTCCAAAGCGAAGAAAAGATCTTCCATCGGGCAGGGGAGACTGAAAAGGTTGCTTTGAATTGAAATGTGAATCTACTATATATAAAGGGACTAAGACGTCTATCTGTCTGTCTGTCTATTTGTCTGTCCGTCTGTCTGTCTGTGCCTATCCCTCTGCCCCCAGAGGACCTATTGAAATGATTTTTGTGCCGTTGAATAGGGAATTACATGTAGTTATGCAACGTGGTTTTGGATTTTTTTTAAAAGAACAATTCGAGTCACACGGGGTGGTCGAACTCGGATCGTATGGGCGATAGACTGTCGCGCTATTCATTACTCCACGGCGACAAAAGCCGTCGATTCCCAAAACATCCAGAAAAACCCACCGTCAGGTGGGTTTCTCGGCTGGTAAATAAATAAATGAATAACTAAATAAATAAATAAATGTCAACTCATACCATATATTCTTGAAATTCTCAATCATCATATCAATATGAACATTCAACGTCTTCACCGATCCCATTTTCGATAGAGATTTCTCCAAGAATGAACTCAAATAACCGCCCGGGGTGAAAGGTGAATAGCCTGAAAAATTGAAAATATTTTTACAATTGTGAATTCAAGGACTTCTCAATCTTTGCTCACTTGTTTCCCGCAGTGTCAATTTCTCAACGTCAACCTCTTTCACAACGATCATCACCTCGCGAATGGTGTCCGTTTTGAGGAAAAGTTGAGGTACAGAAGAGTCACTGAAAAAAAGGATACTTTGATTGTTTAACTGATACAGTTTTTTTTATTTGATTTATTCAATTCAATCAATTCAATTTGATTTTATCAATTTGATTTGATCAATTTGACTTTATTAATTTGATTTTATTAATTTGATTCGATCAATTTGATTTGATCAGTTTAATTGCATCAATTTGATTCGATCAATTTGCTTTCATCAATTTGATTTGATCAATTTGATTTGATCAATTTGATTTGATCAATTTGATTCGATCAATTTGCCAACTTCTTTAGATCTTTTGATTAAAAATAAAATAACGATCATTTAAGTAAAACGATTAACTTTGATACTTTGATACTTTGATTTCTAAAGCAGAATCTTTTTCCTCTAAAATTCTATAATTTTACGATCTCAGTATCTTTCAACGAACCGTATCTTTCGTAGTCTTCGTCGCCCTTTTGAATCCCGAATAAAGCACTCATTTGGCTCATCGGAGAGCTGAAATGTCTTCATTTTAAAATTCTCTATTGGATTCTGTTTTAAACTCTCTATTACTTCTAAAAGCTACCGTAACCTGGCTATAATTTTATTCAATTATCTACTTCTGTCATTTTTGAAGGATACAGACAGGTAGAAAATCGATAAACTGAAAAAAAAACTAGAGCCAAGATTACGAGTTCTCGAAAGTTGACATATTTTAAGAAAACTCTAATAGTAAGGATTTTTGCTAGAATTCCCTGAGGCTTATAAATGTAACCGATGAATAGCTTCAGTAATCCAATAACAGACCAATTTCCCGCCAATTTCCAAGTTACTCAAGACTTGCAAACGTTTTCACTTCCATTTGTTCTATATTTCATTCTTACTTTCAAATCCCACCTGCAATTGATCATATCCGGAGAAATTCCCCTTGCAAAGCGTGATAGGCACGACGACAGGAGTGCTGGAAATTTACATTTAAATGATTAATGATTTTTTTCGTCTTGTTTTAAAAAGTACCTATGTTTAGTCAGAGTTTTAAGCATTTTTTTTTCCATTCTTTACAATTCATCTATTCACCAATCGTTATCAGCTTAGTGAACTTTTGGCAAACGAGGTGATCGGCAAAAACTGGAGATCATAAATTTATAGAACTTTAGAGGAAAAAGATTCTGCTTTAGAAATAAAAGTATCAAAGTATCAAAGTTAATCGTTTTACTTAAATGATCGTTTTTTATTTTTAATCAAAAGATCTAAAGAAGTTGGCAAATTGATAAAATCAAATTGATGAAATCAAATTGATCGAATTAAATTGATCGAATCAAATTGATGAAATCAAATTGATCAAATGAAATTGATGAAAGCAAATTGATGAAATCAAATTGATCGAATCAAATTGATGAAATTAAACTGATCAAATCAAATTGATCGAATCAAATTGATGAAATCAAATTGATCGAATCAAATTGATCGAATCAAATTGATCGAATCAAATTGATCGAATCAAATTGATCGAATCAAATTAATAAAATCAAATTAATAAAGTCAAATTGATAAAATCAAATTGACTTTATTAATTGAATTGATTGAATTGAATGGATCAAATCAAATTCTTTTTTGAATTCTATTACTGAAATCTCTCAAAACAAACTTGAAAAGCAAACGAATCATCGAAAGACAAGAATCGATCGATTTGAACAATCAACTCCTCGGGAAGTGAATCGAAAAGTGATGCGGATCGATGAGTTGATGTTGAGGCTTCATTTTGATCCATTCCTCAAATTAATCGTCACAATAAAATGTCTGATATCAAATTAATCAGAAAACATAAAAGAAAAAGATCGATTAAACAATGAAAAGCGTTTAAAAATCAGTAGAAAACTATGAGCTTGGGCTAAAAGATCAAAAAATTTATCATTTTTAAAGATAGCAAAGTAAAATAGAATGGATTTTTGAAAGCTTTTAAAGAAATCTTTTAAAGAAAACTGTTAAAATATTTGTAGATATTAAAAAAAAAATCAATAAATCATCTTTTCTAGAGGAAACAAAAAGTTTTTAAAAGAAAGATTGAACCGTTCGATCGGAAGGGGAATGAGATCGAGTGTGTTTGGGAGTGTATGAAGGAGAGAAGATCGATGGAGATTCACAATGACAAAGAAGAAAAAAGGAGGAGCGGAAAGGGGAAGAAAAAGGGAAACGAGGGGAAATTATTAAGAAAAAAAAACAAAATGATTGAATGTTTAGCTTAGAATTTTGATTGTTTAGATTCGATTTTTGGATTTTGGATTCGATTTTTCAAACCTCTTCTTCAATCATCCGTACCGTATTTTCTCTAATAGTAGTGCACCCCTGAGCGTTGCCTAAATTACTCGAAATCTCGAGAACCGCTTATCAGAACCTATCGATGTGGGGTGGGAAAATGTAGCTGACGATGAGATCTTGGGGGGATTTGAGTGTTGAGCTTCTGGGGAAACTTGGAAACTGTAAAATCGTCATCAACTCGGCTCAGCGGGAAATATTAGGGAAATAGATCAGTCTGATCTACTAGCCTAATTTGGAATAATATACCGTCTTCTCTCTAATAGTAGTGAACCCTGAGCGTCGCCTAAATTCCTCGAAATCTCGAGAACCGCTTATCAGAACCTATCGATGTGTGATCGGAAAATGTAGCTGACGATGAGATCTAGTGGAAGATTGGAGTGTTGAGCTTCTGCAGAAGCCTGGAAACCGCAAAATCGTCACCAACTCGGCTCGCCTGTGCACTACTATTAGAGAAAATACGGTATTCATTTTCTAGTTTTATCTTTTAATTTAAAATGATCTTTACATGTTGTTGAAACGAAATTGTGTTTAGAAGAAGTGATTTGGACTTTTGTATCCCGTTAAACGTCACCTTTCTAGCACACTGAGTTTTTGTTATGTATTCGTGACAGAAATTGACTTAAATCTATTGAAAAAGAGTATGATTTGATATGATTTTACCATCTTTTGACATCTTGAAAGAACATTGATGTTTGGTTTGGTTTGGTGGTCAATTATGTCAAGATATACAGTTTTTTCTTTTGTTAATTCTAAAAAGCTAAAATGATAGCAAGTCAAGGCATACTTTAGCTTAGCGTTGCCTAGCCTTGCCTAGCCTAAAAATCAGAACAAAAGAACAATCCTGATCCTTTCCATTTCTTAACTCAAAATCAAAATCAAAAAAGATAGAAAAGAGCAATAAAAAAAACAATTTTTGCTAAGGATACAAGTAAAGATTTAAATTTAGATTTTTAAAAAAACTTGTAGATCTTTCAAATGAAGAATGAATAAAGAGAAGACGCTCAAATTTAAAGAATTTGAAGAATTCGAAAGGTGGTAGAGAGGAACAGTCAGGGGAAAGAGAATAAAAAAAAGTGTTGCCCAGGTGATCAGTACTTTTTCTCTCAATTGAACTTTTCCAATGCATTCGTTTTTTTGAGAATTGAGGGATTTCTGATTTCTTGTGTTGATTTGAGGGATTTCCCTTGATCTTTACGGTTCCTGCTTTGAGATTAGAGAAAAGATTTGCACGTTTTTCGTGAAGATCAGGATTTAGAAAGAAAATTTTCATGATTCAAAAGGGGATGATGAGCAGGGAGGCTTACAAGTAGTACTTGAGCTTTTCTGATGGAAGGATCAAAATTGTTAACACTAAGATTGTTTCAAAAGGGATTTTTAACAGCAATAAGGGAGATGATCTGGAGAGAAGCATGAGTTTAAAATAGAAGTTTACATATACTATAGACAATTTTCTATGTAATATGATAACTATAGACAACTTTCTATATACTATCGAAACTATAGACAACTTTCTATATACTGTCGAAACTCTAGACAATTTCCTATGTAATATAGAAACTATAGACGATTTTCTATGTAATATAGAAACTATAGACAATTTTCTATATACTATCGAAACTATAGACAATTTCCTATGTAATATAGAAACTATAGACAAATTTCTATGTATAAAATAGTATCATTGTGAGTAAATGAACTACAGAAAGATGCTAGAATTTTATAAAATGCTTTATGATGAGCTTTCCGGCTAAGGTGAAGTCAAGAAGTGAAGAATCTGTCTAACTATAGGTTTTTAAAGAAGGAAGTTCAGAAAAATATAAACTGAACCGTATGTAGTGAGGAAAAATGAGAAAAAGTGAGTTACAAGGTGTCCAAGTGGTAAACAGAATGAAGGAAAGAAGGGAGGAGATGGGGAGGAGATGGGGTGGAGGTGGGGAGGAGATGGGGTGGAGATGGGGTGGAGGTGGGGTGGAGTCTCCCATTTGATAGACTCCCCCGCCCCATCCCCTTTCCTTTTCTCCCCGTTTCCCCAAAAGAGCAATGAACAATTATCGGATTTGAGCACCCGACCGTACTACTCCTTTTCACATAATCATTCTGCTATTTCATTCTAATATTTCATTCCTCTCGTTAACATTCAACTAAACCCATTCGGGGTTTTGTTTAAAGGAAATTTTGTTAACCGAAAGTCAAAGTAAAACAAAGCTTAAAGATTTGGAGTAAAAGATTGGGAACTAAAAGATTTATAACTAAAAGATTTGTAACTTAAAGATTTGGAAGTTAAAGATTTGGAAGTTAAAGATTTATAACTAAAAGATTTGTAAATTAAAGATTTGCCTTAAAGATTTGTCTTCAACATTTGAATAGTTTTTTTTAATAGAAGGCTAAATTTATAAAGCTTATAAAAACAAAAAAGCTACGAAACTCATAGAGGAAAACAATGAAAAGTCTGAAGATGAAGAGTCTGACAAATTCAAATCGACAAATTCGCATCGACAAATCGCTTAGGGCAGGTATGTGCAAGGGGGAAAAGGGGATGAAATATGAAATCAAAAATAAATGAAAATGAAAATGAAAATCAAGTCTGACAAATTCGCATCGACAAATTCGCATCGACAATTCGCATCGACAAATCGCTTAGGGCAGGTGTGTGCAAGAGGGAAAAGGGATGGAATTTGGGAAAATTTATCAGTCAATTAATGGATTAGTGAGAGAAAAACTCACAATTTTTTTCTCCAAATGCTGCCTCATAATTCTAACAAACTTTCTTGATTTTATAGAAATTTAAGTCAAAATACGGTAGCTGCATGCTTTAAAGTGCCCTATTAGAGTGATAAAGCTTCGTTGAACCTAAGAAAGGAGTCAAGATTAACCTCGTTATTAATTTGTTTGAGAAAATAGTTTTGTCAATCATCTAGTTTAAAACTCTCTAACTTTTTTGGTTTAAAAGTTCAAAAGTTCTTGATAAAACTCATTGATAATTGGGGAGTGGGACAAATGCGACCTTTTTTTTGCGCACCCGGACATTTGCGCACCTTTTTTTCCGCACCTTGCCCATTAGCGCACCTTTTTTCGCGTTTTAAAAAAGCTCTGAAAAGCTAATATTAACCAATTTCTATTCCAAAAGTTGTTTTTCTAGGTAATTTTTGGGCGCAGAATCGAAATTTTGACATATCAGGCCAGATGGCCGACCGGTTAGAAGTCTTGTCTTTTAAGCGGAAGGTCGAGGGTTCAATCACGCTGGCAAGATAAAAATGTTTCTTTTTCCCACCAAGTGGGTTTTTTCTTTCACAACATTTGGGTAATAGGGATAATAGGGGTAACGGCCGCAGTGCCATAAAAATTGTGTATTTAGACCGTTATGTCTTATTATGTATCCTTTGTTTGTATCACATTATTGGCTTTCAATAAATGTATTTTTATATCAGAGCTTGTGGAAATGAACGGACGGAGTTATACAAAGAGAAAAATCGACAATTTTCTGTAATTTGATCTAGCCGTTTTGTCTTTCAAATTGGTTCAAAAAAAGGTGCGCAAATGTCCGGGTGCGCAAAAAAAAGGTAGCATTTGTCCCACTCCCGATAATTGTTCTTTTGTTTTGTTCAAATCCACCCACTAGTAATGAACAATTGATAAAAAGGATTATTATAAAAGAAAAAAAAATTTCTTTATCACAAAAGAGTTTCAATGAATTTCTTTATTTCAATGTCTTTTATTTCTTTTATTTTTCTTTTATTTTTCTTTTATTTTTCTTTTAATCGGATTATGAGTAGAAATTTTGTGATTAACGATGGAGGGAAAAGTATTGGAAGTATTTTGAGAGGGGAAATCATAAGATTTTCTTTCCCCAGATCATAAGATCTAGAATATAAATGCATATTTTTTACAAGATTATCGTAATTTAAACTTAAATTTGTCAAATCGTAGCTTACAAGGCTAGAAGCTAGCTGGCTAGGCTAGAAGTCATGTTGTGAAGAGTAGAAGTCGTGCATCTTTTGTCTAAGTCTGTCTAAGTGCATCTAAGTCGTGCATCTTTTGATCAGCTTCAATTCAATGCTTATTCAGAAAAGAGAATTTTGACGACTTAAGAAATGATGAGAAAAGAAAGCGACATTCTGGAGCTATCGTTTTCGATGAGAGACAAGATGAGAGACAAGATGAGTTAAAAAAGAGAATAAAAAACGTCTACAAGCTCTCATCGTCAGCTACATTTTCCCATCCCACATTGATAGGTTCTGATAAGCGCTTTTCGAGATTTCAACCAATTTAGACGAGGTTTAGGGTGCACTACTATTAGAGAAAATACGGTAAACGGGACCTATTGTCTAGAAAAGCTATAACAAGAGAAT